ATACTTATGTGATACTTATGTGATACTTATGTGATACTTATGTGATACTTATGTGATACTTATTTGGTGATAAAAATCAAACACCCATGCACCAACACATCGGTCAACTACATCTTCAAGTAGCCATGTCGTTAGATATAAGCAAGCATGAAAAGTACTTTAGCCTATGCTTCCAATCATTCCCTGCTAAAGCGGAAGGAGAAGACACCAACAAATTGGCACTAATTTATTTTGTTCTCTATGGGTTAGACATTATTGGCAAATTAAACTTGACAACTGAAGATCAAGAAAATTATAGTGAATATATCTATTCCCATTTAATTGACAGTGAACTAACCAGACAATTGGACATTCTTAGTTTTAGACCAACAAACACTTTCAAATTGAATAACGAGTATGATTTACCTAATCTATCAGCAACTTTTTTTGCATTAATAAATTTATTAATCTTGAAAAGTGATTACTCGAAAAAGCTAAATCGAGAATCGATTATGAAATTTATTAAAAAATGTCAAAGAGAAGATGGTTCATTTGCTCCAGTATTGGATAATAACGGTGAACCTTTTGGTGAAACTGATTTACGTCATTGTTATTTAGCCATTTGTATTAGAAAATTATTAAAATACGATGAAGCATCAGACAAAACAAATGATATTGACATTAAGAAATGCATCAATTTCATCGAAAGTAAAGTCAATTACAACGGAGGATTAAGTAGTAATAAATACACCGAATCCCATTCGGGATTAACTTTTGTGGGGTTGGCTAGTTTGAAACTATTAAATTATAAATTTGATAGTGATTGGGTTGAATTAACGAAAAATTGGTTAGTTCATCGTCAAGTTGATTACCCTGATCAGCTCTACTCCATGTCCGAGGACTCTTCTTTTGATAACTACTCTTTTTACGATCTCGAAGATATTGGTGGCTTCAACGGTCGTGAAAATAAATTCAGCGATACTTGTTATAGTTGGTGGGTTACTGCTTCTTTATACATCATTGGCGGAGACCATTTGTTCAATGTGGATAAACTGATTGACTACCTATTAACCCAAACTCAAAATCATTTGTTAGGCGGGTTTGGTAAGTCAAAAGATGTATTTCCTGATCCGTTACATTCTTTCTTGGGATTGGCAAGTTTATCTTTATGGAAACATAAAGAGTCCGCTAACTTTGATGGATCTCTGGCTTTACAAAATGTCAATGAGCTTTTAGTTATAACCGAATCTCTGATGAACTTTTTAAATAACATCAAATGGTAATCTTGAACTCTTTCTGTAGAATTATCATTACATCATATCTTTTGTTGATGCACACCTCAACACTATAAATTCTCCATAAAAAACTTTCAGTGAGAAGACTAGATATCACCACCTCCATCACCTTTCCATAGACATGTCCAGTGTGGTAGTAAGCAAGTCGCTCACGGATATACCGGACTCCAAGGTGGAACTACCCATAAGACAAGAAAGTAAACCAAGTACCAAAACTCATTTAATCAGTGGAGGAATAGCAGGATTAATAAGTGCAACTACTTTACAACCATTTGATTTATTGAAAACAAGATTACAACAACAACAACAACAAGAAATCGGATATAGAACTACTATAAGTAAAGAGTTGAAAAAACTAACCCAAGTGAAAGACTTATGGAGAGGTGCATTACCATCAACGCTAAGAACATCCATTGGAGCAGGACTTTATTTCACAATCTTATCGCAATCAAGAAGCTATTTGTCAAGTATTAAAGGAAATCATGATACAAGAAGCTCAACTAGTGCATTACCGAAATTAAGCCCCATTGAAAACTTGGCTACCGGGTTTGTCGTACGAGCAATCGTGGGGTTTATCACCATGCCAATTACCATCATTAAAACAAGATACGAATCAAATATCTATAATTATAACTCCATGTATGAAGGCTTTGAAAATATCTATCATGGGAATTCGCTAACTGATCCGGAAAACTCAAGTAAAGGCTCAATCAAAAACTTCTTCAAAGGCTCTTTTGCTACTTTGGCCAGAGATTGTCCTTACGCCGGTTTATACGTTTTATTCTATGAAAGTTTCAAAAATGATTTGCTTCCCACCTTCACTGAAAAAATCGATGATTTGAATCGTCCAACCGTTATCAATACCATTTCGGCCATTTTGGCTGCTTCGGTCTCAACCACTTTGACTGCCCCCTTTGATGCAATTAAAACCCGATTGCAACTCACCCTGTCTTCCAATAAGTCTTTCTTGTCTACAACTAAGGTCTTATTGAACGAGGACGGTGGCTTTAGAAACTTATTTAGAGGTTTGAGCTTAAGATTAAGCAGAAAAGGTATGAGTGCCGGTATTAGTTGGTGTATCTACGAGGAACTCATCAAGGGTAATTTTTTCAATTCAAACAAACTCCTGTAAATAGACTTAGATATATATATATATATATATATATATAAATACTTAAATACTTAAATACTTTTGAATGGTACAAACATTATACTATCTATCCTGGTGCACGGGTGTCTGATTTAATTATCTTTGACCTCGGAATTTATGGCGGGGGCCAAATGAACGATTATCAACGACTTTCTTCTTCTTCAATAGCTTTATCCATCATGAACGAGGAACTCATAAGTAGTGCCATTAGCTTTTTGAAAGACCCCAACGTGCAGTCGTCGCCCTTGACGAAGAAAATTGAATTTTTGGAGTCAAAGGGATTGAATCAGGCGGAAATTGAAGAGGCCATGAAAAGGGCTAATGAAGGTCAAAGTCAAAGTCAAAGTCACGGCCAAAGCCAACCAAGCCAATCAAGCCAATCAAGCCAATCAAGTCAATCAAGCCAATCAAACCAATTGAGTAACGCTCCTTTGGACTATTATAATGTCCCACCGCAGGTACCAGATCGGTCATGGAAAGATTACTTTATTATGGCCACCGCTACCGCTGGGGTTACTTATGGACTTTACCAAGTGGTCAGTAAGTATTTAGTTCCAAGCATCATTCCAGCAAAGCAGTCGAGTATCGACGAAGATAAATATAGAATTAATGAAGAGTTTATCAAGATTGATAAGGTCTTGGAAGTGTTGGAAGAAGATCAAAATCAAATCAAAAGCCAAAACGAAGAAAAATGCAAAGAGCTCGACATTGTAATTGATAACGTGAATGATTTCCTCAGCAAGTATAATAAAGATAAATTGAAATTCGACGATGATTTAAAATTAATGAAATTAGAAATTGATAATTTGAAAAACTCCGTTGAAAAAAATATGAATTTAACCAAAGAAAATATTAAGGACGAATTACAAGACATCTCAGAAGAATTAACCTCTTTGAAAAACCTCATCAGAGCAAGGTCTTCTGAACTGAAAGACTCGGCTAGAAAAGTTCCTCCGGTTTCCTCAATTCCTTCTGCTCTGGAAATCTTGAAAAAGGCCAAATCCGGCTCTTCCACCCCAGAGTCTCAGCCTACAGGCTCGGCTACCTCTGCAGAAACTAAACCAACCACCGTAGATAACGTTACTGCTGCCGGGATTCCAGAATGGCAGACCAAACATAAAGAAGCTGAAGGCATTCCTTCCTGGCAAGCCAAAGACAAGCCCGAAAACGGCATCCCATCCTGGCAAACAAACGCCTCCGACGATAAAGTAGCTAAAAGTATAGCCAACGTAGGTGTTCCTTCCTGGCAACTAAACGCTTCTTCTTCTTCTTCATAGTATTTAATAAACACCCGTACATTTTTTTAATGTTGTATTGCAAGTTTTGTGGAGAAAAACTCGACAAATAAAAAAATGGCTAAAAATCTAAGGGAGGAAAATCAAAACAAGCTTAACCAACGGGTTTCTTTAGCCTTACAATCACTTAAACGCATATAATAACTTTGTTCAGGTAAGACAAAGTTGAAAGAATAGTTACTTCTTATCTGGAGCTACTTTTTCTGCTGGTTAAATGTATATTAGTAGTTGAAATTTGGTTTTTTTTTGTTTTATTGGTATTTTCGTTTTTTTTTCACTTTCATTTTCCTTTTCATTTTGCATTATTTATTAGACTTTGTTTCTTTCGTTTATTTGTTATATTAAAGCTAAACCTGGTTCATTCATTTCTTATTTCCCATTTATGTTTTTGTTGACTCATTCTTGTTTTATTGTTTTTGATTGAAATTTTTGATATTCTTGATTTATATTTTTGGCTTTGAGAATGTCCTTAACCTCTTCGAAACCAGCCGATTTCCCAATTAGACGCATCGAAGTTGCTCCGTTTAATAATCAAATCGAAATCATCGATGGTATCATTTCGAGTAATTCAAAATATTCTTTAAATCATCCTAATAATGGTTCTAATCGTTCAAGTTACTTGAATTATCATTCTAATAGAAATAGCCATTATAACTCCAACAATCATAAAAATAAAGGTAATAATAATAATGACTACAACCATCAATCTTCAAATCAACAAAATAAATATGCCTTGGCTACAGTAGCTGCTGCTGCTGCTGTTCAACAACAACATAATTATATGACTCAACAACCAACTACACAATCCAGATCTCATTCTATCTCTCACCCAATAAGCTATCAACCACCTCAACAACAGCATCATCATCATCAACAACAACAACATCAACCTCAAGTTAAAAACGGGAATAGTCAAAGATTTAAAGGATCTTCAACTAGCTCCTCAAATTCAACTTCAGGCACCCTAGTAGATTCGGGTCTTTTCAATTATGATAACTCAAAGTATTTAAATATGAATATGAGTACCCCTACTATCCAATCATCTTCTCCAACCTCCTCATCAACCCAATTAACCTCCTCTCATCCAAATCATGCTAATTTGTTGGGTCAATCTCAAAGTTTTGATCAACAACAATTAGATAGCGTGAAAAATTCCCACTTATTAGATAACTTGAATTATAACTTGAACAACTCAAACTTATTACTTAACCCAACCTCAACTTCCACTAATTCTCCTCCTAATTTGTTTTTAAATACATCTTATCCAAATCCTTTCAATAATTCCAACTTGAAAAATAATTTTTTAAACAGTCCTTCCTTATTACCTACAAATAATACTTGGAATTTGAACCCAAGTCCAACAAATTCACAGACTCCTCTTAAGTCTTCTTCTATCTGGTCATCTTCTTTTGATTCAAATCCTTCTCCTTTACAACCTTTATCTACTTCTAAATCTACTTTAAGTGCATTCAATTCAAATTCTAATAATCAATTTGGTGGCTCTAGTATGTGGTGAGCTTTTATCTTTTATTCTTATTATTTCTTTTCTTTGTTTCTTAGTCATTTCGTGGTTCTTCATAAAAAGATATTTATTTTTGTATTACTGTGTGTTTTTCTTTTGTCTTCAGTTATCATCTTACTGTCTTAATCTTGTTCTATTTGGTTTTCTTTTATACAGTGTTATCTTTTGTTTCTTGTATCCTTGTTTTTTTGTTTCCTAAAATCTGTTGTTTTAATTTCTTACTTTTATATATTATTACTAGTTTGTTTAATGGGCGAATGAAAAAATAATTTGTTGATCTCTTAATATACGATTTTTATTTAAATTAGCTTCGTTTAAAGCCACCTCTAGTCTTTTTGCAATAATTAGTTTAAACTTCTAAAGTAGGAAAAAAAAAATGCTCTTTTGAAAAATTCGCATACGTTTAAATTTTTGTACGAAATCATCTTTTATAACCATAAACCTCCAATTTGGACATGACTGAAGTATCTTTAAAGAAGTTGATTGGTCTTTCGGTTAAAAGAAAGACTTCAAGTAAGGTATTTGTGTCTTTATTCAACCAATTGAATGAAAGAAGTCCTGTTACTGAAGATGAATTCTTAGATACTTTTTTGAATTATCCTGGCAATGAAGAAGAAGCTGCCAAAGCCATTGAATACTGTATCAAGACGAGTTTAAGCAGTGAAACAAACATGGCCAGACTTTGGAATTTGATGTCGAAACTCGAAGTTAAACAGCAAGTGAAAATTTTGAAAGAAGTTAATAAGATTTTACTAAAAGAAGGGAAATTATCAACTAAACTACAAGCTTGTATGATTGAAAGTATCATCAAGTACTCGGGCTCAGTAATGTCTGAAGGAACTTTAGTATATCAAAGTGTTTTGTTATTGGGTTCAATTGTCAAGAAATGGCATTTGATTGATGGTGAAACCAAGGTGATTTTATCAAATTTTATTGATACCTTAGATGCTTCCAGTTATAAAGATCTTTCGAGGTTTTTGATTAAAAGTAGTGGACAATCATTGGGTAAGTTCCACGCGGTAAAGCCGAGTGAAGCATCTCACAATATCGTCAATACAAATCAATTATCAAAAGATATTACAATGATAAATTCAAATAGCTCCAAGTTTAATGAATTGAATAATTTGAAAAGCTATTTATGGCTTTATGACTTGATGGAAAACTGGAGCTTCTCCAAAAATCAAATTTTTGTCAATAGTTATGAAAAATTATTTTGCTCTTCGAGTAAAAGTAAAAATAAGCATACTTCTATAGTGAATATGGTTGAATCGATTTTTAATGGGTTTGTAACCAGTTTAACTAATCAAGCTCCTTCTTATATCATTTACAATTGGAAAAATTTTCTTATTACGAAATTACCCGACATATTACTCAAAGTAGCATCGCCAAAATCTATAATTCAAGATGCAATTAAAGACTGTTTTAAAGCATTTGATGATGTGACTAATAAAACATTATCAACTTTTAATTGGAATAATAGTATATTTGATATCAGGAGAATTTTCATTAAGCACTGTATATATGCAGAGGTGTTGCCATTAGAATTTTATTTTGAACAATTCCCAGAAGATGGTGATAAATTTAATTCAACAATTTTGAATAACGAAAAAAATTTTACCATCAAATCTATTGAAGATGAATTGACTATTAAGTTATTAGAAATCAATTCTGAATTCACATCATTGGTCGAAAGTGGGCTCATTGAGTATATTAACCAATTACCTGATCAAATTAGATTTCAACCAAAATATCAGCAAGAATTAACCGTTATTATAAATAAAGTTATTGATTCATTGATTGAAGAGAAAAATATTGAGAAATTAAATCGATTAATCATTGCTATAACTAATAACTATGAAGTTTTAAATTTGATTTTTATCAATGATAACCAAGGACCATGGAATGTATTAAACAAACTAATCCAGTTTATTGATAGTGAAAATTTCAATATTGAAGAAGATGATAATTTTCAAGAGAGTTATTCATATTTTGGAGTTTTAATTTTAGGTATTATAACAATTATTGAAACTTTCAATATTGATATATCAAACACATCAATTATGAATTCATATACAATTGACTATATTAATAATTTCTATTATAGACATTGTGATAATTTAACTAGTCAAGTGAATACTACTGAGGAGGAAGAACTTACAATTATTTCAAATTACAATAATTTGATTAATGAATGGATAAATTCGTTATTTGACGATAATAATGACGGATTATCGGATGAATTAATTAAATCCATAAATGTTAAGCAGATTTATAAAATTATTCCAATAATTTATAAACAAGCAATAATTGCAACTGAAAATGGAAAAATAAATGAAGATATCTTAAATGGGGGAATTGATTATTTATCACAAATTTTTTTAGTCCCCTGTACTTTAAGTGTTATTAAATGGTTATTAAATAAGATTGAGATTGAAAGTTTCAAATCAACTTTTGATACTAAAAGTCATTTATGGATCAAAATATTATTTGAAATCTTAAAATCAAATTTAGGTGATTCGATTAACGACGGAGAGTTTCAATTCAGCAACGATGAATCTAATCTAATTTTCAAGATTGTATTAAAGATTTCGGGTAGTTCAATAATTGAAATTTTAACTAGATTCCCATTATGGAATAACGTTGAATTAATTAAAAAAATTATTAATATAGTTCAAAAAACAATTGATCCAAATTATAAAAAACAATCATTTAAAATAACCACAAATTTGAACTTCATTGATGAATTGAAATTGAACTTGAATAATCATAACCTTGTTAATCAATTAATATCAAAGATTGATAAAAATGAGTTGGTTAGATATCTAATTACAGAATTCAATAATTATCAACATAATATCAATAATGAAGACTCTAAAATATCAATTAATCTTCTTACCTTTATCATATTACTCAAATCGTTCAAATCATTTGATAGCAAAGCCCTGTTAATCAAGCTTTTCAATCAATGCCGCAATGAACTACCAAATTCTTCAAAAATCGACCTGTCATTCAATATAACTATAGATTTTAACTTTTCGGTTATCTTCAACGATCCGAATCTTGAAAATTCCGAAGATGATGACTTATTCAACGAATCTCCATCTAAATTCCAAGTTAAAGATCACTACAATAAGATTACTCAACTGAATACCGGCCTTTATCAGTTTGTGAAAATTTATCAAATTTTCAAAAATAACCTGGACTCCGTTTTCCAAAAAACTTTAGCTGTGCTTAAAAATAAGTTTATCAATGAATACGATCTTTTCCTCTAATCTGTCAAAATCTGCTGTGCCGTCTTTTGTTGCCCGTTGTCTTTGTAAATGGTTCGGATAATGCAAAATTGACGTTGATAAGATGAATGCTGTGCCTCGCACGTCCGGTTTGCACTGATAAGACTATTTAAGTAGGACCAGCCAGTGAAGAGAGTATAAAAGGGCAAGTCAATGCTTTGGGATTACAAGATTGAAATGGTTGAATTATTCAAGTATCAGAATGAGTGTGAGTCCTATTAAGTCGGTCCAGGGACATATTCACCAGAGTTTGTCAGCTATAAGGTCGAATGCCCACGATCATGTTCATGCCGTAACTTCCAACAAGTCCGACATTAGGCCAATTGATGTCAATAAGGCAGAGGATGACGTTGATTTTTTGGCCCAGATAGGGTATAAACAAGAATTGAGTAGAACCTACTCCACGATACAAGTGTTTGGAATTGCGTTTTCAATTATGGGGTTGTTACCGTCAATTTCAACAACATTAAGTACTGGGGCGGAATTTTCCATGGTCGGAATTGTTTGGGGTTGGTTTGTTGCATGTATTTTCATTGAATGTGTTGGTATATCACTTTCTATGCTTGCATCTTCAATTAGTACCAGTGGAGCTTTGTTTTACTATGCAAATTATTATTGTTCAGATAGTGCTCGAGTTCCTCTTAGTTATATTATTGCAATTTCAAATACTCTAGGGTTATGTGGAGGTATCTGTTCGATTACTTACGGGTTTGCCGGACAAGTATTGGCTGCTGCTTATATGACGGTGGATGGATCTTTCACGATTACCAGTGGTATTGAATACGGGGTTTACGCTGCCGGTATCTTATTAACTGTTTTATTATGTGTGGCTTTCACCCGTCACAGTGCCTTATTGCAATCTATTTCAATCTATATCAATTGCTTTATAATTGTTTTATTTTTCATTGCCGTCCCCATTGGTGCTAGTAAATATGGTTTTAATGACGGGGCCTTTATCTTTGGTAATGCTACTAATTTGAGAACCTGGACTCCCGGTTGGTCTTTTGTTCTTTCTTTAATGCCGGCAATATGGACCATTGGTGCCTTTGATTCTTGTATGCACATGTCTGAAGAATGTAAAAACCCTCAAAAGAAGGTTCCTATTGGTATAATCGGTTCAATCACTGCTTGTGCTGTTATTGGTTGGTTTATTTGCATTGTCTGTGCTGCCACAATCAAAGATGGTGATGTTAGTAGAGTCTTAGAAACTAACACTGGGTCTTTCATGGCTCAAATCATTTATGACGCTTTAGGAAGAAAATGGGCCATTGCTTTTATTTCTTTAATCAGTTTGGCCCAGTTAACCATGGGGGTTAGTTTACTTGTGGCCGCAAGCCGTCAGACTTTTGCCTTTGCAAGAGATAAAGGTCTCCCATTTATCTATAATTACGTCAAGTACGTAAACCCAAAATATAAAGTCCCAGTTAGAGCAGTCATCTTCGATGGTATTTTATGCTTGGTGTTGGGCTTACTTATTCTCATTGACACAACTGCTGCTAATGCCTTGTTCTCCTTGGCTGTCGTTGGGAATCAATTGGCCTGGGTGGTGCCAGTTCTTTTGGTCTTATTGCCCGTTGGTAGATCAAGATTTGTCCCTGGTCCTTTCTATTTGGGCCCCGTTTTGTCCACCATAATCAACACAATCACTGTGCTGTGGGGTATCTTTGTCATGATCTTTGCCATGTTCCCTGACTCCAAATCGGTTACCAAAGATACTATGAATTATACTTGTGTTATCAATATGGGTATCTGGCTACTTGCTTTACTCTACTATTATGTCTACGGATACACTCATTACTCCGGCCCTGTTTCCAATCTTGACGAAGACGATCCTGACTCCAGCATTGAAGGCCGTCCTGTTCATAACATTGACTCTGCCATTGCTGAAAAGATATAGTAATCTGATTATCTATGTGAAGTCGTATATATCCTAGTGAAGTGCTTTTCTTTGTATTTTATTACTGTACGATCCGTACATCTGTAGCGACCGCGTAGGCGACGCAGACACGCGTTAGTTTTTTTTTTAAAAAAAAAAAAGATTTAATCAGTAAATCAATTAATCATCCTTCTTCTGGTAGACAGGATACAGTTTAAAAACATATAGGTATGGCAGAGACCGGTAAAAGACCGCTTGAAGGTGAGGAGTACCATGAAGGTGCGCATTCGCTTCCAGCGGTTTCGCAGAATGTTTCCTCACAATTGGAACTAAATTCATCCCAGCTGCAGATCTTGAAGAAACTTAAAAGACCAACAGGAGATGAAGAGCCATCTGAGTTTGAAAGAGAGTTATTGGAGATGACTCAACAGGTCCGTCTGATAGGCCATGAGGAAGACCAGAATTGGGGAAGACCAGCATTGCCATCAAGCTTTGATCCGGCTAGCAGTGATGTAACTTTCCAGCAATTGGATGCAGAAGAACATTTTGATGGTGAAAATACTATAGCTAGATTCTTTGGTATTACTGAAGAAGGGCATTCTGTTTTATGTACTGTTACTGGGTTTTTACATTATTTCTATGTACCAGTACCAAAGGGATTTTTCAGAGATGAACATTTGGCGGAATTTACAAGCCATTTGAAAACAAATTATCATGGTATTCATAGTGTTGAAGTTGTTTTAAAGGAATCTATTTGGGGTTTCAATAAGAATATGAAAACACCTTTTTTCAAAATTGTTTTTGAAAGTACAAGAAATATCAGTAAAGTTAGAACTGCTTTTGAAAGGGGTGAAGTGCAATTTAAATCTTTATTCCCTCCTCAAAATGTTAGTTATGACAATATTAACTATTTGCTAAGACTTATGATTGATAATAAGATAACGGGGATGTCCTGGATTACTTTACCCAAAAATACTTATCAAATGGTTGATGACTCTTTTAAAGTTTCTAATTGTCAAATCGAATGTACTATCAATTATAAAGATTTGATTTCTCATCCATCTGAAGGTGAATGGCTTAAAATGGCTCCTCTTCGTATCTTATCATTTGATATTGAATGTGCTGGTAGAAAAGGTATTTTCCCTGAAGCTGAACATGATTCAGTCATTCAAATTGCTAACGTTATACTGAAACAAGGTGATCAAAGACCGTTCATTAGAAATGTTTTCACGGTTGATACTTGTGCTCCAATCATTGGTTCTCAAATCATTGAAAGTAAAACTGAAGAAGAAATGTTAATGAAATGGAAAGATTTTGTGGTTAAAACTGATCCAGACGTTATCATTGGTTATAATACCGCTAATTTCGATATTCCTTACCTATTAGATAGAGCTAAAGCTTTGGGTTTAAAAAATTTCCCCTATTTTGGTAGAATGAATGGTGTCAAACAAGAAATTAAAGATGCTATATTCAGTTCAAGAGCTTATGGGACGAGAGAAAATAAAGTTGTTAATATCGATGGTAGAATGCAATTGGATTTATTACAATTCATTCAAAGAGAATATAAATTAAGATCTTATACCTTAAATTCGGTCTCGGCTCACTTTTTAGGGGAACAAAAGGAGGACGTTCAACATTCTATCATTACTGATTTACAAAATGGTACTAGAGAAACGAGAAGACGTTTGGCAGTTTATTGTTTAAAAGATGCTTATTTGCCTCTTCGTTTACTCGAAAAACTTATGTGTTTGGTGAACTATACAGAAATGGCGAGAGTCACTGGTGTTCCTTTTTCTTACTTATTAGCAAGAGGTCAACAAATTAAAGTCATTTCTCAATTATTTAGAAAATGTTATGAAGATGATATTGTTGTTCCAAATATGAGAAGTGAAGGTTCTAATGAAGAATATGAGGGGGCTACCGTTATTGAACCAATAAGAGGTTACTATGATGTACCAATTGCAACCTTAGATTTCAGTTCCTTGTATCCTTCTATTATGATGGCTCATAATTTATGTTATACAACTTTGATTAATAAACAGACTATTAAAGCATTCAATTTGACAGAAGATGATTATACATTAACCCCGAATGGTGATTATTTCGTTAAATCTCATAAGAGAAAGGGTATTTTACCAACGATTTTAAATGAATTATTAACTGCTAGAAAAAAGGCTAAAAATGATTTGAAAAAGGAAACTGATCCTTTCAAAAAAGATGTTTTGAATGGTAGACAACTAGCTTTGAAAATCTCTGCAAATTCTGTTTATGGTTTCACCGGGGCAACAATTGGTAAGTTACCTTGTCTTGCTATTTCCTCTTCAACTACTGCTTTTGGGAGACAAATGATTGAAAAAACGAAACAAGAAGTTCAAGATTTTTATTCTATTAAAAATGGTCATCCATACGATGCTCAAGTTATATATGGTGATACTGATTCTGTCATGGTTAAATTTGGTTACAGTGATCTTGAAACTTGTATGAAGCTTGGTGAAGAAGCAGCTGAGTATGTCTCAACAAAGTTTATCAATCCAATCAAATTAGAATTCGAAAAAGTTTACTTTCCTTATCTATTAATCAATAAAAAAAGGTACGCCGGTTTATATTGGACAAGACCAGAAAAATTTGATAAGATGGATACAAAGGGTATTGAAACTGTTAGAAGAGATAATTGTAGGCTAGTTCAAAATGTGATCACAAAAGTTCTTGAATATATATTGGAAGAAAGAAATGTTGCAAAAGCTGAAAGGTTTGTCAAACAAACTATTGCTGACTTGTTACAAAATCGAGTAGATTTGTCACAGTTAGTCATTACCAAAGCTTATTCTAAACAAGATTATACTGCTAAGCAAGCCCACGTTGAATTGGCTGAGAGAATGAGAAAGAGAGATCCAGGTTCTGCTCCAACTCTTGGTGATAGAGTTGCTTACGTTATTATCAATTCTTCAAATGCTAAAAATTATGAAAAATCAGAAGATCCTTTATACGTTTTAGAAAATTCTTTACCAATTGATGTTAAATACTATTTAGAAAATCAGTTGGCCAATCCGTTATTAAGAATTTTCGAACCAATCTTGGGTGAACGTAGAGCTAAGGAATTGCTATCAGGTTCACATACAAGAACAATCAAAATGACCGCTCCAAAAACAGGTGGTTTGATGAGATTTGCAAAGAAAGCCGAATTATGTAAAAATTGTAAAAGTCCATTGAAATCTGATAACCATGGTGCATTATGTGAAAATTGTATCAATAAAGCACCTGAATTGTATGGTAATGCTTTGGCTCAAATGAATTATCTTGAAAATAAATTTTCAAGATTATGGACTGAATGTCAAAGATGTCAAGGTTCTTTGCATCAAGAAGTTTTATGCTCAAATAAGGATTGTCCAATTTTCTACATGAGAAAGAAAGTCCAAAAAGATTTAACTCAACAAGGGCAGGAACTCATCAAGTGGGATGAAACGGTTTGGTGATGAAATTTTATTTCTGTTTTTTATTTTTGTAAATTAGTTTTGAGAGACGGGTATCTAAATTCTCTATTTATTTATTTCTATCTATTAATGCATCAATTATGATAAGTCTTAGTCACTGTAGAATTTACAAGATTAATGGGATTTTAATTCTTATTTTCAATGAGAACAAATTATAATTACACAGTAGAAAAGCCATTTGAAACACAATTATATATACGAATTTATATATGAAGAAAAGTTATATTTTTAAAAGAAAAAAGAAAACTGAAAACCCATCTAATGGTCTGAAATCTTTAAATTAGTAAAAAAAAAATATTAGTGTTGAATGCTGAAGTAGAATAAAAGATTTAATAAAAAACAAACATACAATAATTAAATGAACAAATAAATCGTGAAAGGAACTCGTTGACATAAACTAATCTAAATATTCAATTTTTGGGCTTGGCTCATCAACATCCATACTATCATTTAAATCATTCTTGGAATTAAAAGATATAACGCTTTCCGTAACTGATCTATTATTCATTGACAACTGACCTGGTCTTAGCCCATTGAGTGGATTATTGGTTATGAAGTCATTTGAATTGGACTTTCTTATGCTTGGGCTTTCTGGATTAGTTGCTTCGGTAAAGTTTGAAGGAGTTGAGCATGATGAAGTATTACCATTGCCTAAATTAGTGTTACCATTATTAGATGAGTTTGTATTTGTAGCACCATTAGGACTTGAATTTATTGATAATAAGTTTGAAGCTGAATGTTCACTTGATTTAATGGAACCTTTCTTCAAGTTTTTAGCAAAATCGGAAGTTCTGTTGCTATTATTTTGTTTAGACAATTCTTTCAATTGTTTCATATTATGAATACATTTGCTTATAGTTTGCATCAACAATTTAGGTTTTAATGGTTTTGAAACATAGTCATCCATGCCTTTCGCTAATGATTTTTCACGGTCACCCAACATAGCATGGGCTGTTAATGCAATGATTGGAGTACGGAAACTCAATGAATCGATTGGATTGGATTTCTTTTCCCATTGTCTAATTTTTTCAGTGGCTTCAAAACCTCCCATGACAGGCATTTGAACATCCATTAAAACAACGTCATATTTAGATTTTTGAATAGCTTCGAATGCTTCTAAACCATTTTCAACAACTTCAACTTGATGGCCTTGTTTTTCTAAAATTCTAACAGCTAATTTTTGATTCACCAAATTATCTTCAGCTAATAATACACGATAAGAGACTGATTCATCAGTATTTTGACTAATAGATCTAGATTCTAAAGCAGGGATTATAGCAGATGCCAAATCAGTTATAGTACAAGGAGTATTACCATATGATGAAATACCTAAATCAATACAGACTCTCATGTTTAATTCTGGGATGGAATGATGTAACAAGACCAATGGAATATATTTGACTTCAGGTAATAAACGTAATTTTTTAGCAGTATCGATAGAATCAATCATAATAATATCATATTTGACTGGATCAGTCAAACTGGCATTTTCAATATCTCTAACAACAACTGGGTTTAATCCTAGCTCAGCGATACCATTTTTAATTTCTTCCAATTCATTATCAGAATGCTCGGTAGAAACGAATAAAACATAGTGAGCACTGAAAGGCAATAATTGTTCAGTTTGTCTAGTATATCTGATATTTGAAGGAGAAACACTGACAGTGAAATAGAAATTTGAACCTTCGCCATAATCAGAGGTAACCCATATTTCACCACCCATTAAATGAATTAATTGTTTCGAAATGGATAAACCTAAACCAGTACCACCGAATTTTCTAGTAGTTGAACCATCAGCTTGACAGAAAGTATCAAAAATTAGACCCAATTTATCCTTTTCAATACCAATACCTGTATCACTTACACAAACTTCTAATAATAATTTTGATTTATCTTCCACGGGTTTAGCTGATTTTTTAACACTGACACTAACTTTACCTTGTTTGGTGAATTTTATAGCATTACCTGCCAAGTTTAAAATAACTTGTCTTAATCTGAATGAATCACCAATTAAATTATCTGGGAATGAGGAATCACATTGATAGGTTAAATCTAATGATTTTTCAATCGCTTTAACAGCCAAAGTTTTCAAAGCACCGAATACGGTACCTCTTAATGAGAAATCAATCTGTTCAACAGTCATTCTATTAGCTTCGATCTTGGAAATATCTAGGATATCATCAATAATTGTCAATAAAGAGTTGGCTAAATTATGGACAATTGATAACATTTCACGTTGATATTGAGTTAATTCAGTATCTAAAGATAATTGGGTCATACCAATGATACCATTTAAAGGAGTTCTAATTTCATGGGACATATTAGCCAAAAATTCTGATTTAGCACTATTTGCTAATTCAGCAGCTTCTCTTGCAGCGGTGTTTCTTTGAATAGATTCTCTTAAATTCAAAACCATTTGATTAATTTTAGTTTTCAAGGCATCCATTTCACCAGAGGCTTCAACAGTAATAAAACGAGTGAAATCACCATCAGTGGCAGCGGCAGTAATTTGGGCGAAAGCTCTAACTTGGGAAGTTAAATTAGAAGCCATAGTATTAACATTTGAAGTAATTTCTTTCCATAAACCATCAACATCGCTAACTTGAGCTTGAATACCCAATTTACCATTAATACCGACATCTCTTGCCACTTTTGAGACTTCTGATGCGAATAATTGTAAAGAGTCCACCATTTTATTAATAGTATTTTTCAATTGTAAAATTTCCCCTTGAGCATGAACATCAATTTTTTGAGATAAATCACCATGAGCAACAGCAGTAGTAACTGTAGCAATAGATCTAACTTGATTAGTTAAATTAGTTGCCATTAGATTAACATTTTCTGTCACTGCTTTCCAAGCACCTTCAACATCTTGAACATTAGCTTGACCACCTAAAATACCTAAAGTACCGACTTCACGAGATAAAGTAGTAACTTCTAAAGCAAAATTTTGTAATCTATCCACCATTTGATTAATTGTTAGTTTTAAATTTAAAATTTCACCTTTACAATCTGCGGTAACTTTTTTAGATAAATCACCTTTAGCAACAGCTGTTGTAACATTAGCTATATTTCTAACTTGAGTTGTTAAATTAAGCGCCATGGCATTTACATTATCAGTTAATTCTTTCCAAATACCTTCGACATTTTCGATTAAAGCTTGACCACCCAAGATACCCAAGACCCCGACATCTCTGGCGACTTTTGAAACTTCAAAAGCAAAAGTTCTTAATTGATCAACCATAGTATTTATAGTCATTTGTAATTGTAAAATTTCCCCTTGAGCATGAACATTAATTTTACGAGATAAATCACCTCTTGCAACAGCTCTAGTAACATCAGCAATTTCTCTCACTTGATTAGTTAAATTAAGAGCCATAATATTAACATTATCGGTTAAAGATCTCCAAATACCAACTGAACCTTCATTTTTAGCTTGACCACCTAATTCACCATTGGCAACTTCGGTAGCAACTTTAGTAACTTCATTAGCAAAAGCTTGTAATTGATCCATCATAGTATTGATTGTTATTTTAACTTTTAGAATTTCTGGATCGGATTCAACAGTATGAATTTCAACTTTTTTAGATAAATCCCCCATTGCAACTGATATAACAACGGTACCAATTTCTGATAATGCTTGCTTGAAAGCTTTATTTGCAGTTTTAGAAGTATCCAACTCATTTGCCAATTTTTTAATTTTGAAATCTTTTGCTTTAATATGATTAATAATATCATTTCGTATTAGGGAGGATTTTTGTTTATAAAGCTCTGGATCATCGAGGATCCTTAATAGTTCAGCAGTATCCATTTTCGATTTATATTTATTGATATGGGTAATGTTGGTTTGATTTATAGTATTGCTATTATCACTGCTATTTCCTTTGTCTTTTGGACTAAGCGATAAGCGAGGTTTCTTGTTTATGGGAGTAATTTTGAAAAATATTATATGACCAAAACGATAACTATACTTTAGTTATCTTAGTTATCCCCAAAGGAAGAAAAAAAAAAAAAGTTTTAAAAAAATAAAAGAGAAAACGAAAAACGAGTAATTCAAATTACCAGTAAGGAGAATTGTCAGGATTTTCTTTCCTTTCAATGATCTATAGGGATTGTCGATCGAAATGAAGTCGAAGTAATTCCCTGAGAGAGGAAAAAATTAGCAAAAAAAAAAAACTAAAACACAAAGAAAGCACAAAGTGTGTATATGAAAGAAGAAAAAAAAAAGCTGGAAGGAGTTTTTGAAGGGAAAACCGAGATTATCGAGATTCCAAATGTAACCAAAAGGAAGATATGAAAAAAGATATCCAATGGTAGACGATTATCAGTGATCAATGGGGACTGATGCAATCAATAGACTAATCAATAATCAATACACTAATCAATACACTAATCAATACACTAGCCAATGCACTAATCAGTAATCTGGTAGGCTTGAAACAATAATCTCTTCAAGATGTAGCGAAATTGGATTATAATATCGGAATTTTCAGCCAGCGGTAATCTGGTAGACAAATCAACAACCACTGCAAATATCCTTTGTAAACACCAGCAAAGACCTCTTCTCTTCAAGGATAAGATAAAACTCAAGGAAAGTTATAAAAAACCACTGGAGAGTAAATAAAAATAAACGCCCTAACCTGTAAACCGTTGAGCGCTAATTATAAATAAACTGATTCCACTTAAGCAAATAGAACAAAAAAAAGCTGCTGGAATAGGCTATTAGGAGCACTGACTAACACAAACGGTGATCGAACTACTTGCAATTGGTAATACGGGATTTTTGAATGAAAGAGCACTCTAATTGATTTTTTGAAGTAATAAGTCAGCGGGAAAATATAGAGGAAAGGAGTGTTGATGTTTTTTTTTTTTGTTTTGTATGGGAAATCGAATTTTTTTTGTTTGTTTTGTATGGGAAAATATTTTTTTATTTAGTTCGGGGTGCCTTTTTGGCGGAGTGATTAAGGAGAATAGGATTTAAGCTTATTAATGCTCATCACACTAAATACATAATATACGATAAGGCACCAGTAGCTTACCTTATTGGTTGAGAGGGAAAACCAGTGCCCTTTCCAGGAACAATGTCTATGTGACTCTCCATGGCGGTGTTTGTGAGGAGCAGTACCATGGCGGCACGGGTGGGAAAAGGTCTGTACACCGTATACTAAGGGGTATAGTAAATGGTATGCTAAATGGTATACTAAATGGTATACTCTGTAAAAGTAGTTGTGGTACACTCGTGGTATCGTGGTATTCTCGGTAGACTCGTATGGTGTGCTTGGTTTTTAGAAGGTTTTTGGAGTTTGGGATTTGCCGTTCATAGAATGGTTGCAAAAAGCATACTGAAAAAAGCTAGTTTATAAGGGTAGTGGGTAATGGAACCCCAAGTTTTAGAAGGCCAGCCATGCGGTTGGTTTATGTTTTGCTTATTGCGTGGACGAGCGCCATGCCGGTTTTGGTAGATGTGCCGGCTATCAACTTGGACTTATTGGGGACACATCGGGCAGAATTGGATGCTCAATACGAGACCCGGGACCAGCACCGGTATTTTAACGCAACCAAAGTACCTAATATAGTGGTGATTGATGATGACACGGAGATTCCTGCTGAGTACAGGAGTGGTGGTATTACCAAGTACGAAGTTTCTAAAAGAGAAGCGTTTAATGAAGCCAAAATGAAGTACGTGGTTGAGAAGAACCCAAAAGGCGTTGTGTTTTTCAAAGACTCAAATACAGTTTTGGTACCTTCAGACGATATTTTGAAATCTGCAGTTGCAAAAACTAAAATGACTTACGTAGAGTTGGACTTGGTGGAAATTGGTAATTATTTCGAACCAAACTTGATTCCTGCTTCGTCGTGTCTTGAGTTCCCGCTTGGTAAAGGCTCCGGTTCTGTCGGGGTCAAACACACCATTGGCATCTCGATAACCCCCAAGGGTGGGGCCAGTGTGTCTTTATTGTTGCCCATGGTGATTGGGACTAAGTTTGGCTTCAATGTTGGGTTTTCGGCGTCATTTTCGTCAAAGTACACCTGTTCTGCTCAAAATGGTAAATCATTAAGGCTTTTCTATAAAATTAACCTGCTTACCGTGGGCGGGAAGAAGAGAAATTTTGTTTACGATAAGCTAGCTGGTTTGTTACATAAGGAAGATTGGATGAATCTTTCTCATGAAAAATTCATCACTGATAATTTACCAATATATTACTGTGGAACCAGTGACTTGATGGATTTGAAATGCGATACTACAGGTATTGAATTCTCCGATGATGAACGTAACACTTTTCAATCGAAATTAAATTAGGTATTGTTTTTATTCTTACATACATTAATATTAAATCAAATTTAAATCTCTTAATTTTTGACAATTTGGCATTGGCATCCTTTCGGCTTCTGCCAATTTCCGGGTATTAACCGTAAACCATCCTTGTGCTTCCTCCATTAGTTCATTCTTTATGATTTGTTCTTTAGAACACTTGGATCGTTTATCTTGCACGTATAAATTTTCAACTTTTGATTCGAAATTTCTCACTTGTTGTGCACTCAAATCCTTCTTATTAAATGATTGTTGGTTAATATAAAATGGTATCTTGTGCTTGGGGGTATAACGTTCAGTATTATAATGTCTATTTGGACTAAATGAATAATCGGGGGTTGAATTACTATCAGAAAATAATGCTGATAAAATTGGAACAATTAAAAATAATAATAATGGTAATAATTGTTTTAATGTGTCATATATCGATGGTTCCTGGGCCCTTTGTTGTTGTTGTTGTTGTTGTCTTCTTGCATTATTACCTCGAGGAAATTGTCTAGAACTGAAAAATGGATGGTCACCTCCTCCAAATGTTTGAAATGTAAATCCATTATTACCAAATGCAAACCCTGGTCCCGATGCTCCTCTTCCGGGTCCTCCTCCGAAAAACATATTAAATATATCCTCATCTAAATTGGTGGGTCCTCCGCCAAATCCTCCTCCTCTTGAAAATCCTGACGTTGATGCTGATGTTGCTCCTCCTCCAAATCCTCCTCTTGAATCAGGATCCGATCCCGTCTGATCATATATTCTCTTCTTACTTTCATCCCCCAATACACTCCATGCCTTATTCAAATACTTAAATGCTTCACTGGCTCTTGGATGGGGATTCTTATCTGGATGTAACTTAACTGCCAATTTTCGATATGACTTCTTAATCTCATTATCATTAGATGTCTTACTAACAGATAATATCTCATAGAATTGGTGGGGTTTATAAGATAAAACCTTCAACACTATGGTTTCCTGTTCCTTAGTATATGACATTGCTAAGTTTGATCAACTAAACTAATGGTATTTTAAAAAAATTATATGGCAAATATTTGCCAACTGGTTTGTTCTTTTCAAATTGAAAATTCCGTACCGCCTCACTAATTAATTTTTCACTTGAACAACTAGCCTGATTCCTTTCGACTTTGCTCTTATCTAAAACCTGCCTATACTACTTTAATCCAAAGTTGATTTCTATAATCTTCGGCTTGCCAATTTTTTTTGTATGGCTCCAACTGTATTTACACGACTATCTGCTGTTCTTCTTTCGACATACTTAAAAAAAAAACTCCTTCTAATTAATTCTACGAGACAATTAAATTATCAGCGATAGAGTGAAGATAAAAAAAATAAAATGGGGCGAGCTGGGAATTGAACCCAGGGCCTCTCGCATGCTTAGTGTTGTTCCATTCAGTTTACTGAACAGTCGCCCAAAGCGAGAATCATACCACTAGACCACACGCCCTATTTGATGAAAATTTTTGCTCCAATGCCTTTGTGAGGATAAGGGCAAAACCCAGATAAAAATTTGTGTTTTTTTTAAAGCTCCTTTAAATCGGCTGTTTTCTTGATTCTAAGTGCTTCATCTTTGAAAGGGGCCTTTATTGTTGCTGTACTTTGCTTTTAATCAAGGAAAATACTCCCAGAAATTTTTTTTCACCATAGTCCATTAAGCTGATGCATCAACAAAATTATATAGATTCTACTTAAGAAAAATAGTTATGGGCTTGATCGGACTCTGAGTCGATTTATTGCATTCGAAACGTGTCGGAAAGGTAGGCTAATATCTAATTAAAGCGGCTGTGTATCAAGCCAGATTCGGTTTATATAATTCACAAACGTCAGATGGGAACGATTATTCAAGCGATCAAACAAGAAAGATTGATTTGAGTAATAAAACAAGCACCATAAGTCGGTGCTAACTCGCTACTGGAATGCAAAAACATATTTACTCTTAAATTTAATGTTTAGTTTTATAACACAGAGTATAAAATAAAACTATATTCTTTCTTAAATTAAAATAATGTATTCTTTCACATCAATGGTTCACTTATATAGAAATATAAAATAAGGTAAATGTTCGATCACTCTAAGGTGATATGAATGGCTGAACAGTTTGTTTAGAAAGTTATACAATATTTAAGATTTTTCGATAATATACAATTGGTATGGACCTATGAATTAAATCAGAGTATCTAGGGTTGTGGGAAATGAACAACGACGGAGTTTGCTTTGCTAGGCGAATAATTCATGGAAATGTTATATTGTTTAATATCATCTAACCAGCGATCCTGTTTAGGAGTTACTGTTGTGGAATTGAAAATATCAACGATAGGTTTATAGCTCGTATAGAGTTGGATTGGAATAGAAGCAACAAAAAAGTTAAACTTCTTAAGAGCTATGTTGACAGCATATAATTCTTTATCAATAGTTGACCAACGGCATTGTTCAGGTTTAAGTTTTTGAGATTTAAAACTAATAGGGTACCAGGAATCATCATTTAATGGATTACTATATATGTTTCTTTGCCATAAAGCCATACCGATAGCAGAATTACTAGCATCACAAGAGATTTTGGTTGGGAGATTATGATCGAAAAAATTTAAAGTTAATTGACCATTAAGATCATTTTTTAACTTGTTAAAAGCTTCTTGACATTCTGTGTTCCAATTAAAGTTAACGTCTTTGCGGAGAAGGTCAGTAAGAGGAGTGGTAATTTGAGAGTAATTAGGAATAAAATCATTAAGATAACCAGTATGACCAAGAAAATATTGAATGTCTTTCTTACAGCGAGGAACAGAAATTTGCTGAATAGTGGTGATAGAAGAAGAAGAGGGATGAATACCTTTTACAGAAAGGGTATGGCCGAGCCATTCAACATCACATTTGCCAATGACCGATTTCTTTTGATTTAAAGGTAAATTATTCACCTGTAAAGCAGATAAGACTGCTTCTAAGTGTAGAATATGTTCTTCGAAAGAATTAGAGAAGATCAAAATATCATCCAAGTATGAGCGGCAAAAGCTCAGGAAAGGTCCGAGAATATTTCTAATAAACCTATTGAAAATTTCTGGCAGGTTTGATAAACCCCATGGAAGAACTTTGAATTGATAAAACCCCCAAGGAGTTTTGAAAACAGTATAAGGTTTGGTATCATCATGGATACGTAAATTATGATACGCATTAGATAAATTAAGGGTAGAATAAACTTGAGGATGGCCTATATCAGCAACAAGTTCCTGAAATGGAGTAAGTGTAGTTGGAAGAGAAAAGGTTTGTTGATTAAGATTTCTGTAATCAATGATCATTCTTCTTTCGGTGGAATGTGATTTATTAACGATTAAAGGGACTGAGTAAAAGTCATGTTGTGGAACAGGCTCAATGATTTGATCTTTAACATGTTGCAGCACGATTTCTTTTAGAGTCTTTTGATCCAGTACGGAATACTTTGGTAATGGTCCTGGTTTGTCAAAATGAGCATTGTCAACCAATTGGATACGGTAGTCGTTTTGGCGACGAGGAGGGTAGCTGGGAGGTCTAAACGAGGTTAAACGTTCAACCAAAGCATGAATATGATGAGATGTGATTTCGTTTCTAGTAATTTCAGGTTTTTCACCAGGATAATGGATAGTACGACTTAAATGATAGCAAAAGATAGGAAAATCTTGATGTTCGTATTGGGCAAGTTTTTTCATAAGAAAGCCATGAAGAGGAGCAAGAGAAGCAAGATGGCCTAATATGACATGGAGGTGGAAGACTTGATGGAGGTCGGTAAAACTTAAATACTGATTCTCAGAGAGTTCTAAAAAGAAGGTACGAAGGGTGGGAGTATTGGTAGGAGTGGAGAGCTCGGCGATACTTTCCAATTGAACTTGACATTGGAGATGAACGTCGTTGCTACTATAATGAAGGATGACTTTTTTCAAATCTGAAAGGGTATGAATCTTTTCATATTTGCGTAAGATATATTTAGCCAACGGACTTTTTAAAGCCTTTAGATTGGATTTGAAACTAGCAGCATTGAAAGATTTCTTGTGGAAAGATACATTCATATAAGAACAGAGTCCATCAGCAGAATTGCGATTACGCTTCAACCCTGGTAACTTGTATGGTCGAGAAGACCAAGTGAAACTAGGTGTAGGTGAAGAATGAGGGAAGTAGCTCTGAATATTCAGAAGATGTTTTGACAACAAGCTGAGAAGGAGAGATATAGTAAAGTAAAAACTTAAATTCAAGAAGATGAAAGAACACATTTTGACTTCAAAAGGTAACAACTGAAAAACTTTCCAAACAGATTGAGGTTGCAGCAAGAATAACGATAATTGGAGTTCATTATCTTTAAACAATTCCGGGCTTGTTTGAAGAAGCGATGTCCAAAGGGAAGAGTTATCACTAGTAGCAGTATTGAATAATAAACTGGTGCAAGTAGAGACAAGGACCAATGCAGCGCTAATACCAGCTCTTCTGTTGTTCTGAGGATGAGCCTGATGGGAATTATTTGTTCTACTCATGTTTGATTCACTCTTGTTCTAGGGAAGAATCTAACACTGGGCATCAGCTGCTTTGCAAAAAGAGTATAAAGAATTGTAATTCAAGCCTTAGAGCAAGAGGGTCACAGATTAAGGATGAAAAGTAAGTAGCAGTTAATAAGTTGTATGATTTTTAATCAGACGATAGACAATAAATCCCCTGTAGTTGAGACAACCTACTCAAATATATTAAACAGCGCGTTTAATATTTAAGTGTTGTTCAAGCTGTAAATATGTATTGATAGATATTTAAGAAGGCTTGATAAGATAAGAATAGCTTAGAGAAAATAGGAGAGAATGATTAACGTTCTCAATAGAGATTAGTCTCTATATATATTAATCATTTAGTTAGAAGAAATATAGGAAAGATTCATAGTTGAAGCGTAATATAGTTACAACTGTGGGAACAAGTACGTTTGTAACTTCCAAAAGTAGAGATAAAAGGTAGATTCTGAAACACCCAGGTTTAGTTTACGAAACCTGTAAGAACAGATCCACGGAACTGTTACAGCGCGCATAGTGTATGTTGAATGGCCCGAGTTCTCCAATAGACTGAATTGTCCAGTTAGCGGTGTCTAAATTTGTAGTGGACCTTCTTAGCAACCTGTTTACAATGATCTCTTTCAAAATTATTAAGGTAAAACACAAGCTGTAAAATAGGCAAGGTACCCTATTACAGCTGAAATATTAGACAATATTTATAGCAAGAAGCAGATGAAATGAGTAGTAAAGACTTAATTAATACCTTGACAAGGAACATTATCTTAAGATCATGGCCGTGGTTATTGGAGTAACGAGGATCATTTAGTTGTCAAGGTATTGAAGTTGAAAATTTTGCAACAATAAAATAAACTGTGAATATGAAATACAAACTGTAAAACAGGGAAGCTAATCTGCATTGTACTCCACAATGTATACATAAGGATAAAGTTAGTAGCTTTCTTATTTTGCAGTAACGTTATCCTGCCTTTTACTGCTATGGTGCTTATAAATGAAATCACAATATCATAAGGCGGCCGTCGCCAATATTACTATTGTTTTATTAATGCAGAGGTTGACGATTTGAACACTAGATATATTAAACCTTACACTTTGAACACATATTACAGGTTTACCCATTACGGTTTTCAGCATGCCAACACTACTTGAAACCTTATTGTCTTATCTTGTTTTACGTATGTTTTCTCTTAGCAGGGATTGGACCCACGAGACGATATCGACTAGTTCTTCAATTACCAGATTGTAGAATCTTTTAAGCTGCAAGTATATAAGACACTCCAAACTTAATTTAAGTGAATAAGGACATACCCTGACAACTGACTAGCATCAGACTGGAAGGATTATTGATGTTTGTAAATTATTCAATTTTTTTTGAATTCCACTTATTTGTCAGTTTTTACTGCAATTTGTTGCAAAAAAAAATCAATTATTCAACAGAATTCAATAAAATTGTGAATTTCAACTTTTTCTTCAACATGAAGGTGAAACTACATTACATGAAATAGACCTTTCATTACTTTGTTACAGCTTCATTAAAGCTTATTGTATTGTTGCAAAAATTAAAATTGTTAATTGAAGCTCAAAAAATTACATCAAAAGTTCAACTACACAAAAAAATAAGACTAATTCACAAAAAAGAAGAGTCTACAGCACGATGGTTTCCATTATGGTCTCCCACTAACGTACTCAGCATCGCTCTCAGCAGCTTAATAATTATTGATCGGACGGGTAATCATGCTTTATGCTGGATATGGCCGTAGACGAGAGTAAAAGTATTATGGTTTGTAATGAGCATGGGTTTTCGAGAAGAGACAAAAAAACGCTACTGTTTTAACGCCTTTGCACATAGGTGACTATCACTAGAACTCCTTTGATTTTCCTTTAATAGACCTTTATAATCCATATCTAGAGACTGAAGTCTATTTACTGGTCAAACTTTTACATCTGTTTGAAAATTGAAAAGTTCTAAATCTATTACTTTCAAATCCAATGAAATAAACTTTTTGCTAATTTCTTTAAAGCATAAATAGATATATTACTGTAAAAATACTAGAAAAAGATGGAGCATAAACTACTGCCAGCTCAATGATAAGTATATATATGAATCATAGGCAAATCCTTTTTGTTACAATGGAAAGAAGGTTAATGTTCGTATGTTCAGTCTTGTAACCCAATTTAAACTAGTGGAACTTAAACAAGCACCCTTTCACATCCGCAACTATCATCAAGTCACTTACAATACAAAGCTTACTTACCAAAAAAAACCTGTCTGCGCTTTGGTCGCTTATTTACTCACCACAACTACATCTTATTGAATGGAGAGAAGAAGGGGAATAGATCTGATAAGCAAAACTTTTTCAATTACCTTAGCCACCAAATCACTACACAGACGCAGCTTAGTATTGAAGAATCTCCTATTGACAGCATCTCCATCAGCGGATCTATCTTCGGATAATCAAACAAGCTGATTGCTTATCAAGGGGTTTTATTTTTTTGCGCAATAGCCAGAAGGTGCAAAAAAACAGGTATAACCGTTTAGCAATTTTTGAAGGAGGAACTAGACATGGATCGATACGTTTTCATGCATGTAATCCTGGTGTGAAAAAGTCTAGATGTAAAAGCAGCCATACGGTATTATTTGGCTTCTTTGATTGCGGACTTTTATGTATTTGATGTATTTTCCACTGAGTCATTCGATGAAGGGCACCTGTCAAACGGATAAGCGGGCATGATTTTGCTTTATTTAAAATAAGCTTAGACAATCACATAAATATGACATGAAAGGGCCCGCAAGTTTGAATTTAAAGTTGGTTTTAGCTTACCAAACGAAATGACCAATGCAGTAATGTCCAATTATCATCATCATCACGACCAGAGTCAGGATGCCCTGATACCACGACTACTGGATGATTCAGTTCAACAACTAAATTTTAAACAAATTGGGAAGTATCTTATATTGAAGACCCTCGGAGAGGGTTCGTTTGGGAAAGTCAAGTTGGCTCAACATGTAATATCGGGGAAACAGGTTGCTTTAAAGATGATTAACCGGAAAATACTATCCCAATCAGACATGCAAGGTCGGATCGAACGAGAAATTGAATTTTTAAAGTTGTTAAGACATCCACATATCATCAAACTATATGATGTGATAAAGACCCCTGATGAAATTGTGATGGTGATTGAAGTTGCTGAATACGTATTATTTGATTATTTAGTTTCCAAGGGAAGATTTTCAGAAGATGAATCTAGAAAGTTTTTCCATCAGATAATTGCAGCCATGGATTACTGTCATCGACACAAGATAGTTCATCGAGATTTGAAACCAGAGAATATTTTATTGGATCATCAATTGAATGTCAAAATCACAGATTTTGGATTATCAAATGCCATGATTGATGGTGATTTTTTGAAAACAAGTTGTGGGTCTCCTGATTATGCAGCACCCGAAATTATAAACGGAAAACTATATGCTGGACCTGAAGTTGATGTTTGGTCTCTGGGCATAATGTTATATGGAATGATATGTGGTCAATTACCGTTTCAAGATGAATATATCCCTAATTTGTTTAAGAAAATTAGTAGTGGGTCATTCATATTTCCTGATTTCATTTCTAATGAGGTGAAAGATTTGTTATCACGAATGTTGATTGTGAATCCTGTAAAGAGAATTACTATTACTGAAATAATGGAACACGAATGGTTCAAACAAGGTGTTGATGATTACATATTACCTTTTAAAGATTTGAATTGTAAAGACGAAAAGCTTATAGTTGAGGAATCAATTATAATGAAACTAATATCTACAATTGGATATGACAGACAAGATATTTTTGAAGCCATTGAGGAATACAATAGCCACGAGAAACTAGGTTTCAAAAAAAATGAAATATTAGAGGCTTACCTATTATTGAAAGAAAATAAAGCATTGGCTAAAAAACTTAAGGCAGATGATTTTAACAATATGAACAATTTTTTTTCACCATCGCCACCTCTTTCCCCCAATGGTAAAGTTAATTCGGGTTATACAGATTACCCAATTGAAAATCCGGTTACTGACCAACGTTTACTATCAAGAGGTGTTAAGAATCGTGCTCAAAAACACAAATGGAATTTTGGAATCAGGTCGAAATCATATCCATTAGATATAATGCTGGAAATATACTATGCTTTACAAAGATTGGGAATGGAATGGTTGAAACCAAATGAAATCTGGGTTGTAAGAACAAGATGGAAAACAAACGATAATGAATATTTGAATATGAAGATTCAATTATATCAACTACAGCCCGAAAAATACTTGGTTGATTTTAAAATTGACAATTTGGAAATGGCTCGGACATGTCCCGTTGGAACAGATGTCGAGTATGCTTACTCTGTTTACCCATTTTTAGAAAAGGTGAATGAAATCATAAGAGAACTAAGTGTGAATGTACAAAAAACTTGACCGATTGGCAACTGAGAATCTCCATTAGTCTCTATTAGTTGCTGAAAATTATAGATTAGTATTAGAAATTTGTTTTTAGTAACTACATTGCTGTAAAAATGTTAATGTTAAAAAAAATGCAACCATCAGCTCAAACATTTCCATATCAATTACCTCAATTGTTTTGATTGGATCGGGGAGAATCCGCCGAAATCATGAATGTAAAGCCCAGTAATGAATGTAAAATTATGGATGCAAAGCCCAAATCAAGCAAGTGAAAGAATGAAGCTAGATTACGAACGGGAGTAAGAAAAAGAGAGAAAATAACCGTATAGTTTGGAAATGTGATATCATCAAACAACATGAAAGAACAAGCCCGAATGCATTACTTTCAATAATACGCCTTCGTCCTAGGTGGCTATTATACCATTTTCAATGGGTGCGAACCAGTACAGCTCTTATCGAATTGGCAACCATTTTTTTGTCTTTGGTGAACAAAACAATTGGGGGTCTTACACGCAGGGGGGATGAAACGATAGACAACAGAAAAGCGTATTGATAATTAAACAATTAACTGGATATTGAAAGTTGGATAGGGGATCAACATTCTTAACTTAAAAAAAAAAAAACAAGAGTATTCTATGTTCAACTGATTTGAGGAGAGCGAAAATTATGAATTATTTGAAAAAAAGCCTTAACCTAATGAAAAACTTTAGTAATGTTAAGTTGAAAGAGATCTGGTCAAGTCGTTTGAAGAAAGTTTATTGTAGCTCATTGTAGAAAGTTGTTGGGACTTATTATTAAATGGTTGGATTTCAAACTTGCATTTAATGGCTTCACTGAAGAGTTAGGGACGTTAGGTTATGACGTTGACAGTTTTGAAGAAGGAATGTTTAGACAATAGGCAAACTGTTTATAAATCAAACCGGGACATTTTAACCATGGATTAGTGCAACACACACCCAGCCAAGGTAAACGATGTCGATAGAGAAGATCATTAGGTTAGACTAATAAGAAATAGCAGAAGTTAAAAAAAAAAAAAAAAAATAATCAAACAAAAGACCAAAATGCATAATTACCAAAGCGAAAACAATGTAAACTATTCAATTGATTCTAGGAATGTTTAAACCCCTTTGCTTGATCTTTAAAGAGGAGCAACAGCCAGATGAAAGCAAGAATGCCTTATGGTGGAACAATAAACCAATGTAAGTATATCAATCTCATCATATAAGTATCTATGTACCAAGTTACAACAAAAGGGTTAAGGTATACCAAACAAGGCAGTTCTTGCTTCGAGAAATCAGGATTTACAAGGGTATTAAGGTTATCAATTGCAACTTTGACTATACTAAAAAATATATATTGACCACTACATCACGTACGAAGGGTTGTATTTAGTCATGCTAATGCATTGTACTGTTTAAATATACTCAACAAACAGTTTTTTTGTATGAACATACCATGGTATTGCAAATGAACGATTTGCCGTTTGATAATTTTTTGTTTCGTTTTTGCAATTTGCAAGTTTGTTGCAATTGCAAACATGCAAAGGTCCCTCTTAGAACAAAGAGGCAGGAGTCAGATCAAATGGGAGTTACTCTTGCATGAAGTAAGAAATGCTTACCACTGCTAGCTTATGTCCCCCAATCTCGTGATTTATAAAATTAGTCTTGTTTCAATGATTAGTCCGGGTGTACTCAAGATATATCTGCAACTTTACTTAAGCACCTCTTATTAAGGTTGCTCATAACGATTTAGCTTATAGTCTAGCATCGTACAATCAGGGGACATGAGTTTAAATTTCTGCAAGTAATAACTAAAAATCTTGTTACCAGAGGATAGATTGAATATTGGATTCTTAAAGTATAAATATCTGGCTAAATCTTGGTCAAAATTAGTTAAATCTATAATCATTAACAAATCAAACTGAAAATGGCTGTTTCTACTAAAAATTTCCAATTAAATGCTAACTGCTCCAACTGCTCCAGCTGCGCTAGCAGCTGCTCCTCTGGTTGTTCCAACTCTTGTAGTTGTACTTCCTGCGGTCATTAATTATTGACCACTATTGACTATTTTTTTATTTGACAATCTATTCACAATGACTATTGACTATTGACTACTTTTTTTACTATTGACTACTGACTACTTTTTTTTACTATTGACTACTGACTACTTTTTTTACTATTGACTATTGACTATTGACTATTGACTATTGACTATTGACTATTGAATTGACTATTTATGTTCTTTGATTTTATATTGTTTTACTTATCCAAGATACAATCTTGAAGGAATAATTAAAGTATCCGTCCCGCTGGTCTTGATGTTTACTTCTGATTATTCGATAAAATCTTTTCTTCTCTTACATAGTATTTCCAATATATGTATGTTTAGAAAGCATTGTGCTGCAAATTGTAATTATCGCAAATTGTAATTACCACAACTTGACCGCCACCTTTCATCAACACAGCTAATTCGATTACACTCTCAGCCATCTACTCAACACTCCTTTTCAATACTTCAAACATCCTCTGGTTCTTCTAGGTCTCCGCCTGTGAATCCGCTTGGTGAGACTTTGACTCGGTTATATGTTTTTGAGCACCTCGGCTCAATCCCCCGCAGTATCTTTTTTTTTTTGGATAAAGTTGATTCAGATTCCTTTTTATTTTAATTACAACCTTCAATTCATTAATCTTTCTAATCTATAAGACATCGCAATGGCATTAGATAAATCATTCGTTGACAACAGTTCGTGGAAACCAGACCTTTTCAAAGGCAAGGTTGTGTTTGTAACTGGTGGAGCTGGTTCAATCTGTCGTATTCAAACTGAAGCAATGGTCTTATTAGGAGCGGATGCTGCTATAATTGGTAGAAATGTTCAAAAAACAGAAAATGCCGCCAAAGAAATTCAACAATTAAGACCAGGATCAAAAGTTATTGGATTAGGTAATGTTGATGTTCGTGATGTTAACAGTATTGCTAAATCGGTTGAAAAAACTGTTGAAGAATTAGGTAGAATTGATTTTGTTATTGCTGGTGCTGCTGGGAATTTTTTATCTGATTTTAATCATTTATCTTCAAATGCTTTCAAATCCGTTGTTTCCATTGATTTATTAGGTTCTTTCAATACCGTTAAAGCTTGTTTTGATCAATTGCGTAAAAATAAGGGGGCTATTATTTTTGTTAGTGCTACGTTACATTATTATGGTGTTCCTTTCCAAAGTCATGTTGGTGCAGCAAAAGCCGGGGTTGATGCTTTATCTAATGCTTTAGCAGTTGAATTGGGCCCAATTGGTATTAGAAGTAACTGTATTGCTCCAGGTATGATTGAAGGTACTGAAGGTATGTCCAGATTAACTCCTCCTGGTGCTACTCCCTTTGATAAAAAGGTTCCTTTACAAAGATTGGGTTCCGGTAAAGATATTGCCGAAGCTACAGTTTATTTATTCTCTCCTGCTGCTGATTATGTCACCGGTACTATTCAAGTTGTTGATGGTGGGGTTTGGCATATTGGTAGTTTTATGGGTGATTTATACCCCAATATCATTATTCAACAAAATCTTGACGAAGTCTCGAAGTTATAGGTGTTTATATTATATACATATTCTTTTCTATACTCTTTAAATAACTACTTATGCTAACTATTGGTACAAAGGCTTTGTTTTGTAGGAAATGATGATGCTAAGAAAGTTGTCCGAGGCACGGATGTTTGCCCACCATCGCCGTTTCACTTGATATAAAAAGGGTTCTGGCAAAGGTTATTCACCAAATTGTTCTTTTATAAGATCAGATCAATATGTTCCCCGGCTCGAATCGTAATAGATACCAGCAATCGTACGGACCACCTCCACAAGGATACTATCCACCTCCAGGACCACCACCAGGACCACCACCAGGACCACCTCCACATGGTTACTATGGACCTCCAGCCGGACCCCCACCAGGGAATTACCAACAGCGTCCATCACCAAATCAAGGCTATCAAAGACCTTCTGCACCTCCTCCGCTGAACCATAGCCAGGGTGGTGGTGGATACCAAGCAACATATCAAAGGCCCATGGGACCACCACCATCGGTCCCACAAGCCTTTGGACAAACTGGTATGACATACCAATATTCTGCTTGTAATGGACGTAAAAAGGCCGTTTTAGTTGGGATCAATTACATTGGGAGTAAAAACGCCTTGAATGGGTGTATTAATGACGTTAAAAACATGAGTCGCTTCTTAAATAAACGTTTTGGATACTCGTATGATGATATGGTTATTTTAACTGATGACCAAAGAGAAATGGGCCGTATCCCTACCAAGCAGAATATTATTCGTGCTATGCAATGGTTAGTGAGAGATGCAAGACCAAACGATTCTTTGGTATTCCACTTCTCTGGTCATGGTGGTCTTACTAAAGATTTAGATGGTGATGAAGAAAGTGGATTTGATGATGTTATTTACCCCCTTGATTTCCAACAATACGGCCATATAGTCGACGATGACATGCATGATATAATGGTCAGACCATTACCTCCAGGTTGTCGTTTGACTGCTTTATATGATTCATGTCATTCTGGAACTGCTCTTGATTTACCTTATGTTTATTCGACAAAAGGGGTTGTCAAAGAACCAAACTTATTAAAAGATGCCGGTAGTGGTGCTTTAAACGCTTTCATGAGTTATGAAAGTGGTAATATAGGTGGGGCCATCAGTGCCTTAAGTGGGATAGCTAAAAAAGTTAGTCGACTGGGCAGTACTAATAGAGAACAAGTCATTAGAAGCAAATTTTCTCCTGCTGATGTCATTTCTTTAAGTGGTTGTAAAGATGATCAAACTAGTGCTGATGCAAGAGAAGCCGGCCAAAGTACCGGGGCAATGAGTTGGTCTTTCATTAAAGTCCTTACCGATTTCCCAAATCAATCCTATTTGTCTTTATTGAATAACATGCGTGACTTATTAGCTGCAAAATATTCTCAAAAACCTCAATTAAGTGCTTCCCACCCCCAAGATATGAATCTCCAATTCATCATGTAACCTTTTAGATTCTAATACACGCTCTAGAATATCACCAGCTGTAGTAACCTCCTCCCCTGCTCTTACCTTGTCCATTCCTCTTCTTCATTCCATTTTGATTCGCAATTGTAATAGCCCAGTTTTCAGTAATCACAAAATCACATCAAAACAAAATAGTTTTTGGCACGCTTTTTTTTTTAGTTCCTAATAATAAAAAAAAAATAAAACGTCAAACTTATTATAGAGTTCGTCTACTTAAAAATAGTTCAGCAGAATAGCTTAACTATTATTCTTTAGAGAGAAAACAAGATTGTTTCTTTACCATATACTCTTTTCTCTCCGCTGAATTTTCTGTTTTTGAAAAGCAAGTATACAACTGCAAATCATGTCTGATAAATTTGGCAGACATAAGTCGACTCGTTGGGTTAAAGCATCGGTTCCAACGTATGGTGATGAATGGGACGACGATTACGATGGTGGTTATGATTATGGCTACGACTCGCAGAACGCATCCGATAATGAATCGGTTCAATTCGAAGCTCCTCTTAATAGACTAAGCTCAAAAGATAGATCAGAATCCAATTCTGAAGAAAAGATCCAAGACCCCCAGGATTCCACGCATGATTTGAAAGAAGATACAAAGAATAAACAACCCGAGGACTTGGTGTTGTCCATTGATCGATTCAGTAGCCGTAATCAGGAGTCAAGTGATGAAGATGACGATGAAGACGACGATAGGGTTTTACTGGGGGATACTGACCATCCTTCCGAATTACAAAGGAAAGGCACCATTCAGAATCCAATCAGCGTAGACTCCACCTTGAATGATACAAATAATCAATCTGGTTCTCATATAAGTTTTGAACCCGATGAGACTTTCAATTTTAGTCCTGTTGAACAAAATCCTAATCCTACTCTTCCATCACCAGTTGCTGACTTGGCTGCACCAAAATTCGACTCTGCTGATAATACACAATTCACTACACAATCCGAGGAAGAAAAGGAACAAGTGGGGTCCATGTCAGCATCATATCAAATTTTTCAAAAAAAGAATCCGTCATTAAACTCTTTAGGATCTTCAGTTGGATCTTCTATTTCTAAGAAATCTAGTCGCCGTAAACCTCCAAGCTTGACAATAAGTGATAAAGTGGTTGAAGACGAAAATTTCTTGCCTCCGACTCCAACTTTTAATTCAAATCAAGAGTTGAACAATTATTCGGAAACTCCTCGTTCTGAACAAAGTTTCCAATCCGATGCAGATTCGATTCAACAAGAACCTACTGATTTGAATATTGCATCTCCAAATTCTAGAAAATATTCTCCTCCGAAGCCATCAACGGAAGATTCAAATGGAACTGACTTATTGGACGTTATACAGGAAGCAGAAAAAAGTAGTTCAGAACCTCCTTCTCATTCTTTGGTTGATAATTCTTTTAGTAGTCTGTATCAGGATGAAAGTTTGGAAGATGACAGCATAGCTGTTGGTGAAGATGGAAGGCCTGCTCCATTGGTGCTATCAATCGATAATAAAAATAGAAACAATCACAATAATTATAATGATGATGATGATGATTCAAGTGATGATGATTGGGGTTACAATAGCCAAAATAGTAGTAACCGCGAGGATGATGAAATGAATGATTTAAATGTTTCAAGATCAAAAGATTTATCGTCTAGTTCAAATAATGAATCAAGAGCAGTGAAAACTGATGCATTGGACTCTTTGATTAATGATCTTGAAAAAGCTTCCTTTAGTAACCACGTTAGTGATGATGAGAAACAAAATGAAAATAATGACTTCTTACCAAAATTAGATTCAATTAGAAATTTCCAATTACCTGATTTTGAAAACAATTCTTTTGATGAATATGATTCTAAAGGGATCCCACCATTAGATATGAATCGTATCTTAAACGAAGAAAATGGTAATTACGAAAGTTCACCAGGAACTGCAACAACTATTCCACTATCAGCAACGTCAGAGTATAGTACCTTACCTCCTACTCCTGTTGCTCCACTTTCGGTTCAACAAGTAAAAGAGGGTCATGAAGAATTTATTAATGAATTATCAGGTCATAAACCTTCTATTAGAAAACCACCTCCATCAATTCCACCATCATCAGGGAAAAGTCCTAATTCTAATAGGAATGAATTAGTATCAGTTGATTATGCCAATATTGCTGATGCAGTTAGTGGATACATTGATGATAATGAAAAGAACAAAATGAGAGATTCATTAGCTGTTGAAAAGCCTAACTTTGATTTTGAGAAAAATGCATCAACTGGTTCATTGTCAACTGGTAAACTTTCAATTGATACTAATAACTCTAATAAATCAAATAATCAAACCAACGAACAAAATAAAAATGAATCTGATAGTGATATTGCCAGAAGAATGTCTACTATGAGTCAAAGTACTTTTAGTATGGGATCTTGGCAACCAAACACTGGTAATTTCCGTGACCAGTTTATTAATGATAATGATAATGAATCTCAAATAAATTTCAACCCTTATGGAACAGAATCAAGTAATTATAACAAATTTACCAAAGTAAGAAATTCTTCTGGTATATCATTTTCTGACGTTGCGTCAACAAATAGCTCAATATCAGTTCCTGAAACTATCGATGTTCCTTTACCAAGTATTAACGAAAATAATGATGATGATTCAACAAGCGATGACGATGGATCATTTGTCAGTCATAATACATCCAAAAATGATTTAGCTTCAACAAATGAAAATAAATTAGAAGCCATGAAAACAATAGACTCGGTTTTGAAGGACCCTCCAAGATCGAAACCAGTTTTCGAAGAAGAAAGAATGACTCCTAAAGCGTCTTCAGAAAACCTTGGAGTGCCTTCTAAATCGGTCGATGCTCTTGATATTAGTCACACTCCAAAATATTCTAGTTTATTAAGCGACCAAAGTACTGCAACTAACACGGTATCGTCAATGTCAGATAAAAGATCTAGTATTGGGTCTTTAAAAGAAATATTAACTTCATCTCATAAAAGATTAATCAGTTCTGCCACTTCACTCACTAACTCATCCAATGAAACTCCTCAAACTCAAAAGAAATCTGTTCCTTATATCCAACAACCACAGCCTGACTATAATTGGAAAAAAATCATGGCCACTTCCCAACCAATAGATCGTATTCGTCTTTTAAAAGATGCCTTGGGAAAGGAATCTTCGTATGATACCGGTCTACTGAATTGGCTTAATGAAACCTTGAAAAGCTCACAGAACTCTTCCAACATGCATATTGGTAAAATCGCAACGGCGGCCTATAAAAATGCTGCCCATAACGATATCAGAAGACATACTTCAATCAGAAGTAAAGTCAATATCGTCAAGGATAAAGTCGAAACTTCGGGTTTGTCTGCTACTAGTTTCGGTAAGAAGTTCTTCCACCGCGGTAAGAAACTAATGAAGTCTTCAGGTAATGACTAGTTATGTATTAATATACTTATATAACCATTCTTCAGTTGTAGATTGTAGATACGTGCCAATTGTTGCAAATTCAACGCAGATTATTTTTTTGACTGGTGCAACCGATTTTTTTTTTTTGTTTTTTTGATTCCTCGGAACGCGATTGTACCGGGCTTATCTTTTTTCTCATCTAATTCAGGTTTGAGTTTGCTTTTACTACTCCATGTGGAGAACGGAACTGTGACAAAGGTCAGCAACTGTTTAATACAAAGACAATCAACAGAGAGTTATTTATTTGAGTAGTGTTTGATCTGGTGATGTTTTCTGAGCAGTGAGCTTTTTTTTTTCTTTGCTTTGAACTGCCTTATATACTAGCCTTTATTAATCTTGGATTAGTTTGAATCAGGGAAGTAATTACTTATGTTTAAGAAGGTAGCAGCTGCGGTTTTGCTACCGATATTCACTTATATAGTTAATCACATTCCAGCTTTTGTTTGGGTGATTATGGACTTTGTTATCGATCTATGTTTGTTTTGGATGAAAAATGTATACCATGTTTATAATAGCAAAGATGAATTAAAAGAACTACTTAAAACGTTGAAGAATGTTCAAAGTTATGGAGAATGGAAGAAAACAGTTACCGAAATCGATCGGGTTACTAATATGGATCTTTGGAGACAAAATTTCATTTCAAAACATTACGACTATATTCTTATTAATGATCGAATAAAGTTATTAAGAGAAGCAAGAATGAGCGAAGATGCTCAATTAATGATGTCTTTACTTAGATCAGGGTTGATTCGTAACTTTGGTGGAGTATCTCAAAAAAGACTTTATACTAAGTCTTATATGGGGACCAAATTTAAAATAGAAGAGTATATTGTGGAAGTTTTAAATTGTTTAAATTACTTGAATGAGTCGATAAGAACGCCGACTGAAAAAAGTAATGATAATTTTATCATGAATAGTAAGCAGTTGAAACTTGACTTTTTCCATGATGCAAGACAATCTTTTGGCTGTACGGCTTTACTTCTACAAGGTGGTTCTCTTTTCGGTCTTTGTCATTTGGGAGTAGTTAAAGCTTTATATTTTAAAGGACTTTTACCAAGAGTTATTGGTGGAAGTGCAGTGGGTGCTGCAGTGGCTTCGTTAGTTTGCACCTTGTCTGATCATGAATTGATACCCATCTTGCTTTCAATTGCTGATGTAATGAAAAATATCGATTCTTTGAACCATGATGTTGATGAAAGATATGGTAATATCATTGAAAATGTGGTCAAAAAGGGTTATTCTCAAGATATCTTGATTTTCTTGAAATTTGTACGTGATACTATAGGTGACTTGACTTTTGAAGAAGCTTATTTAAAAACTGAAAAAATCTTAAATATAGTGGTTCATCCAACACACCAGTCAGTTCCCTCTTTATTGAATTATATCACGGCTCCAAATGTGATCATATGGACAGCAATTTATGCATCTATTGGAACCGGTGTATTATCCGATAACGTCCAATTATACGTCAAAGATTTTAATAATAACATTGTTCCGAAATCTCCAGACTTTGAAGTAAATTTTCTTAAACCTCAAGATGTTAGTTATCAACAACAATATTTTTCTCATACAAGAAAAGAAGGCTCAATGAATCAAGAGGATTTTGATAATAATCCAATTTTAGATGAACCAAATCATCGGAGTAATAAATTCAAGGACCAACATTTTAACTTGAAAAAAAATTCTCCGTATACTAGACTTACAGAGCTTTTCAATGTTAACCATTTTATCATAAGTTTAGCCAGACCGTATTTGGCTCCTTTAATTAGTAATGACTTAAAACACTATCATTCTTATGGAAAGGGAATTTACAAAACAACCAAAACAGTCTCAGAACCTAAATTCAATCTTTGGCCATCATTATCGAAAGGAAACGAACCTTCAACCAAGAACAATTCAAATTCCTTCGTACATCGAGCCCAATCACTGCATCAATTAGTTCCCTATCAAGCTCGAAACAGTCGATCATCTTACGCTGACCAACCAATGAACGCATCACAACATACACCCATTTCTAAGGAAATGAATAAATTACTTGAAAAGGGTAAAACTTCCATTGAAGATGTTGAACAATTTACGAAAGACACTGGATACAATTTTGTAAAACATTTAAAAAATGTGGTTGGTCTAGAAATTCAGCATCGACTTGATGTTACAAACAAACTTGGACTATTACCAGATATAATCAAGAGATTATGCATTGATGAAAAGCCTTTAACTCCTCAGTCATTGACTAGCATTAGAGAAATTACCATAGTTCCTGAACTTCGATATTTGCTCAAAGATTTTGGAAGAGTTTTCGATGTGCATAGAACTATGGAAAATATTCCATATTGGGTATTGGTTGGTGAAAGATCAGTTTGGCCATTATTTCCAATATTATGGACTAGATGTTCCATTGAGTTTGCTTTAGATGATTTATATAACATTCATAGAAAGAAAAGTTGAAAATTATTCATTAAAAAGTTATGTTCATTATATAATTGATCTATTTATACTTACTATTTCGTTATCGGAAAAATAATTTTATACTAAATTCTTTTGAAATGTGATAGATGTACTCTTTTTCTATAACCTGTAAATTAGCCAATTCATAAGGTATGAGTCCCTTAGATATAGTTAAACATCCAGTAATATCATTGGCTCTACCGGTAGATAATGGCTGTAAATTCAAGTTCAAATTTGAACGATGATAAAGTTTTGTTAAAAAATCGGATATTTTGAAAACCGGATCTTGATCAGAACTTATACTTAAATCAATCAACAGCGAATCCTGCGGAGTTATAATAAACATTTGTTTTGCGAGTCTATTAAGTTTTAATATTTCGAATAAGAATTGATCACTTGTTATATTACTTGACAATAATAAAAGCTCTGGAGATTCGATAAAAATTACTTTAGATTGAGCTTTGGAAGCCTGGACTTGTTTTAAAATATCATCCATAAGTTTCTTGAATTGACCAAAGCAATCTTGAGGGGTTGTTATCAGTTTAGTGAATAAGTTACTAAAACAATCAATGAATTTAAAATTTGACAAATTCGATAAATCAATACCATTTTTTTTACAATTTTTATTATAGAAATCTTGTGAGTGATTGAATGAGACAAAAAACACTTCACTTCTATTCGGGGTTTTCACATTCAAATCATTATTAACCAAGGTTCCAGTTCCCAATAAAGCATTTTCAATAAGTGAATCAACTAGCCATGTTGGTGAAGTTCCTTGCAAGTATGATATTATGGACAAATAAGATTGAGAATTCGCTAAAACCTGTTGCGGAATGATAGAGTTATCATTGAAGAGAACTAAATCTTGCCTTTGAGATGACATGAGTTAACAAGTTACGTTATTATCGTGTATTTGTCTTCGTTTAAAGCTGATGATCTTCTAATCTTCATAGATGTATGAAAAAAAAGAGAAAATGACGTGTGTCAACCAATGAATCTGTTTGATAAAAAAAAATATAGTTCACCTCGCCGATTCGAACCGGTGATCAAATAAAACACCATTGGATATTTACGCATAACCAATGCATCAAATTTTTAGCAGCAGAGCAGCAGGGTTCGAACTGAATATTTGCAACAAGTTTTTTGCAACTATGGTTTATTTGTAGAAATCAAATAAAACTTCATGAAACTAATCAAACTTTCATACATGACAACAAAGATAATTAAGTCAATAAATTATATAAATACGACTTTAATTGTAAATAGTTATTAAATATATATTCTTATACGTCAAAAAAAAAAAAAAAATTGTTTAGTATACTTCATAGTCTGCATCTCTGGCAAAATTTAGACCAATTTCTCTTAACTTTTCTTCAACTCTCGAATCCTCAGCTAATTCAATTATCTCTTCTTCCAAACTCTCTGATTCTCTAAACATTGCAATTTGGGATAGCGTGGCTTTATCTTTAATTCTAAAGTATTCAAGGATATTACTAGCTTGATTTCGGCTCAAACTATTTTCTTCGGCTATTGAGTTTACCCAGTTAATGATCCTATTTCTTCTGTAATAATTTTGACTAGTGTTTGGATCCTTTCTCCAAGAGTTCCCGTATTTTCTTTCTCTTTCTTCAATGGAAAGTTTTTCACCAACTGTATGATACCATTGCTCCACAAGTTGGGGCACTGTTGATTGATACATATCGAAACGTCATAAGGACTTTGGAGCATGCTCTTTTCTTGCTTTTTTCACACATACCTTTGATTTTTTATTCTTTGAGCGTTTTTTGCTCGAGCCCATTTCTAATTCACTTGAGGAAGCTTCAACATTGTCTCCATCATTTGATCCTGATTGGAAAGAATCTTTACTTTGTAGACTACCAGAGCTAGAAGAAAGGCCCTGAACCAGTCTTTTGTCATAAATCATGGTAATCAAAGAATCCAATTTATTCTCCAAAAGGCCCATCTTCTTCTCTAAACTATCTTGAATTTCATTCGAATTTTTGGTTTTTAATTTGATTTCTTCTAACCCGGCTTTAATCTGTTTGCATTCATAACAAATATCTGGAATCAATTTCAAATTACTGACCATGATATCGTGTGACAGCATAATTGAATCATATGTTTTTTGGTTGACATTCGCTAATTTTGAAACCATTGATTCCATAACTTGCTCTAAAATCTGTTGAGTCGTCAGAAACGCGGCCTTCGAATATGTCGAATCCTTATTTGAGTTGACGGAGTTATCAGGTTCTTTAGGATTCATTTCTTGTGAGTCGTCGTCAGATTGGTCGGGGTGTTCTTCTTTGTAGTCTATGTATTTATCTATCGCTGTTAAATTTGGCAACGCTTTCAATCGATCGAACTCCTTAGTCCTGGCTTTATCATCCGAAATCTCTTTGACTAGGTAATTAGCCCAAATTTTTCTAAGGTAGAGCATTGCACTTCGAATTTTCTTCATGTGTCCGACTGTTAAGGGCTTCCCAGTGCCCTTCCCATGTACCATTCTCCGAGAAGAAATATATTCAACCAATAGATCACCAGTTACTTCGATAGTATTATAGCCGGCATTGCTTAGAAACAAAATGTATTGGGTAATACCATACACATGTGACTTAATACTAGATATCTTTAAATGATTCAAAATCTCCTTGTTACAAGGATGTTTACACAATCCTGAAAATTGGTAAAATAACGTATGTGAAATTTTTAAATCCCAAACGTAAACTGGTATAATGTTAAGAGGTTCATCTCGTATCATTACAAGTCCATATTCCAAAAGGCGTTTCAAGACTTTTGTCTTCTCCATGGAGTTTTTTATTCCTTGTAACTGTGATCCAACGTACTCTTGTAAATCTTTTGGTAACTTATTCATTTCTTTGATGTATATCTCATTGTATTCAATTCGGCTTGATTGGGGCAGGCATTTTTTAACACCGTTTGAATCGTAGTCTGAGCCTGAGCTTGAAAAATCTGAATATGAGTCTGACTCTTCTTCTGGATCTTCTTCTGGATCTGCCTGTTCTGAAGACTTTTCGTCTAGCGACTTTGCTAGCTTAACGAGATCAAAAGATTCCTTATTCCGCTTCTTGAATTCATTTGATAAATTCCACAGTGATGGGCCCTTCCCTTTCACCTTATCAACATGTGGTTCGTTTCCTGTCGGTAAGATACTCAAAGGAAAATTACTAGACTTCGTTTTGGAACTATACAATCCTTCATGTCTTACTGGCTTCGACTTCAATAGTTCTTTGTTTTTTCCTTGACTTGTTCTTTGGACCCCAGATACTGAGTGTGTATCGTCATCTGGTGTTTCACTATGCCTTTGATCTTTTGATTTTTTGTTCAATTGAAATGCCATCTTTCTGATTTTGCTCTTCGTCGCTAAAAACCTTTGTAGTTGATAGAAAAGCTGGAAATATTTTACTTCGATCTCCCTCATTTAAATATCAAAATCATACTATAATAAGGTTTCAAGTCTGAAACACCAAGTGTATGCTCAAATAACACAGTCAAAATCACACACAGGATGTTCTATTGCTTCGAGGAATTCTACTCTCTAAAGCCAAACGCTGTTCTACAATTGATACATTCTAGTTGAATCACCTTTTATCTTAAACTAGGTGTACCACTGGCTCAGAGTGGACCAGATTGTCTTTTATCATGTATTGCTTTTAGCATATATAGAAATATGTTATGCTTCAGGCAGAAAAAAACTATGCTTGAGAGGTTTTGTCCTCCGTACACCCATAGTGAAGATTGTCGCGAAATCTCTTCCTTCCTGGTGGTAATTAATTTTTGGTAAATATTTGCAGTTATTTTGACGGTTCAAACCTACTGAACATAAAACTAAATGAATAGACTATCTATGGGGAGATAGGATATGCAAAAAAGAAATGCGCAAACCCGGAATCGAACCGGGGGCCCAACGATGGCAACGTTGGATTTTACCACTAAACCATTTGCGCAGCGAATGGTAAGAAAATGCTCCGCGACGGGGAATTGAACCCCGGTCTACCATGCGACAAACGGTAATTCTAGCCACTAAACTATCACGGATGTTTTCATGTCAGAGAAAATACATGGATCTTTATAAAGGCTAATACTATATTTTCTTTGAAAAAAGTGTTTTTTTTTCTGAATTTTTTTACAAGCAGATTTCAGAGTTGAGTATAACCTTTTCCAGATATTTGGCTTTGAATAAGTAAGAGTTCTGGTCTTATTTGAAAAATTATTAATGTTGTGTATAGAAAAAGTCACCGACATAAAAAAAACCTTTGAACTTCAAAAGATTATTCTGGAATACTGTTATTAATAAGTTACGAATATTTTTCTAGCTTATTTTTGTTGAAATCCAAGCCTTACCATATCTAGGGTGTATTTTTAAATATATATAAAATGCAAATGAATAGAAATTTGCAAAAAACACCAATAAATGCCAGTAAATGTCAAAAAATTACTAAACTTTCACTTGACTTCACTTTTGATTCCCGTTCTATCTCAAAATAGTGAAAAAACCAAACACTGTAAATCGTTTCCTTTCTTAACAGTTATATTGCGCATGTACTTTTGACTGTTAAAGAAATTATTTCAGGGACCAAGACTCAAGAAGTTTTATAGTAAAGTTACCAAAGCTTTCTTAAAAACAGGATACCATTGCGAACAATGACCAAGAAGATTTAAAAGTGAATAGTAAGTTATTGGTTCCTGAGAATTGAATCAGAAAGTTATCGACTTCAACGTGAAGTTGGTTGTACTTTATCAACTCCAACTCATTTATATCCCAATTTTTGGAAATTAGAATATTTAAGTATTTCATTTTACTGAATTCCGCAACGAAGGAACAATAAGGACATATAATAATGTTTTAATACCAAAAACTTGCGTTATAAAGAGGATAATACAGGAATCTTGCAAACCAAGAAGACTAAAATGAAAAACAACTGATGCAATAGCCCTTCAATATAGATATTTTACCAACCACTAATTTCCCACCAACGAATGACATCGTCTCAAATTGGTTGTGTTTTCGCAACTAGCAGTTACCTATGTAGTTATATATGAAACAAACTTTTTAAAGTGTATGAAGAAACTAGTTGTCATGTACTGACAATTTAAACTCTGATATGTGATATAAAAACTAGAAGGCTTCAAAACATTCTTATTTGAAAACAGTTATACCTCTTGTAGGTTGGGTTAGAGTATTATTTCTTTACTAGCTATTCCTTCATAAGATGCCGACGAAGAAGTGAATTTAAACTTCGGCTTCAAAAATATTCTAACTAGGTTTCAGGAAACCTAGCCTCCGTGATTCCTTAAAGAATCAACCTAGAATTGACTTATTTGGGAAATAAATACATTATATACTAAGGAAACTTGCAAAACGAAATTAAGTAACTATCTTAAACTAGTTGAACCTAGATAGACCAGATATTCAATCCACTCTTGGTGTATTTTGATTAGAAAATCACGCTAAACTATAGATTAAATAATCAATTTCTGAGGTGAGGGTTGAAATTTTTAGCAGCCAAAAATGAGAACGATAGCTACATTCAAATATGTCATGCCACCAGGTTCTGTAGTTGATCTCCCTATCTAGTTCATACTAGATCAACCAAGAAAGACCATTATTATGACGTATGATAATATTTGTTAGAACCAACTGTGAAATCGCTTCACCAAGACATCCCATATATATTACAAATGTACAATTAGATAGACACTCCCAGGTCAGAAGGGTGTTCTTCTACTTCGCTGTGACCTATGGACACTAGTGACTACTTCATTGGTTGAGGCATAGGTATATGAGAGCCTCTTTAGTAAATACTTTATATTATATGTTCTACTATTTGGTTTTACTATTTTGTTTATCTGCAATAAGATATATTTCTAAGCGAAACTTGACCTGGATAATATATTAATTTATAACCAAACTGATTTAGTCCGTATCTGACTAATGTCTTATTGCGTGTTTTATGGTTCTTATTGCGTGTTTTATGGTTCTTATTGCGTGTTTTATGGTTGTCTGTTTTGGAAACTAGGTCTACTTTTTGGACAACAGATTTGACCCACATAACTATCTACTTTAAGCAGTTTTTTCATTAGTGAGACCTGCGCAACCCCTACCTTACTGCAGGGGACGTTAAACACTTGACTTTCCACATATGCAACCGTTCAGTTGTGGATATGGGACGATACAAGTGAGAACTTGGAAAAAAAAATGAGTGGTACGGGAATTGAACCCATGTCATCTGCTGACTTCCAATGGAAGGCAAATATGCTAGCCACTACACCAACCACCCAATTTATATTTGAATGTTGAAAATTAGCATTTAAGAAAGAGATTTACTAAGTCAAGCCAAGATGTTAACTCAAAATTCAAAATCGTCTAATATGTGATCAATCAGAGTAAAAAGTATATTCGAGAGAAATATACACGCAATTAATTATAACATATTGTTTATCTGGTTAAAAAAGGTTTTTGTATTGGAAAATTTACTGTTTCAATTTCAATGGCAGCTCAAACTTTAAGTTTTACGATGGTTCAATAAAAAATAATTATCGGTGATTGAATTATTGAAACATAACATAAAGATTATGAGTTGGTTGAGATGAGAGTTGAATGGAATTAAGACGTTCAAGTTGAGAAATCTTCCCCTTTTCAGTTGGATTAGTTAAGATTTCTGCCAGCAGCTCGTTTTTTTGAATTGATGGAAGTTGTTTATTAACCACTTCGGAAGTACTATTTAACCAATAAGAAATTGCATTAAACATGCTTCATACAAACTGATTTTTCTCTGTGACTTACTACAACTTGAGGAAATCGATCTTGATTTGCATTGGGATAGTCACTTCTTATGGTGCGGGCCATTCACTTTGAAATAAACTACAGAAAGAAGGTGATTGATTCAGTAATTAACAGTGTTAGTTGCAAATGGCTTAGCAAAACCACTCTTCCTACGAAATGTTTGAGCAACTTTTGGCTATATGTTGCAACTTAGTATAATATACAAAATATTCTACAGTAGATGGTTTTTCTTGCCGTTAACTTAACCACCGAGTCACTAACCAAAAGCCACTGTACAAACAGCCAAAGAGAAATTTATCGCTACCTAACCAATATTTTTTTAGATTCATTATGTTATAGTAGAACAAACCGTGAAGTTCCCCTAATTTTATCTGCTCCTTTCGGTAGGAAATAATATAAAATATTTTATAAGAAGTAAGGATGAAATTTTTCAATAGAGAACGTACCGATGGTTTCTACTTCTACTTTTTATAACAAATTAGCAGTATCGGGAAATTCAGGCTCTTGATTTAAAACCTAATATCAATTTAAATTTACAAAATCAATCAAATTGGTTGATTTTGGTCTTTCAAGATCACTAGGTGACTGACCTATCCATTATTATAGATATGTATATGATCCCAAAAGGTATAGCATATTAATCTCTAGTCTTCAATTCTTCAAGTTCATAAGTATATATCCATTTTTGTAAACAAAAAATAGAAAACGGTTAAGCTTTCGCTTCATCAATACAATCCTTGCTGTCAATATTTACTACTCGGTTGCATTATTATGGATGTTATAAAAGTTCAATTCTACTCTATAGAGTAAATGATCATTTAGATCTTGGTTTTCTCAGGTAAGATCCCCTCAATTGCCTTTATCTTGCTCGGTGGCTGCAAATATCCTTGAACCCTACGGGAAATAAACGGATACCAGCTTGAATCTCCCCAATACGAACCAGTACGACAAGGGGAGGATGTTTGCATTGATCTACGCCTCGCTACTTATTATATCCCACCTTAATTCCTCCTTTTTAGTATACCCTACATGGTCTTAGACAATTGAACTTAGTCAACCACGGCCGTTTACTCATTACCGCATAACAACTCCGACCGGAACTGGCAGGACAAACCCTGGAGCGCACACGTGACCGCCACTCTGCCAGTTCCGGTGGCTGCCTGGAGGTGGGGGGAGCCGGCCTGGCTGCTGAGGGGTACGCCCGCACTCGCAGGAAAACTCCGTCGCTGCGCTCCCGTAGCGTGCATGATATGTCCGCTGATGCCCGAAGAGCGTTCCTGCACACGGCCGGCCTGGAAAGTTCTCAAAAAAAAAAAAAAAAATTGGGCGAAAAAGAGAAAGGACCAATGGAATATCAGAAAATAAAATCAGAATAACTGCTTAAAAGGGCTCTAGAATGGCTACAACCCCCTCATTTAGTCAGTTATAATTATTCAGGATAAACAAAAGTATTATTATTCACTTAAAAATCTGTAGTTTTTGTGGGGTCATTTCAAAAGAAGAAACTTAACAAAAAAAAAAAAAAAAATAAAATAAAAGAAGAAAAAGAAAAAAGAAAAAGTGAACGAAAGTGACAGAATACTCATACAAAAGAAAAAAAAAAAAGGAATTATTTCTAGTTAGTCATTTAACGTTTTAGCAATTTACATACAATATAACTGAAACTATTATAATTTACCCCAGAAAAGCTAATCAAGATAGTTACAAAATATAAATATAAAAGACAATTCCAATAAACGAAAAAAAAACCTATGTTTACAGAATGACAGAGTTTAATTTGATGGATATAAAAGAGACTAACTTTTTGGATATGTTATCTACCGATATGAATTTCGAACAAGCTTATAATAAGTATTCAACCCTACAACAGAAACAGGCTACTAATGCTATTGAGCATTTACAATCGATGCAGGCGTTGAATCAACAGTATATGAATGAGTTCAGTCAGCAACCCCATCAATTTGATTTCCATCGCCAGGCGATTATCGATGGGAACTACTCTTCGTCGGATGAATCAGAGGAGGAACAGAAACCAGAAGAGATTGATGAATTTTTCAGTAATAGTGAATCGAATGCATTAGAGAAATTTTTAGATAATTTGGCCACTAATAATAGTAATCCATTTGAATTTTATAACCAAAGTTATCAACATGGGAATTTGAGTGAATTTAATAATGAATTATTTGATTTACATACCATGAAGCCAAGTATTGAAGAAGATAAAAAGGAAAATTCAATACATGACTTATTGAAGAAGGAGATTACTGAAGCATTTTCTCATCCTCAATTAAAATCATTATCTAAATTTGAAGAACAAAGACAGCTTCCAACGCCCTTGGATTCAAGACAATCGCTGGCGGTTGGATTTAAACCTCCACAATTATCAATAATATCTCCACCTAATTCTTCGGATAATGAAGAACAACAACAACAACCAACTAAAAAGAGAAGAAGATCATCAACAAAACCGTTACTTACATTGGAACAAAAACGATTGAATCATTCTAATTCTGAACAAAAAAGAAGACAATTATGTAAATTGGCTTATGATCGTTGTTTGCGTTTAATCACCAATGTTGAAGATTATAAAAATCATAAAGTTAGTGCTTGTCCAATATCAAAATCAAAGAAGAAACTGAAGAGAAGACAACTTAATAAAGATGGTTTACCTAATTTATCAAAACACACTGCTTTGGTTAAAATTAGCGAAGAGATACTTAAAATTAAATCAAAAAATGATGGTTTAAAAAAATTATTAAATTAATAGAACAACCAGGTGTTGTATGATAATGATATTTAGTTCTTGTATAGGTTATTAATATGTATTTATTATTTATTTATTTGTATGTCCTGAAAAATGTATCGTACGTTTAACATACTTGTTGATGTCGAATGATACACGTCGAATGACACACGTCGAATGCTACACGTCGAATGCTACACGTCGAATACTACACGTCGAATGTTACACGTCGAATACATGTCGAATGCTATAGGTCGAGTGCTATAGGTCGAATAGTACAGGTCGAATAGTACAGGTCGAATGCTACAGGTCATTTTGATCGATTGAAAAAATCAACGCGTAAATTCCAACTACACCTTCCTTTATGTCCATTAGCTAATAATGAGTAAATCAAACACTCCAACCGATCATCCAGTTAATGGATTGATTATTGGTTCTTTGGAACAACGTCATTCATTATCTAAGATCTATCCCATTCATTTATCTAATAAATTCACCGAATTAAAAGGTTTAAGAGAAGATTTTAAATATATTTATGTTATTAATTGGTTATATCAATGTCGTGGTTATATTAAATTATCTAGCGAATATTTTGATAATGACTTATTCGAAATTGAATTATTGAATATGGTTAATCCTGCTCCAATTGATGATATGATTTTATTCATAAATAAATTAAAATTATCATTAATTTCAAAGATTCAAGGTAAAAAAATTCAATCACTAAATATGTTTGAACCAATTTTTAGAATGTATTTTGGGTCAAATACTCCCTTGGGTGGCAGTAATGAAGATGATGAAAATGAAACGAATTTTGAAATTGATGTTAATTTACCTAAATTTGATAATTTAAATATAAAGGATAAAATTGAAATTTTTTACCTATGTATTAAAGAAATTGTTCAATATCAAGATTTTAGAGATTTTATTGATAAAAATAAATTAAGTCATGATTTAATTAGATTAAATTCAATCTATCTGGAAATTATTAAACCAAGTCAATCAGAAGATTTTACATTATGTTTTAATGATACTTGTTTATATAAAAGAATTATAACTTATCCAAATTTATCAATTCCAAAGAAAAGAAAATTATCTCCATCAAATCCAGAAATTTTTTTCAAATTTGAACAATTTGATATTATCGAAGTAAAATTTGAATTAGTTTATTCAAATATTTATGAATTTAGTGATTTTTTGAAATCAATTAAAATGAAAAAATCATCAAAATTTAAAAGTATCTATAATAAATTATCAAACAAAAACCTCATTGAAAATTACTTCAATATAGAGTTGAAAAAAAGAAAAATTATTACCAATCGTCGTAAAGATTTTGAAATGTCAAGATTAATTGCAACTAGGAAAAAATCTTCAAGGTTGCAAGCAAAGGAACAAGAAAGAATAAAAGAAGAACAAGAAAGAAAATTACAAGAAGAAGAAGACTTGAAATTTGCTGCTCAAAGAAGATTCGAAAGAAGACAAAGTAAAAGGTTAAATGATGATAAAGCACCTGATTACACTGCTGGTTTATCAAGAGAAGAAAGATTGAATTTGAGATACAATAAAAAACAACCTTCTCAACCAATTGATGAAAATTTTATCGATCAACAAACTGAAAATTCTGACCATGTAAAACAAGAACCAACTGAAGTTCTGGGTCAAGAACCAACTGAAGTTCTGGGTCAAGAACCAACTGAGGCTTTGGGTCAAGAACAAACTGAAGCACCGGCTCATATACAAACCGAAGCTCCGATTCAAAAAGTTGAAGCTCCGATTCATGAAACCCCAGTTCAAGCCATGCCAGTTCAAGCCATGCCAGTTCAAGAGCAAGACACTCAAGCCGATATTCCTAAACAAACTTCTGAATCATCTCCTCAGCCTCAACTTAATGAAGTTTTTCAACCAACAGCAATTAACCCAAATTAGATTAATTTCTCTGTACAATTATGTAACTCCCCCTAAACAATCTTCAATGTAAAATAAACAATCGTAATTTGCTATGAATATAGTAATCCATAAGTTGAAATCATTCCTTTTCTATCAGATTCTACTTTCGTAATTTAACTTTGACTGCTTTTCCATGCATTTATTGCTCTTCTACGCGTTTCCCCAACTTTCAATTTCCTTCAAATTCCTTTTTTTGTTTCTTGAACAAAGAATCCCCACCTGCTTGAGTAACACCGCTTCTGCTTAAACTTAAATACAGAGGGCTTTACGTACGAATAGGACGTCTGCTTAATGACAACCTTGGAGAGCATTTTAGTCAGGAATGAGCCGGTTCCCTTATACCGAATTCTTAAAATATACAAGTAAAACGCAAAATCATTAAATATAACAAAGTAAAATAACAAAATAAAGGGAAATACAACAAATACAAAAATAAAAATAAAGATAAAAAAGAAAAGCAGAAAGAGGCTCTTGATTAAACCATATATAAATAAATAGAATAAGGTAGAAGTAATAATATTAAGAAAGAAAATTTATAATAAAAGTAGAATAAGAAAGAAAAGAAAAAAAAAAACGAATGCAATTTTTTATCACCATTACAAGTTCAATTCTTTTAATACTTGCCCGGCTAAAGTTTTGTAGTTCCAAGTATTACCTAATACTTTTTTGAATTGAACCCCATATAAACCAACTAATGGAACTTTAACTATATGAATTTCGAATTTCAATGGAGATTTTCTTGATGTGCTTGACACTGCACCACCTTCGGGGTTACCAGCTTGACTCATCGAGGTATTTGGAGAATGTTGATGTTTGGCTTTATGTTCAATTCTTGAACTAATTAACATATCACTACCACCTCCAATCATTACATTATTTAATGAATCAACACTATCGTCTTCAGTTAATTGATGTCTTGCTTCATCTTCTTCTTCAACTTCTTGATCATCCAACTCTTCGTCTGCATACATCAGTTTAGATAATTTAGCAGTAGCTGGTGTATTTGGTGGCATGTTAACCCCTGAACCATTCTTTTTTCTATAGGAATTTAAAATACTTTGTCCAATTGAAAATTTACGTCTATGACCACCTCCAATGGAATTTGACGATCTATGTCCTCCAGGTTTACCACTTGGCGATAATGAATGAGTATTAAGATGTAATGATGGTTGTCTACTTAAACTCTTGGATTGTTGATGATGTGGAGTATATTGTCCACCACTAGATAACGATGAGTTTGCTTGATCATTCGTAGAATCAGGAGTTTTGGTTCTAGTAGGAACTTCTTGTTTTTCTCTTTGTTCATTATAAAATGATGATGACGTTGACTTGAATGCATCTCCATATAATTTTTTCTCCTCTTCTCTTTCTTCTTCCTCGTCGGCAGTTCCGCTGGCCATTGAGACATCATTACTATATGCGGATGTATCTTGCTGACCTTGTGGTAATGCGGATGGTGATCCTGATCTAGATTGACTTTGATTTTGTAATGAAGGAGTATGTACACAAACAAATCCTCCTTTAACTTCTTGAAATTTGACTCCCAATTTACTCAATACATTAATTATATTATATCTGATAACTGGTAAAGGTTTGGTAGATGTAGTTTGAACACTGAAAAATCCCTTCAAAAATAAGGTCTTTGGATATTCTATAGATGGCATAGTATTATGCTTAGCATGATTAAATTGTTCAATGATTTCATGTTCTGATAATTGTGGGATTTCTTGGTGTTCAATATTATCCAAACTAACATCATCAAAGAATACTTCCTCACGTTGATTATTATTATCACTAATTCCATCATCGCTGTTTTGAGATGCCAATGAGTTTGGTAATGGTGGATGTGATTGTCCTGTGTAACCTCCACGGCGCGAATGGTACGAATCTTTTCTAACATGACCACCGACTGACTTTGCTCTTGCAGTTGGATGTAATTTTCTACCACCAGAGGCAGATTCGGTGAGGCCTTGTTTTTCATTACTATTAGAAACACTTATACTATGACTACCACTACCACCTGGGATATCAAGATTATTTGTATTAATATTTGGTAATGGTGGTAAGTATTCGACTGGAATGAACCCATGGAATTTATTGTTTGAAGCCGATGAAGTACGACTATGACCCTTATTGGCCAGTTCTTCTCCTCTATTAACTCTATCGTTAGCTTTTTCGGATCTATTTGGTGGATTAGATGCTAAGTTAATTCTTGAGCCAGATTGTTTTTCTTTAGCTGTGACCTTCATACTTACACCACGACGAACCATTGGATCCTTCTTATCAAGGTTAAGATTTTGAGAGTTCGCAATTTCCTGTTGGTTACTGTTATTGCTGGTTTGTGGAGTGATTTTATCTTGCGAATCTTTAATGACTGAAACTCTTGGAACTGGTGGTGGTGCAAAAGTTTCATTATTATCAGAATCATTTGGAGAGGCAGTTGTATTCTTGGTTGGCGAATTAGTTGGACTATTCTTGTACTTCTTCGATGATAACCTACGTAATAATGAATTGAAACCCAGACCTTTAGCAACATTAGGATCCAAAGTATCTGGTGATCCAGAATCTCTAGGACTATGAGGTTGTTGTTCAGGAAGAGTGGATTCCTGTTTCTGAGTTTCATCTTCACTTTGTTGAGTATGTGCGGTTTGAACAGGTGGTGATTGCGAGCTTCTGGTAAATGTTGCAGGTGACGAAGAAGTATGAGCTTGTTCTGGGAATGATAATTCGGGAACATTTTGTTGGACTTTTGTAGGAGGATCTTCTGACATTGGTTGTGGTTGGTAAGGATGAGATTGAGGTTGTTGAGGTTGAGGTTGTTGAGGTTGTTGAGGTTGCACCTGTTGACCTGATGGTTTTTGTTGTGGAGTAACTTTTTGTGCCAATTGAGGATTTTGAGAAGGAACTGGGGAAGGAGTAAATGGTTTAGCACTAGCGGAGGCAACAGCAGCTTGGTCTTGTTGTTGTTGACGACGTTGACGATGCTCAGCGTGTTGTTGTAATTGTGCTTTGATGGCTTCTTCTTTAGCTTTCTTACGTTTTTTCATTTCGTCAACCAAATAATAAATCGAAACTAATGGATGGAAACCACCAGTTGGATCAGGTAATAAATGAGCATTTGAAGCTGAAGCATAAGGTCTCCCTTGTTTAGTAATTCTATACCAATTTTCAGAACTCATTTGGTATTCAACACTACTTAATATATTTGTTAATTCATTAGCAATTGATTGAACTGAACCTAAATCAAATGATGCAATTGTTTTAATAATCTCTGGATCTAATGGTAATGCTAAAGGTATTCTTTTTGGTACATAATTTGAAACAGTAAAATCGTAACCTTTATTGAGCCAAGGATGTTGCATAATTTCATATAATGTTGCTCTTTTAGTTGGATCAACAACTAACATTCTTGAAAGGATTGAAATGCATTCTTTTGTTAAGAAACTAGGATATTCAACATCACCACGTTTGATTTTTTCATGTAAAACGGCAACTTCTTGATCATCAAAGGGAACTTTACCACAAACCAAAACATATAATACAACACCGAATGACCAAACATCGACTTCTGGACCAATATATGGTTTAGCACTTAATAATTCAGGGGCTGCAAAATATAAAGAACCACAATAAGTTTTTAAGACAGATTTAGGACTATACAAATTTGATAAACCAAAATCAATTATTTTAATATCACCTTTCTGATTGATCATAATATTTTCAATTTTTAAATCACGATGAACAACATTATTTTTATGACAATAATCTAAAGCTGATGCAATGCCACGAGCAAATCTTCTAGCAGCTTTTTCTTTTAAAGAACCATGACTAACAATGTAATCCAACATTTGACCACCTTCGACGTATTCAAACAACATATAATAATGGTTTGTCATTGGAACCATTTCATATAATCTACAAATAAAAGGATGGAATAATAATCTACCCAATGCACCTTCACGAATCGTACGTTTATCTCTAGCAACTTCTTTTTCAAATTCTTTCTGTTTTTGAGCTTTAATCTGAGCATCGGTAATTGGAGGATCATCTGCATGAGCTCTTTGATATAACTTAGCAGCTCTTGGTACAATCTTAACAGCACAAAGTTCATAAGTTGAATTATGTTGAGCTAATTTAACTTTACCCATTGAACCAGCACCAATTGTTTTCACAAAATCCCAATCACCAATGGACTTTCTATGAAACTGTTGCTGTTGATCTTGTTGTTGTTGCTGTTGTTGTTGATGATGGTGATGGTTTCCATGGCCATGGGCCCCACTGTGGGCCTGGTTTTGTTTTTGAGCATGAACTTGTTGAGCATGAGCCTGTTGAGCATGAGCTTGTCTTTGTTTTTGAGGATCTAACAGTTGATGTTGTTGACGAGTTTGCCCTTGGTTAGCAGAGACAGTACTTGGAGTTGCAGAGTCATTTGGCATTGGAGGGGTAAAGGAAGCTGGAGGCAACAATTCTGACTTTTGAGCTTGTGCCTGTGCCTGTGCCTGTGCCTGTACCTGTGCCTGAGCTTGGGCTTGGGCCAACTGAATAGATTGATCATATTCTGGAGAGTTAGTGAACATTTGGACGGGAGTTGGAGGAGGTAAAGGTCTATTTGAAGATGAAAAATTTCTTGAGGCAGGGACTGCACCTTGACTGCTAGAGCGAATACGTCTATTTTGATTATTATTATGATTAACTTTATTATTGGTTATATTAGCTTGTTGTTGTTGAACCTGTCTTTGAGCTGCTTGTTGGAATTGTTGTTGTTGTTGTTGTTGAATCTGATGTTGTAAAGAGGAGTTTCTTGAATGGGATTGATTATTTGGATACTGAGAACTAGCAGCCACGTACTGGGGGAAATTCTCATTATAATTTTGGGATGCATTATTTAAGTCGGTTTTTGAGCTCTTCATTGAACCACTAACACTTCGTAACATTCTTGGGGTAGCCGGTCTACCGGGTTGTAATTGTTGTTGGAAATGATGCGATGAGCTTGATGGAGATGAATTAGTCGGGGTAGAAGAAGTAGCCACGGCAGCGGCAGCCGCATCACCACCAGTAAACATTGGTTGAGGAACCATCCCATGTCCCTCGGGTGGGTTAGTCTTATAATGATGACCATGGAGTTCATTATCATTATTTGAACCACCACCACCGATTATTTCCCGATTAGTGGGTTCGGCGGCTGTGGATGAATTATAACCAGAATTGCCCTGGTATTCATAATTTGTCAGGGTATTCATGGTGGACGACAAGTGCTCTATGGATTATCTGGAGATATCAATTAAAACTTTGTTGGGAATATGGGAAAGGGGGAAATTTAACAAAAAAATTTTTTTTTCGTTCTCTTCTTTGACGCCACTAGTCCCAATCAATAGGCCAATCAAGCTTTATTGAACAGATGAACAGTAATTGATCAATCAGATGATACCTCTATATCTCAAGGTATGTATTGCTTCTAACCGCCTTTATCAAGGTTCAAAAGTGTTGAATGAATTAGTCTTTTTTTGGCCCTTTTTTTTTTCTTCCTTTCTTTGACTTCCTTTCACTTCTTATCAGTGATTGATGTAGCTTGGAAAAAACAGTAGCAACACACTCAGAAAGGGCTGGAGACACTAACTAAGACGGTGACGTTGGATTGAATGCCTGGATGGATGAAAAAGATGTAAGATATAGATGAATTGAAGCTAATCCCGACTTTTTCTGAACGATTATCAAAGAGAAAGAGAACTACACTTTGCAAAGCTTCCTTTTGATTTTCTCACTTTTTTTTTTTTTTTTTTTTGCTGTCTGATTCTATAAGCAGGACGCAGCGCCGGGCAGAGCAGTTCCGGGGGTGTTAACGGGGGCAGTCACGGGGGACGAGCACCCAAACATCGATGAAAAGAGCACTTCAACAAGCATCCCAGTTTGCAGCCAGTAATCTCAGATGAAATGGGAGACCCAGATGAAATGGGAGACCCAGATGAAATGAGGGTGCTAGGTGAAATGAGCTAGCTTGGCTGTTCTCCGGATGGAGCATTCAGCTTTGTTAGACTGCTCACAATATATCTTAGTTCTACAGTAAGGGGAGTCCCAGGCTTGGGGGAAGGGTGACCGTAAATCAAGGCTTACGCACAACCGACCACCAAACCGGGGGGCCGGGGGTAGTTTTGCACTAATAAAAGCGATGCAAAACAGAGGATTGTGTGTTGGGTGGTTGAATGGGGGTTGAATCTGTGCTAAGTAGATGAATGGTAAAAATAGGACTTGTACATTGCCGTATTATTAGTTTCATTTGAAGTGATTCATTTTAAGTTGCTGGCTTGAACAGGGATCCAACCTTTTTTCGTTGTTTTTGGTTGTTTTTTCGTTGGTTTTTTTTTTTTTTTTTTTTCAAGTTCCGTCTTGTTTGCGCTGAACACGGCGAAGAGCTGGGTAAGCTGACTAGCTCAATTGACTTGAGTCGGTTCAGGCTTGTTGTAAAGATGATTACACGAGCCGGGACTGGAAAAGAAGGAAGTAAACCAACAAAAAACGAAAGAAAATAGAATTCATCCTTCACGATCTGAAAGAATTACTCCATTTAGTCATTTTTGCTAGGAGAACAGAGCATTTTGTAAGGTATCTGTAAACAGCCCAGCTCGGCATGCTAAATATACTTCTGATCGACATATGATCGGATTGACAACCAATTGTAGGTCTAGTCGATGTTGGTTGTAGGAAATCGTGAAAAAAGCGAAAGGGGGAAGCCCCTGGTGTGCGGGTCTTTTTTTTTTGACAAGTTTAATCTGAAGTTTAAGGTCTAGCTCAAAAGTTTAAGGTCTAGCTCAAAAGTTTAAGGTCTAGCTCAAAAGTTTAAGGTCTGACTCAAAATTTTCAGGTCTAACTCAAAAGTTTAAGGTCTAACTCAAAAGTTTAAGGTCTAACTCAAAAGTTTAAGGTCTAACTCAAAAGTTTAACGAAAGCTTATGGGATCGTCTACAACAGTCTAATTTAAGTAATGTTTATTTTAATGAATAGAAACCTCATCTGGATGATGAAAAGAGAAATATAAACTTCAAGGAATAGACATTTTTTCCTTAATCTAATCGGATCGTTAAAGAATATTTTTATTTTATTTCAAAATTATATTTTGGATATTTGTTATTTCATGAAATCATTAGTCAACCATTTAATGATCTTTGTGATGTTTCAAATGGGATTGGTATTCCCAAGTGTAACCAAAAAGAATAACAGCAATGGCTAAATGAATCAATGGTTTACCAGAAGCATTATCACCTTCGAAATAGGCAGCTTTATATTTGCCCCATGGAGTGGTTGGTTTCTTGAATCCTGGTGCTGGTCCAGTTGGTAATTTCTTATAGAAAGAAACAACATCTGCCATTCTTTTGGCATTTGGATTAGAGCCAATATTCTATCAAATGTTAGTATTTATTCGGTCCACTAAATAATCTGCTTCTCATTTTCTCAAACATACCTTGGCGGAAGCAACCTTTGGTGGAATCAAGGTAGACAATTGTCTTCTAATAATAAAGGACATGATTGATTCTTAATCTATTGAATGAAAAAGCCTATCAAGTATTTCCAATTCTTTTCTTCTCTTTTTTTTTTTTGAATTGAAAACTTGTAGCGCGCTAACAAAATTCGGGTTTCCCACTCTTTCTCGCTTTCTCATTCGTTGGTGGACTTGGTCTGTGCACTACTACGGCGGTCACGTGACGCGCGCACCATCCTACCCTTTCTGGCTACAGCACCCGTACATACAGTTTTTGCTTATATTAAAGTAATATACAAAGTCATTAGTTCATCAGTTAAGCTTCACTTATGTATAACACTAGAGTTTGGTTAGTAATAAATCTTTTTTTTTGTAAGATCAATGGCACATACCGTTATTTCCTCTGATGAAAACATCTCCATAAGTTCTGCTTTCAATACCCCCAACGTGTTCTTTGGCATCGTCCAAAACAATATTCATGTATCCATCTATACTTTGTAAGTTACCAGAGTATTCAACTCCATTATGTAATTTGACCACTACCGAACTTCCAATGATGGTGCTTAGGAAATTGGATGGATTGGTCTTGGTAATGCTTGCACTTGGTGTCACAACGTCTGTCATCCTGATTGGCTTGTGTTGTAAACCAGTTAATCTTTTGTCACTTTGATTTTGAAATAAGTTTGGAAAAAAATGAAAAGAGGTGTGCGCAAACCACGATACTGGTTTCGTACACCAAATTTGCTGCAATTTTTGCAACTGCAAACTCCACCACTGATATTAAGATAAACGTCGTATAATGGTTGCACAATCACCAATTTCAATACGGGAGCGTGATCCAAGTATTAAGTACATTTAGCGGATAACTCTTATGTAGGTTCTTTGGTTATGGGGATAACCTATACAACTATAACAATATTAAATATAAGATAGAATGTATCTACCGAATTCTATGTTTTTATTTGATGATATCCCAAGGGATCGTTGAACGGTTCCTTAAAAGTCCCTGAGCTGGAAAATCATGATGATAACTTTGATGATGATGATTATGATAATTCTGAATCTGAAGATGGTTATTCTGATCCCAAAAGAATTTGTCCCATTCTGTTTAGCCCCCAGCCTTCTGTGTGTGATCGATAATTAATCAGACATAATCGACATATCTTCATGATCGACACAACTCGAATTCATTCTCCTTCCCCTGGATTAATTCAATCGTCCCTCGGAAGTTGTGCTTTGCCTTCTCATTGAGAATAGTCCTTGGTTGACCTGATATATATCAGATTGGAATTCAACCGGTACCGCCGCATACCATGCAACTATGTAGTAATAAGTATTCGTCTACTCGTTCGTCTTTATCCGGACTTCTTATAGATCCTATAACGGTGTTGCTACTATTTAGTAAAAAAACGAATATCCCGAATCCCCTTAAAATATCGGTATACACAGTTGTTCCTACAGATATATCTGTATTGCTCTTTTGAAAATTTCTCATGCTTTTCGTCAGCTATTCTTATCTTGTAACAAGCTATTTATGTCTGTTCTTTATCATAATAGATGCAAGCAGAAAAAAATTATGCTTGACAGGATTCCCTCCGTACACCTAGAGCGAAGCTCGAACTTTTTCTTCCTGATGGTAATTTATTCTTTGTAGATTCAACCATTTTGATAGTTCAAACCTCCTGAACAAAAAACTAAAGCAATTAATGGGCAATCTATAGAAATACAAAATATGCAAAAAGAAATGCGCAAACCCGGAATCGAACCGGGGGCCCAACGATGGCAACGTTGGATTTTACCACTAAACCATTTGCGCAGTGNATGGTAAGAAAATGCTCCGCGACGGGGAATTGAACCCCGGTCTACCATGCGACAAACGGTAATTCTAGCCACTAAACTATCACGGAAGATTTCATGTCAAAGAAAATACCTAGATTTTTATGAGCGCTAATATTATAGAACATAAGAAAAATAGTAGCTGTTTGCCGATTTTTTCATTTATCAGAATTATTCTTTAATCGTTAGTGATTTCTGGCAATATGTAATAACTTACAAGCATACTTTAGTTTGAGCCAAGAAATTTTCGAAATTTTACATGAAAAAGGCTGTTGAAACAAAATTTTCTTTTTCAATTTTAATTAATTCACCAGGAGCGGTTACAGAATCTTAAAATTGCTTCTGAAACGTAACTTGGCTAAATTGTTTTATTCCGAGGGCTTAAAAGTGGATTTTCAACGAATATAGTGATAATAACAAGGTGTCCTGCAATATGAAGTTTGTGAGTTCTTAGCCAACTTCTAATACTATGTTTACCTTTCCGAAAGATTAATGAACAGAATCTATTATTGGCTCTTTTCCACAGAAAAGACCATCAATCAACCCTCAGCTGTCTTTCACCAAGAGTCAAGTGAGGGCCATTTTGCAACCATTGACCACAAAGCATGGGGATTTCGAAGAATTCTCTTTGATTCTACTTAGATTACCCTAAGTTTCTTGACTTATATTGCTTTCGACTTCCCCTTGTAATATTTCATAAAAATGTATTGCAATAACCTGGTTGATTAGAGAGAAATGTACATTGAAGTATATTCATATATCGGGTTATGTGGGTAGATCAGACCTCTGTCGTCCTCAAGAATCTACGTAGTAAGTACCTGTACCAGACTGGACGACCATAACACACGCAATTAGCTATTAGTCAGATACATACTAATAACGATTAGTGGTGGATTAATTTACTAATTAGATTAATCTTTTAGCTGTTATTAAAGGGAGAATAACTTTATTTCAATTAATACTAATATAATAAAAGCCATAAATTAAATATATATGTTATTGTCATTACCGAATGAAAACTCTCTGTAGGGCATCGACCCACTCTTCAATCCATTAACCAATGGGATTAGCCATGAAGGTCCACACCACAAAAAGTCTTCAAGGCATTTCCATCAGATGAGGAAATGCCTACTTATTTATATACTTGTTCTCGTAAAAGACGCTCTCATCCGATGTTGTTTCACATGTTTGTAAGCTTTGCTTAAACCTCAGCTTGATGATGTCTGTGATCTGCCTTGATGTAAATCAGGCCCAGACATCACCGCCAGACCTTCACGGTCTGACATCATATAATCGAGATATTATCATTAGTTTCCTTTTAAAATAGAAACGAGCTTCATTTATCTTTTTATGGACCACTCTTATCTGTTTTCGTCGAAATCATCTTCTTCCAAAAGAGAAAGACGAACTTACTATTTAAAAAAATTACCCATCTTCTCGATAAAGTTATTGTATGAAGGTTTGAAAATCAAAAAAGAAAAGCACAAGAAGCAAATTAACGAATATTTTAGTTACAATAGTAGTATGAATTGTTCATGCACTATTAAGCATATTTCGAGTAGTATTGCAGCCATTTGTCCATACTCCGGATTTTCGTGAGCCATGAATCAACTCCAGAAAAAAAATCATAAATGAAAAAAAAAAAAAATTACCAAATGTTTCCATTGAGCTTAACTAACCCATTGAATTCTTGATGATACCCAAAGCTAATATTAGAATATTCAATCCAGCGTCACTGACTAATTTTCAATGGAGAGCATTCAGCCAAACCGCACACTACTTTCAAAATGTACCCTCTTATAACATAGCGGTGGTTGGAGCTGGACCGGCCGGTTTTTATGTAGCACACCATTTATTGAATAAAAGCTCACCCAAAGATCAATTCAAATTGCATGTTGACATTTTCGATAGGCTTCCTGCTCCTTATGGATTGAGTAGATATGGTGTTGCCCCAGATCACCCTGAAGTTAAAAATTGCGAGGAATATTTAGATAATTTAATGGCAAAGTTTTCACCATCGGATGAAGAAAATCACCAGGTAAGATTCTTTGGGAATGTTAATATCGGTGAGGATATTAACCTTGTTGATTTACAGAAAAATTATCATTCAATAGTCTTGTCATATGGCTGTACTAGCGCAGATAATCAATTAAAAATTCCTGGTAATGAATTACCAGGAGTGATATCTGCTCGTCAATTTGTCAACTGGTACAACGGGCATCCAGATTGTGATTCCAACCATTTCACTCCTCCAGATCTAAGTAAAATAGAAGACGTAACTATTGTTGGTAATGGTAATGTTGCACTTGATGTTGCCAGAGTTCTTTTGGCTGATCCTGATTCACACTGGAACCCCACTGATATTTGCTCTAGGGCAGTCAAAGCTCTTCGTAATAGCTCAGTGAAAAACGTCAATATCATGGCAAGAAGGGGTTTACTTGAGTCTGCTTTCTCTAATAAAGAAGTAAGAGAATTATTAGAATTATCAAAAAAAAATAAAGTAAAATTCATTCCAGTTGATGAAAAAGTCATGGACGAAATCCAACCATTCGTTAAAAACTTGGGCAGAGTTGATAAGAGAAAAATTGGGATCTTAGAAAAGTATTCTAAGCAATCATCAGAAAGTGCTCAACTGGACCCTGATACTAAAACTTGGTCCTTACAATACTTAAAGAGTCCTATTGAATTTGTGAAAAATCCAAATGATGATAACTTGTTAGCCGCAACTAGAGTCAGGTTAAACACTTTAAAACATGATACACTTACTAATAAAACTTCTATAGTTTCTTCAGAAGAAGCTGCTATTGAAACTGTTAAAAATGAGTTAGTGATTCTTTCAATTGGATACCAAGGATCACCTTTGACTGGGTTCGATGATGTAGATGTTTCATTTGATACCCATCAAAATAGATTATTAAACCATGAAGGTCGTATATTATTAAATGAAACTGGCGGTGAAAATCCCCATAATTTTAACTATAAAAAAGGTTGGTATACAGCGGGCTGGATTAAAAAGGGGCCAAAAGGTGTTATAGCTACGACGATGATGGAATCATTTGAGACTGCTGATCAAATTTTAGAAGACCTTACTAATGATGTGCATACTTCGGCTTCTTCAAAAACAGATGTAACTGAGTTACTTCAAAATACAGAATATGTTTCTTGGAATGGTTGGACAAAATTAAGTGAACAGGAGATAGAAATTGGAGAAAAATTAGGTAAGACTAGGGAAAAAGTTGTCAACACTAGCGAAATGATTCAAATTGCTAACAATTGATTGAAACTGCTTACATGTAAATAATCATATACATATAATTTTTAACAAAATGTATTTGGAATCTTGTCTATATAAAGCCAAAGAAATGAAAACGGAGATGTAAAATCTATTTGAGTTTATCATCACATCCAGTTATCTTCATCAAGTAATGAGTATGTTCATTCTTCCCCATTGAATCGGGCCACATCTTGCCTAAACTTGGAAATGCTTCTTGGCTGATACCATTAACGACATAGTTTTTACCTCTTCTTTCAACATTTTCAGGGTTATGAGGTAAATTTTTCTTATTGATAAAGTATTCGAAACCACCATGTTCGAAAAGATAACTTGTTGGAGGAAGGTATGGAACCATATCATTTTTATGGGTTACTCTAATAAAACCAGATTTGAAGCGACCATTAGCATTGATATGTGAAATAGTTTTATGCGTATTAAAATGAGTATCAGCAAAATTCATAAGTTCAGCATTACCTACTTTAGGACCTCCAAATGAAACAACCAAAGGGTCCAAGCCCATCATTTGAAACTCAATTCCACTTAAAAGCGCCAAAGCAGCCCCCAAAGAATGACCAACAATAACCAATTTATAATCAGGATTTGCATCTTTCAAATCAGCAACTTCACTTATAACTTTGGCACAGTTATTTCTGACAAAGTTATAGAAACCCCTGTGAGCCATACATCCTTCACAACTTACTTTCTTTGATCTGCCTTTGAAGTATTTACCAGAGTTCACCATTGGTTCATATTTTACCGGAACAGTATCAAAATCACCAATCCAATCTCTGGTGGAAGAAGTACCTCTGAAAACTAGCAAGATTCTTTTGGAAGGATGATCAATTGCGTAATACCCTGAACCCACTTCCCCCCAGTCATTAAAGTCAAAAGTTGCAAGTACTTGAATGTTTTTATACTTTGGCTGCTTACATTTTTTCAAGGGACAATTAGTGTCACTGTTTCCAAGCTCACCTGGACCAAGGCCTCTTTTCAAGCAATAAGCAATCGAAGCAATATTGGCATAATCAACCAAGTCATTATATTCCAGGTAGGAACTACTTGCAGTCAAGCTTGTATTTGAGCTTTCAATTGGAATTGCCGATACGAATAGAGCTGTAAGACTGTATGTTAAAAAGTTTTTCCAGAGCATGATCGTTCTAGAGACTACAACTCCATGACATCTAAAGAATTGTAGAAGCATGGTTATTTATGTATTTAAAAGATGGTAAATTTATGGTAGGTTACATCGAACTTCAAAAAATAATCATTTTTTGCAACTTTTATCGTTTGTCGCAATTCTGTTACTGGCTTTGACACAATTTTTAATCAATAATTTACCAAATTTAACAAAAATGAAATAAATTTCACTCGAAGCATAAAATCATAACTTACATTACTTAATATTCTGAGAAAAGTCTATTCATTAATCGTAATATAATTATATAGTTTTAAATACATCTTGATTCTTGGTGAAGTCTATTACATTTGACGCTACAAGAAAATAATCCGCATAGAGTACATCTAGAGTATGGTGAATTAAGTCCACATATGCAACAAAGCTTTAATCTAGGTTTGAAAGGCTTAAAACGTTGAACATTCTTCTGTTTTTTGGATGGAGGCTCGGCAATGGTGGAATCACCTTCAAGAAACTGATAATGGACACTCAATATTGAATTCACCGACATCAAATTTCTCTCTTCTTCGAAATATGAGTTTAAGTTTCTTCGTGCCGCCAAAATCTTTTTCGTGGTGGGGGTATTACCCAACCTGGATTTCTTATCGATCAGGGACTTATTTTTCGAATGAACACTTTGGTAAGAAAAGTTCTTGGGCAAGTCAAATGAAGAGGAAGGAGTCTCTCTATTAAGCTCATTCATTCTCCTTGTTGCTATTTTTTCTAGTTGTATTTGTTGTGACGATTTCAATGGGGTATTTCTATTGGTGACGTTATTATTGGTTTGGGTCTGGGCATTCATCAAATCATTCAAATTATAGTTGACTTTGGCTCGGTTCTTAGACATCCTACTGTTATTCGGCTGATCATTACCGTCTTCTTGTTCTTGTCCTAATTGTGGAGACCCATCCCGTTGAATTGAATTAATCCCCGAAAAGGCTGAAGGTCTAGCTGTGAGATTAATCAGCGACGAGAAGTATACAGTAGAGTTTCCAGACTTACTGCTTTTCGGTACCTCCTCCACAAGCATAGTGTATTTGGCTTATACTAGCTAAAGTTACTCTTAAGAATGCTAGTTTAGCTTCTAAGATTGGTATGCTTTGAAATTTTTTTTTTCAAGTTAAGGAAAAACACACCCGTACACCACAATTTATTTCTACAGTACAAACACATATAGACAAGGACATTATACATTAATTCTATTTACAAATGGACATAAACCAGGAAATATTTCTTTGCAATGCTTACTTCTTCTCCGGTTATTTCTTTTCGTTTTCACCTTCGGTCCCCAGGTTTATTTGCTCAGAGGTAAATGGTTGATCTTCCCTGGCTTTATCTAACATTGGCTTGATCTTATGTTTTGCCAAAGCAGTGTTGACACAAGTGGTGTAGTCTTCCCACAATTCAACACATTCATTTTGCATCGACTTTCCTTGAAGAAACTTCTCGGTGTACCATTGGTTGAAACAATCATCGTACTTGTTTTTGGCCTCCGTACATTCAGGAGCAAATGAGACCGACATGATATTTCCCATACTAGAGTATTATCTGTGACACTGGAGTACACTTGAGCACTATCTGTAAGACTTGAATAACGACCTGATGTTGTAAATGAAGTTTGAAAGTTTTCAATTTTTTTTGAAAGAAGAGAAAAATTCAACTGTAAAACTGTAAAAAAAAAACCCAAGCTGCAAACGCGTACCCAGTTATAAAGCTTTAGAATCAAAACAAAGTTATTATCAGATTGGAGGATATCAAGAAAGACACGGCTATATTGAAAGATTGACGCTAGGATGAAGCCATCGCTGGAACCCGGATCGTCATCCTCTCGTAGGAAATCGACCATAAATCTCAGAAGACACACTAGAATTGACGACAACTTAGGCGGAGGATCATCAACTTTGGAACTTGAAAAACTCGAACAAGAGATAACGTTAGTTTTACAACAGATAGATACCAATTTATCAAGGTCAAATAGCATTATAAATGACAGGTTATTTCCTATACTTCGAAAATATGCAACCCTGACATCAGCAGCTTGGAACAATGTTAGTTTTTGGAAGTATTTCTTAGAAGAAGCAGCTGAAGTGGAAATACAAGATTATGATGAGGATCCAAAGGCAGCTACAGAACGTAATACATTAGCAAATTCGAAAGTGGCTAACTTCAACTCCTCAGATGATGAAACTAGCGAGAATGAAAAAGCGCTTGAACCGCTGAAAAGACCTGTGCTTAAGAATATTCAAGCTGGTGAAGAAACCGGTACTTGGACCGCTGAACAGCAGAGAGGATTATTGAAGAATCAGCAAAGCCAATATCAAATCCAAGCATCCACCCCACAACTAGCATCTAGACCTTCTCTCATTGCAGATCATGACAATAATAAAAATATCATGGGTCCACCAGCCACTGCTATAAGGTTTGACTCAAATGATACTTTTGCGCCTCCTCCCCCAGTGGCTACATCTAATAGTCAACCACAGCAAATGTTTAACACGCTCATGAATAACCTATCCCCTATAAGAAGAAATCAAAATAATGAACCAAAACAATCTCACATAGTTACTCTTGATAACCATAGAAAAGTGTTAATATCACCAAAGAAATCATCCGCTCGTACACAGATTTTCGATAACGCTGATAATAAAAGAACATCAATGATTCAAAATTTCATAAATTCTTCACCTACTTTACCAGAACCACCAAGATTACTATCAGAAATCGGTAGAAGTTCATTTGGTAAAAGTGGAGGTAGTAGTAGCAATGGAGAAAATCATGAAAACATACCAATTAGCTCATCAGATAAACAATTAAATAAGTTATCACCAATTCAAATTGGTGAAGTAACCCCAAATCATAGGAAAAGAACGAGTAATGAGGAACTACAAAGATTTCCCCGAACTCCAATTTTTTCTTCAGGAGGTAAGAGAACCAGAATTAGTGGTGCCAATGATTTGAATGTTGATGTTGACGTGACCAGAACCCCATTGGGAGTTAGGATCAGGTATGGTGATGATGACAGCGATTTACAACCTCCTGATTTACAGAATAAACCTTCGGACTTAATTGATGCAAACCAAGACCCAGAAGATGAAGATGTCCCCCCATTACCAGAATTGGAAACTATAGAGATACAGAATAGAAAGAGAAGAGTGGAAGGGTCTCCTACCAAAAAGTCAAATGGTGAAAGAGATAAATTACCTGTAGATGATGATGAGGAAAATGTATTTCTTGAAGGCAACTCTCAAACTCAAAATCAAGAACGTAATTCTACAGTGTACCATTCAATCATTCAACAGGAAGAAGAAAATCCAAAAAGGTCCTATTCAAACTTATTCCAAGATCATAATGTTAACGATAAACAAGATAATGCTAAAGAACCTGAGGACGATGAAAACAACAATAATAACTCTCGAAATTTTGATAACTTACTCGATAATGATACTACCGACAACTCTAACAGCAGCCTCGGTCCCATTCTAAGAGAAAGATGGAATAGTATCAAAAGACTGGGTTCATAGATATTCAATATAAACCATTAATATATAATTTTCAGTGTAATCGATTCCGCGGTCCCTCCGGAGGTTGCAAAATATGTACCGGCCCGCTTAGAAAAAATAAAAATAAATAAAATCAGCAAAAATCGACAATCTATTGAAAGAAAATGTATAACCAGGCAAATCAGTGAAGTAAGATAAGGATGGCTCGAAAAGCAACAAGGACCAACAAGAAATCCACTAGAAAGCAAAGGAAAGCAGTATCACTAAAAGATGCAGAAGAAGAGAACACTTCAGCAGCTGCTAAAACAAAGATTTCAAGAATTATCACTGCTTGTGCTAGATGTCGTTCACGGAAAGTGAGGTGTGATAAAGCAGTTCCTCGTTGTCTGAACTGTGTAAAGGCAGGAATACAAGAGTGTATTTGTATTGACGCAATGACCGGCGAGAGTATCAGCAGATCATATATTGCAGATCTTGAAGATCGATTGAGAGAAGCTAAGGAACAGCTCAATGGGATAAAAAGGACTCAATTGACGGGTCAATTCTTCAATGACTGCTTCCCCATGGAAAGTCAAGAGGCAGAAGTGAATGAAGAACACAATGATGTTGTTCCTCCAAGAAGCTTTGCTGAAGATTGCTTACAGACTTATTTCAACCAGTTAAACGTCCAACTTCCAATAATACACCGGGACTATTACTTGAACAAGTACTTTACCCCAATATATGGATTTGTCGGCTCTTCATTGTGGACAAAAATCTTAGGGTATGAAGTCGATGACCCCCATGAAAAACTGGAACCAGCGCAAGTCGACGAAAATACCCGTTACAGAGGATTTTTCTTTCTATATATGATTATTTCAATCCTGACTTCCGTAAATCAAAATACGCTGTCGGTATCCGACCATTATAAACGGAAGGCATTCAAGCATGTCAATTCAGTTTGGGGGCCCAGCAAGAATGAGAACGATGATGAAATCACAAGGTTAGAAATGTTACAATCGCTTTTATTATGGTCCCAGTACTCAATGATGAGGCCTGGCACCCCCGATGCTTGGTATCTTATTGGAATAAGCATTAGGTTTTGTATTGAGCTAGGCCTTCATATAGAGCCCGAAAGAGTTTCGATGACCGGTGACTTACCATTTGTTACCGAGTTGAAAAGAAGATTATTTTGGAGCTGTTATTGCCTAGATAAACAGGCGTCAATCTGTTATAATAGGCCATTTGGAATATGGGATCTGCAAATAGACGTCAAGCTACCTTCATTACTAGATGATCTGAGTCTTATGCCTAAATCAATGAAAACCATTACAAACATCAGAGGGAATCCAGCGTTGAAGAAAAATAGCTTGCATTTCATTAAACTTCGTATAATCCAAAGTGATATTCTCAATTTTATAAATGATAAGCAGCACCAAGTCAGGGTAAGTGACCAAAATGAAGATGGGGACGTACTAGAAAGTGCTAGGTTATCAGATTCACCCCAAACTACTAATGAAAAATTAACAATGTACGACGAATGGAAACTCTCAAAGCAGCGGTTACTAGATGACTGGTATAACCTGGTTGTTGATATTGACAGTATCCACGTTATGAACTTGAACTATCATCAAACCTTACTTTACATATACCGAATCAGCCCAATAACTCCGGTTATTATTAACAAATCACATTATATGATACTTTACGAATCAAGCAAACAAATCATATCAATATATACAGCCCTAGGCCACTACTCGTGGGCCGCAATCAAAGACATACAACTAGCTGCTACTGATTACCTTTACCTGATCCAAAACTGCGCTGAACTACAACATTCAATCAGTGCAGAGGAAATCAAAAGTCAATGTGATTTGGTTTTCTTATTATTGGCTTCCCTAAGGAATGATTATCCCAAGCAAGTTCAACAAGCTGAACAAGAAGTCAAATCCTACACTTCCAAGCTTCTCAAACTATACGAATTGAATAAATCAAAGACTTCTAATTTAAATAACCCAATTTTTTCTTATCCCACTGCTGCCGTTTCCCAATCACCCCCTTCATTGATGGACAGCACCTGTTTCCCCTTCATTATTCAATAAGGAGTGGTTTTACCGTACAATGGCCACATTCCTTCAATCACCATCCCCAATGAACTGAAAATGACATCACAAAGAAATTGCCAATTGAAATTTTGTTTTGTTGCAAAAAAAAACAAAACCCTTACAAAAAAGGCAACCAAACAAACGGCCCCGATATAAGCACAAAAACATCCGTACACCAGAAACCAGCGGGTCTTAGTCATGCTGACAAACGCGCACGCTCTCATTGGCCAGCTGCGCCGATTTCCGGGGTCAGAACGTGACCTCTATGTTTTGGTCTTGACCGGAAATGGCTGCTGCAAAAGCCAGGCGTATCTTGAAGTCAGATCATTTTAAAAAGTATATAAGGATGGTCAAATTCTTTAGTTTTCTACTATTATTTTTATTGAACAATCATCTTTAAACCCAATCTTATCAACTAATATCGAAATCAAAATGGCTTGTTCTGCTGCTGAATGTGTTTGTGCTAAAAAATCTACCTGTTCTTGTGGTAAAGAAGCTGCTTTACACTGTACTTGTGAAAAGGCTGCTGTTGAAAATGTTACTCCTGCTGCTAGTGATGCTTGTGCTTGTGGTAAAAGAGCTAAAGGCTCTTGTACCTGTGGTGTTTCTAACACTGCTTGTGATGGCGTTAGAGAAGGTGAAACCGACTTTACTGGTATGTAAAGACCCTTACAAACTGTATATTAGCTAATGACCTTATTACTTAACTATTTATTTATTTTATATAATCTTATCTTATCATAATATTTTAATTCTTTTTTGGGAATCGAGTCTTTTTGTGTAGGTGTACGGACGCGCGACATTTTACGGATCAAACGTAGAGCGACATGGCGACATTGGGCCGTGAAGAGAATAAATCAGATTTTTGTAGCTACAGCTTTCCTGCTTGCTTCTTTGACAATTCAAAAGATGGCTCGCTTATCTGGTTTACAAAGAGAAGTGCTCAAGCTTTATAGAAGCAGTATACGGGTGGTGAAGACTAAACCAGAAGAAACCAGAGAACACTGGAGAAGTTTCATCAGAGAAGAATTCCGTAAAAACCAAAAGGTTCCAAAAAAATCATTCACAGTAATTGAACACTTAATTCGAGTTGGTCATAAAAGATATGAATTATATCTGAATCCCCAGATCAAAGATATCCATTAATTGTATCATGCTTTGTTAATTCTTGTATATATATTATAATGACCCTTTACGACAAATACTTGCATTCGAAGCCAATGATTCCGCAAAAAAGAAAGGCCCCAAAAAAATAAAAGAATAGTAAATAAAGTATCGTATATCGTTTAATAAGAACTGAAATACATAAATTCAAATATATTATATAAAAGGAGATAATTGAATCAAGAAGAATAAAGTCACAAGGGAAATACTGTAGAATCTGCAGCAGCATTGAAAAGAGAAAAAAATTCAAGATAAAAAAATTATGATAAATGAACATTCAAAATTATGAATAACCTTCAAATACTTGTTCATGATTATTCAATAAGAATTCAGTAACATCATTTCTATAACCCATATCAACCATTTCTTTTTCACCTGTAGCGTCTCTAGCTAGGGTTGGAGCAAAAACAACTGATAAGTTCTTATATCCCATTCTGTTCACTGATTGATATGAGTTAACCAATGATAAATGTTTGCATAATAAGAATAAAATATGCTTATTTGCAGGTGGTAATTTAGCAATAACTCGGTTCTTCAAGTCTAATAATCTCTTGTCTGATTTATTTGGTGCATTAGCTGAACTAACCTTGATAAAGTCATCATAAATATTATATGGAATTAATGGATCAGGTAATTTTCTTAAATATCTTTTCAATGCTGAAGTAACCGCATTTATATCAACATCAATTGTTTCATTTAATTTGTTCATTTGTTTTTCATCACTTGAAGCATTGGCAGTTAACCCACTAAATGCATTCTCAATAGAAACAATTGCTGAATTACCACCTGATATACGGTAAATACCTTCCATATCCAAACCTCTTTTTTCAACTTCTTCTATACATTTAGTAACAATTAAAGGTACTCTTTCGTTTTCATAATCTGCTCTTCTTTGAACAGTAGAAGTAAATAATGGTGCATTACTCACCCCTCCATTTTCAGATATTGATGGTGTAGAATCATTACTATTGTTATTACTATTATTGGTTAAAAATGAATCCAAGATATTAGTAGATCTTGATTTAGTAATAAATGATCCTAACCCCTTTTTATTGTTGGATCCATCAGCCAGCGATGGATCTAAAGTTGAATTTCCATTTGATCCATTATGATGATTGTTTGAATTACTGTGACTATGATGTGCTCCACTTCCATTATTGGAATTAATTGCTTCTCCATTATTTGAATTAGACAGATCCTGACTTTCTTTATGATGAACTCCAGTATTTACAATAACCGGTGAATTAACATTACTGATCTTAGGTCTTCTCCAAAATTTCAATCTAGTGGCCTTATGTGTTTCAACCATTGTAGTATCAGTATCAATACCGGTCTCGGAATATGGGGCCCCAGCTATAAGGGATGAAGATGAAGTAGATGCAAGATTCGTAAAATTAGAATTACTCGTACTATCATTGGTAATATCAGAACTTGATCCACGTCTTCCTTGGGAGCCAGGTCCAATCGGTGGTGAAGGGTGCGCATTAATTGATGTAGCACTTCCACCATTTTTGCCATTTTTGATTGATAATTCAAGTTGATGATTTTCTTCTGAAAGACTTTGATTGATTTCGAGTAATTTCTTCTTTCTGATTTCTAAGGAGCCAATTTCTTTTGATAAATCTTGTTGTTGGTTACTATCTTTCACTATTCTCGATTGTAATGTTCTTACTTCTTGATTTAATTTTGATTTATCATTTGTTAATTTTTTGACATCATTATTCAATGTTTGTTTTTGAATTTCTAACTGGTAAATATCAGCCTTCAAGGATCTCAATTCTAATTCATGTCTATGTAAATCAGTTTGTTGGCCTGCTAAGGTTCCGCCATTGTTATTATCAATGCTAGCCAAAAATGGAGTGTCTGATGTTGACCTGGTATGGTCTCTAGAAAATCCAAGTTGGTTCATCGGGGAAGTAAATGGTAATGGAGGGGTCGTAAATGCTGACCCACCATTAGAGATAGAACCATCTGAAACATGACGTGAATGACCTTTTATGCTACCCGAGCTACTCATAACGTTATTTTCATCTTTCGATTTAAAGAAGCCAAATTTGCCAGTAATACCTGAATTACTGCCATTACTAATAGATCTCTTATGTTTGAGACTAAGTTTTGGAGTTCTGATTGTATTTTTTCTCGAAACCGATGTTTGGCCTTGTGATTGACTTTGTGCAGATCCGTATTCATTATCATTTAGAGTATCCTCTAAGTTTGTAACTGCAGGAGTAACATTACCAATAATTCTTGATGACCTTTGGGATTTTTTTTCAGGATATTCAACACCCTCTAGGCCTAAACCTCTTGGTTCGTTTGCTAGACTTCTTGCTTCTGATCTAGGAGTTTCAGTGCTCATTATGGAGGATTTAATAGGAGTTGAAGGTACAGATGGTAACGGAGCTTTTGGAGGAGGTGAAGACATAACAGTTGTAGTGACATTGCCAGAATTAGGGCGTTTTGGAGTACCCATTTCCTTATTACCTTTATAATAGCTATCGTAGTCATCAATATTCAAGCCCTCATTTTGAATTTCGTCATTAGTTTCAACTACTCTGGCTTGTCTATTGGCTTTAGCAAATGGTGAAGGGCAATTGGATCTAGCATGTTCTTCAGGTGCTAAATTTGTGTTGTTATTCTTTCTAGGCGATGTGATTGATGGTTGAATATTGTTCGCATTATGGAATCCATTATCGTGGTATTGGTTTGGTGATAAGATAAGTAAGTTTTTACCTCTAAACTTTTTGCTTGGTGATTCATTTTCTTCCACTTTATCTTCTGGATTTTCAGTTTTAGAAACTGACTCTTTATTTTTAGGAGTAAGATCAACCGGTGGCTCTAAAGAGTTAGAATCCTTTCTTGATGAAGTAACTTTTGGAGTAGTGGGTTCACTCATGGAATCTATAATATCTAGTATGATACCGTTATGATCGGATTGAGATGAATTTTGACTAACACCTTTTTCTAATTTTTGTTTTTTCATATTCAATTCATCATCACTGTCATTGACTTCTTCAATAGAAAAGTCTTCTTCTTGGGATTGTGATGGTGCAACTTGAGTTGGTTGGTGATTTTTATCATTATTTGATTCATTTGTGGTACCTGTAAATTGAGAATTTGAAATTGAGGTAATAGAATTATCAGTCTTGGTAGAATGGAAGGAGTCTCTTGCGCTATTATATTCACCTTCATGAGGTGGAGGGGGTGGAGGAGGAGGAGGTAAGCTTTTATCTTTGTTTGTGACCATACTTGAACTTGATCTGTTACCATGTAAAAATAAGTCCGACGAAGCGTTATGTCCTTGATTATTCAAACTATTTCTCTTGCTTGAGCCATTGCTTAATTTTGGAGTTGTGTTATTATTTGAGATATCTTGTAAGTGACGAGATTCTTCATTTTGATAATGACTATGACGAGTATTATAATTAGGATTTTTCAGATTAGCTTGTTTTTCATCAGCTAATCTTTGTTGTTCTAATAATGCCAATTGTTTCTTCTTCAAGTCAACTTTTTTCTTTTTAGCAATTAATTTTTCATGACAGCTCATACAAAATAAACCTTTTGAAGTTCTTGCATATCTTAAATCTTCAATTTTCAATTTACAAGATCGACATTTAAAACAACTTGAACAGTAAGCTTGGTCACCAGTTAAAATAGCTAAATCATCGATTTTTTTACCACATTGTTTACAATTGTAAGAACAATTGGAACAGATTAAATTACCATTTCCTAAGACCAAAAAATTTGAATTACAGCCAAGAGAGCTTTCACATTTTGAACATTTGAAACAGTTAATATGCCATCTATCATCACCTAACTCGTAAGCATGTCCTTCATATATGGGCAAGTTACATTTCTTACAAGATTGTAAGGCGCCGTCATCATCATAGCTATTATTGATTTCATGAGTGAAATTGATTTCCAGACTCATTTTTCCCTTGAATAGAATATAGTTTAATAGCTAGGGGAAGGAAACGGCCAGGGTGATTTAAGTGAATTAATTAGAAATGAAAACTTAACCACCAGATCAAACACAATATCAAATTTGACTTAATTAAAATTTTTATCCAAAGCAAATGGGGAAAAAAAAAAAAAAAGATCAAAGAAAATAACAGTGAATAAAAATAAAAAAAAAAAATGGGTGATGGGAATCGGGATTATATGACGACAATGCACAATAAGACGAAAATGTTCAATCTAAAACGAATTGGTAACAGAAGGAGAATCAAAATTGATTTGAATGGAATTGAAACTTGTGTATACGAACGATTTCGGTTTGTTTCAGTTCACAATAACATATGACTACTTGAAGAGCTATCGAGGAATGAATTTCGTTTCCAGGGAACAACAAGTAAATGGAATCTCAAGACAAGTTTCAGTACTCAAGATGTTAATAAAGTGAATGTCGATAGTTCGCTTTTTCGTATTTTTGTTATTTGTTGATTACCAGCGAAAAACCAAAAAAGAGAAGAAAAATGGTAATTCAAAATCAAGTTTTCCACTATCCAGGATCAGAAAATATCTTCAATAAACGTTAAAGAAACTTAAAGTGAAGGATGACAAAAATAGATGGTTTTTGATTTAGTCTGAGTAAAGTGAGCGAGTATTTTTAGTTGTCAATCTATTTTTTTTTTTGTCACTGACAAAAACACTCAAAAAACCCAAAAAAAACAAAGCTCAAAAGCCTAATCAAAAAAAAAGATACTTAAACTTAAACACGTTTTAAGTGAGAATGAAAAGGTAATCTGGAAGATGAACCAGGGTATGGTATTGGATGATTGGCAGAAACAAGTCAACTAAAAGAGAATAAAATCTTATGGGAACCAAATAATTGAACTATGAATTCATTTACTTTGCAGGAAGAAGCACAGCACAAAGGAAAATCAACAAGCCAACAACAAACAAACAAATAAACGATTGTAATGTAAGTACGATCGCAATGTAATTACGATTGTAATGTAAGTATATCCTAATGTAAGCAAATATAAATTCAGATCTGATTCACTGGAATGGATATCAGAAAAGAATGATACAGGTACCCGGAAGCAAAGGAAAAGAAACCAGTGATACCACCAACTATTATCAATAGGATTGGGAGATTATGAACGACAATCTACTCAAGTCCTTGGGAATTTAGCAATAGAGAAGCGAAGGGAAGGATAAAAAGATCAGGGCGGCTAAATACTTTTAGTCGGGTATAGTCAGATAGTGAGATTTTTTGAGATATGAAACCTTATTGGATAAGCAAAAAGCTTTTTGAAAGAACGAATTGATCTAAAGACTAAAGTATAAAGAAGAGGAAGTATTGGCAAGCTTAAAAAGTGTAAATAAGAATAAGGTATTATGAAGGATGTGATATATCATTTTGAAAAATGTGAGACAGTTTTATTTCATTTTATTTTTTGCTCAATTGGGAAAAATTCGGGTATTGAATAGAGTATAAAGTATATGAATATGAATTAAGATTGGAAGTAAGAGAAGTAACAGTAAGTGATGGTACAAGTAATGTAGAAATAGAATAGCTGTACAAGTAGTAGATTAAGTAGAGAATAATTTTTGCAGCGAATTTAAATTGAAATGTCAACCAAATTTGTACTACGGGTATAATAGTTATAGGGTTTAATTAAAGTATATATGACAAAAAGACGAAATAAAGATAAAGTAAAACAAAAGAAGGAATAGAAGAAATAAAATGCACAATTAAGGATTAAAGTCAGCTAATTTTTTATCCGATTGACTTTCATCAATATTCCAATCATCAGCACCAGACCAATCAACTTCGATATTTCTTAAATGAGACATATCAGTATTTTTCAAAAAGTTATTACGTTCTTTTAACCATTTGTCTTGAACATCATCAAAAGCTTTGCCCCAAACTTTATCATAAACTTTTTTAATTTTAGCTTCTTCCTTTTGTCTAATTTCTTCTAAGGCCATCCATTCCATATGTTTTAAATCATCACTTGAAGGTTCATAAATATGCCAAATGACATAATGAGGTAAACCAATCACTGAATAACCCATTCTTTTACTTAATTTACCAAAAGCTTCAGTTTCTGCATGTTTTTCAAATGAAAATGCTGGGAAATGAGATCCTGATTTGAAAACTTTTGCCTTTGTTAAAATTGAAACTCCTCCAATACCATCTAAGTCCATTTCAACTTCAGGATCTCCGTAGGGATCTCTTAAATAAGCTAAATGAGGTCTCCATGTTTGATATTCAACATAGCCTTCCACAATACATGCATCTTCATCTAAACTTTCAGCTAATTGTAATCCTCCATCCGATTCTTGCCAGGAATTTAAATCGTACGGTTGCTGGTTCCCTAACCAATCCGGTAAAGGTCGCCAAACATTAGGTACAATAACATCTTTATCATGATGCATTAAATCTTCTAAAATTGTTGGTGCAACCGTTTCAACATCAGCATCTCTCCAATAAACATGTGAATGATATGGTTTGATTGCTACTGTCCATAACCAATTTCTAGCTCTAGCCATTAACTTTCTTCTTGGTCCTTGTGCAGCAAATCCATGACGATCACTAAATGATTGTCCAATAATTTGTCCAAAATCCTTTTCAAATATTTCTATTTCTCCAAATCTAAATGATGGATCGGGATTATTTTGTATTTCATTTAAATGTTTTTTCAATGATCCCATAGTGTCATCACTTGAATCACTAACTAAAAATGCTAAATCAATTAAATTATGTGGATAAGTTAAATTTTTCATATGTCCAAAAAACATTGGTAAATGGGCTGCTGCATCACGCAATGGTACACAGAATAACACCCTTTCATCTCTTTGCCATCCATCATTGGATCCGGAGTAATGAGCTAAATCATAATATTGAACGCTTTGATAATTATTAAAATTAGGCGTATATAATGTTTCAAATGGTAATAATAAAAGTTTCAATAAAAGCAATATCACCGTAATAATACATCCTATCATAACCTTAGTACGATGTATCTCAAATGTCTTCTTAAGTGTTAGCGATATCGATGCATCTTTTGATGAAGTATACGATGCTGTCATTTTGAATTCTTAACTCGAATCAAAATCCCACTCAAATCAATTTCTAATTTTTCAAATGGAACTCACCTTACTCTTTATCCAAAGAAGCTATTATGAATGGGCTGTTGTGTGGAGTGTCGGTGCTGACGTTGGGCTAAACAGCTATTTTTTTTTTTCTCTTTTGATGTATGTTGAAATTCCCAAAGAAAGAACGAAAAATCCCATACAAACGAAAAAAACTGTCTTGTTTATTTTTCCGAACCAAAAAGCCAACTAAAAATATAAAAAAAAAAAAAAATAATTTTCGCTCATCGATTTTGTGCAAAAATGAGCTAGTCACGTGCAAGATGTCACGTGGACCTCGCTTATTACCTCCACGACGCATCCCATTTGTAAAACGATACATCACATTTCAAATATCATGTATCACATTTCAAATATCATGTATCACCTTCGAAATATAATGTATCACATTTAAATATAATGTATCACATTTAAATATAATGTATCACATTTGAATATGATGTATCACATTTGAATATGATGTATCATATTCTTCAAACGATATGTCATATTTCGAATACGACCTATCGTTTTTAATACGATCTATTACGACAAACCTTTCATACACCATACGATACAATACGATACAATACGACATGTAGTACGCGCCGTTGACGAGTTCACTAATTATATAGCAGAATTAGTTAGTTAGCACAACTGATTAGATAGCACAACTAGTTGGATAACTAAATCGGTTAGGTATTGCAGTTGTCTCTTATAAAAGCTACATGCTACGTTGGCTGAGGTTATTTGTGACCCATACACCAGGCGGTTTTACAAATGTGATAGATCATAAACAAAAACAAAAGATTACGCGCCAACTAATTATACACCTCTTTATTCTACTCTTGATATTGGTTATTGGCTAGGATGAAGGTGGAAGAGCTTATCATCGATGGGTTCAAGTCCTACGCCACGCGTACGGTCATTTCAGGATGGGACCCTCAGTTTAATGCAATCACGGGATTGAATGGTTCGGGTAAATCTAATATCTTAGATGCCATTTGTTTCGTATTGGGGATTGCTTCAATGTCTACAGTAAGAGCATCTAATTTACAGGATCTTATTTATAAGCGTGGTCAGGCGGGTGTAACTAAAGCTAGTGTCACTATAATGTTTGATAATCTGGAAATATCTAAATCTCCAATTGGATTTGAAAATTCTCCTAAAATTAGTGTTACAAGACAGATTATATTAGGAGGATCATCAAAATATTTGGTTAATGGTCATAAAGCTCAACAACAAACTGTTTTAAACTTGTTTCAATCGGTTCAATTAAATATTAATAATCCAAATTTTTTGATTATGCAAGGTAAAATTACTAAAGTTTTGAATATGAAACCTTCAGAAATATTATCATTAATTGAAGAAGCTGCTGGTACTAGAACTTTTGAAGAACGTAAAGATAAAGCACAGAAAACTATGGCTAAAAAGGAACAAAAATTAACTGAAATAAGAAATTTATTACAAGAAGAAATTGAACCAAAATTAGAAAAATTCAGAGCTGAAAAAAGACAATTTTTAGAATTTCAACAAATTCAGACTGATTTAGAAAAAATGTCAAGAATTATAGCTGCTCATGATTATATTTTATATCTGAATAAATTTGATCAGCATTCAACTTTATTAAATGAGCGTGAAACAATCATGTCTAATTTATCGAAAACTGTTGATAAATTAAATAACGAAATTAAAAATTTAAATGATGATCTTAATCAGGCTAAATCGAGAAAAAATGCAGAATTACAACATGATAGTAAAATTAAAGAATTGGAATCAATAGAGAATAATTTAGGTGATGAAATAACTCGTTTGAATACTCATAAAGATATAACTAATGATAATTTAAAAGATGAATTGAAAAAATTAAATAAATTAAAACAATCTTTCAATGATTTGAAAAATTTAATTGAAAATAACGTTGATATTTATTCAAAATTAGAAAATGATTATCAACTAGTTAAAAATAACCATGAACAAATTAAAGATGAATTCTATAAAAAGGAAGAATTGTTATCTACTTTATCAACTGGTGTTAGTGCTAAAGGTAACACCGATGGTGGTTATATGGCTCAATTGAAAGAAGTTAAACTGAAATTAAATAATTCAAATGTATTTATTAAACAATCAAATTTAAAAATTGATCACCTAAAAAATAAAATTAAAAATGACACTTCAAAATTATTACAGGCTAAAAAGGAAAATGAAACTTTATTATTACAAATTGAAAATTATCAATCTGAAATTAAAGCAAAAGATAAAAAATTAATCGAATTTGGCTATGATTCAAATAGAGTTAACGAATTAAAGAAGAAAGATCGTGATTTATCAAATCAATTACTTAAATTAACTCATCAATTAGATTCAGTTAAAAGAAAAGTGGGGAATAATATCGATTTTGATTATTCAACTCCATATCAAAATTTTGATCATTCTTCAGTTAAAGGGGTGGCGGTACAATTATTTCAACTTAATGATGCTCATAGTGATAAAGCCTTAGCTCTTCAGGTTTGTGCTGGGGGTCGCTTGTATAACATCATTGTTGAAACTGCAGATGTCGCTTCTTCTCTTTTAGAAAAAGGTAATTTAAAGAAAAGAGTTACCATAATTCCTCTTGATAAAATTTCTACTAGATCAATACCTCAAAATATAGTCGATTATGCTAAATCATTATGTCCTAATAAAGTCGATTTAGCAATTCGATTAATAGATTACGACTCAGAATTATCTAAAGCAATGACTTATATATTCGGTTCAACTTTTATTTGTCAAGATCCAGATACTGCTAAGAAAATTACTTTTGATCCAAAAATAAGATCGAGATCGATCACAGTTCAAGGTGATGTTTATGATCCCGAAGGTAACTTGTCTGGTGGGTCGAGATCAAATAATTTTTCAATTTTGACTATTATGCAAGAATACAACCAATTAAACAAAACAGTCACTCAGTTACAAAATGAATTAAACGATGTAAGAAACGAACTTAATAGATTTGAAGAGATTGGATTAAAGACAAAAACGTTAGAAAATGAGCTTAATTTAAGTAAACATGAATTATCTTTGTTACAAAGAAAGTTGGATAATAACCCTGCTTCTGCTATATTAAAAGAAAACCAACAAAACGAGCTGGAAATAAATGAATTAAATGAAAAAGTTAAACAGTCGAAAATTGAAATTTCTGAATTTGAAAAGCAAATCCAATTGATTGAGAATGATATGAAAGAGTTCAGTACTAATAAAGATGATAAATTAAAGAAATTGCAAAATGAAGTTAGTAAATTACGTGATTCTCTACTAGAAAAAGAACAAGAAATTAAAGACACATCTGATAAGTTTCAAATTATGCAAATTGAGTCCGACCAACAAAAATCAGAATTAAATAATTTACAAGAGTCAATAAGCTCTCTGGAGACAATCATCGAAGATGCAAGACTGACAATTACTTTGACTACCAATAAAATCGATGAACACACAATAAACTTACAAAACGTCAGAACTGAATTAGATGAAGTTAAGGCAAACTTATTAGGATTGAATGAAGAAATCAATGAATTAAGTCAGATTATAAATGATAAAACAAAAGAATTGAATGATACTGAATTACAGATTCAAAAATTAAATCATGATTTAGGAAAAGCTAATTCAATAACCGAAAGCTTGAGGCAAAAATTAGATTCAATTATTGAAGAACACGACTGGGTGACAGACTCAAATATTCTCGATTCGATATTCCAGCAGTATCCTACCATTAATTCAGAAGAATGTCACGAACAAGTAGCAGTATTGGAAGAAAGATTTCACGGAATGAAACGTAAAGTAAATCCAAATATTATGAATATGATTGATAACGTTGAAAAGAAAGAAGCTTCTTTGAAAAACATGATAAGAACTATTGAAAAAGACAAATCTAAAATCGAAAACACTGTCAGCAAATTGAATGGTTATAAACGTGATACATTGGACCAAACTTACAAAAAAGTTTCGGAAGACTTCGGTTTAATTTTTGCTGATTTATTACCGGGATCTTTCGCCAAATTAGTTCCAATAGACCCACAGGATGTTACTAAAGGTTTAGCAGTTAAGGTTAAATTAGGTCCTGTTTGGAAAGAAAGTTTGGTTGAATTATCTGGTGGTCAGCGTTCTTTGATCGCTTTATCATTGATTATGGCTTTATTGCAATTCAAACCAGCCCCAATGTATATTTTGGATGAAGTTGATGCTGCACTTGATTTATCCCACACCCAGAATATCGGTCATTTAATCAAAACTAGGTTTAAAGGTTCTCAGTTTATTGTTGTCTCCTTAAAGGAAGGTATGTTTACAAATGCTAATAGGGTTTTTAGAACCAGGTTTCAAGACAGTACTTCAGTCGTGTCTGTTATGTAAAGGGAACATCTTCCATTGTATTATAAGTATTAGGTATATACACAAGTATGTATATTTGATTGGTTAAATCTATAGTAATTACTGCTAAATCTTTTTTGTAATGAAGTACACTACTTCTTGTGTGATCTTAATTTTTTTCTTTTTGATAGAGATGGAACTCTGCAAACAAGTCGTTATATACATAAGATCAAGCTGTCACATACGAATATATGTTACATTTTAAAGGATGGCAGAGAAGGCCACCCACAAGCAAACATTTTTTGCTTCTAATTACGAGATCGTTCCAAGTCTCTAGTTCGGTTTACCGTGCACCAAACAAAAAACGGAGGAACTTTATTAAGGAAGATGTATTAAAGAAAGAGAAGTTCTTGAAACATTACAATAAACTCAAGGATCACGAGGATGAGGGTGAGACTTTTTATGATCCTGGAAATACCTCACTCGACTTGAGCTTGCCCAATGATGTCTTATTGAAAAAAATCGTTGGAGAAGCAAGAAGCCGAATGGATAAACGATTTTTCAAACCAAGTGATGAGTGGCTTCGGGAGTATATTGAGCTAGCGTTGGATCGATATGGAAAAGATGTTAAAGCGTTAACAACGGAATTTTCAAACAGTATAGAAAATTCTACAATTTCTTTGACCAAACTAAATGATAGTATTGGATTAGGTGACATTGTTACCTTAGAAAATGAAGTTTCGAGAGTATATCTAATAGTTGCTATTCCCGAGAACTTAGAAGATGATTCTTTTACGTTCATTAATAACGAGGGGGAAATATTGTATGGCCCAAAGTCGTTAATCAAAGTCAGAATACCAAGTGTTATACCCGAAGACTTGACCGAAGTTATAAGAGCATTGGTTCAAAAAGAGACAAAACATTTAGATACCGCACCTATAGGAGTACCTGACTCAGGATTCACTAGATCTCGAGAAGCATTACCAGAAGAGCTCAGACAATCATATTCTCCAGGATCTGAGCAAGAATCTTCGCATGTATCGTCAGCAGAAGGGGGATCCGATTTTTTGGTATCATCAGCATCAGCCCAGCTTTTGAAGAATTCTGATGTTAATACATATATTGTGAGTTTAAAAGCTAGGGAGTTAATATCTGGACCGTTATCAAATCTCTCTATCACTACATTTAACGAGTTACCGTTAATATTATCAAAATTGGAAATACTACATAAAGTTTTGCAATACAATGAGGATGGTGATCTATTAGATTCACCAAGAACATTCTCAATATTTCAAATATTGAGCTACCTAGATCAAATACCATCAGTTAACTTGAACAATGAATCCACTAAAAATAGACTGAATTTTTATAAATCTTTACAAAAGAACTTCTCGAACCTGTTCAAGACACAATTCCATAAGACTGCATCATTAGGTAAACCATTTCCAAAAATGGAAGAAATCAAAGGAGAAAATGCCTATAAGAACTCTACATTTTTTGCATTAATATTAGCATTGAAATATCAAGGAAGACAATGGAAATTACTCCAGCAAAACTCAACTAAAGTTCCAACTGGAGTAGTATTGTTACCAATGAGCAATGTTAAAATCTTAGAAAGAACCATACACTTTCTCAATTTCTACGGAGGCAGGGATATCTTCACTAAATATGTTATTAAGAAATTAAAGAGGGAAAAAAATGTAACTCTCCCGAAGTATTATGATTCAATTATAAGATTATTCAAGGATTATATCTCAGATAACTTTTCAAATGATCCAGTATCTGAGTCAGCTATTGTTAATTTAATCAGATCAATAGATGAAGAGCTCATTAAGGAAGGGTTCCAAAAAAACAATGAGATATCAAGATCTTACGAATACAGTAAAACCAGAGCATTTGAAATATTACAGATGATGGAACTGGTGTTTAAAAAAGAGTCATTTGGATGGGAGAACCCAACCAATTGGTCATATGCATTACAACTACCCCATAATAATACATCATTACTGAGTGATTATGGATTGGATTACTATAACATATTAGATACTCATTTTAAAAATGGTGAAAATTTGTATAAGCAGTTACAGCCTGATATTCAGGATTTAAGAGATCAAGAAATTCCGAAATTGAATGAATATAGCAACGACTTGAAAAGTGACATTGAAAGCGATGTTAGATTCATGCAAGATTTCTATAAGGAGGATCCGTTTAAATCTATAAGATCTGATTTTGGTGATATACCAGTTTACTGTATTGATTCCGAGACTGCTCACGAGATCGACGACGGGATATCAATACACGAACAATATGATAAATACGTTATTACAATACATGTTGCTAATCCAACATCATATATCAAGCCATTTTCGAATTTGAGTAAAATAGCCTTTAGCAAAGGATCCACGACGTATCTACCAGAAGGACCATCGATGATGTTTCCCAAAATAATCAGTGAAATGGTTGGGCTAGGCCAATTCAAAGAAGGGTCAAGAACATTTGCGGTTCAGTATAAACTTGATAAGGAATTATTTGATGAATATGTCAAAAATTATAACCAGGATGAGACCTTTAAACCCAATAAAGAATTCAGTCAACGAGTTTTAAAGCAGATTGAAGACTCTAGTGATATAAAGTTATATCAAGTTAAGAACTTTCCTCCAAATTATACTTACACTAAAGTAAATGAGATTTTGAACGATTTTGAGAATATTCGTAATTTTAAAGACGGGAAAGTTGGTGATCAACACGTTGATAACCTATTCAAATTGCATCGATTATCGAATATAATTCGCGATATACGAATTAGTATTGGGGGTGGAATTGATATCAATTCATCGAATTCGAGTGTTGGAGTTGAATTCACAGAAGAAGAAGGAGAAAAATTCATCAATAATGGAGATGAGTACATAATCAAAGTACCTTGGAAAGATGGGAAAAGTCCAGTAATCAAGATTAATAGTAATGACAGTCAAAGTAGCGAGAGTAAATCTCAAAGTCTAGTATCCCAATTAATGATTAGTGGGAATTATAGTTCATCAGTCTATGCTAAAAAACACAAGATTGCCATTATTCATCGGGGCCAAGAGATAAAGGTTGACGATAAAGTATTACTGCTGATCAATAAGATGGTGAGTGAGAAATATTCATTAGGACAAGGATTCAATTTGAAAGAAATATCACAAATTTTACAAATATTAAATAATGCAACATTTCAAATTGATGCAAAAAGCCATAATTCAATTGGACTTACGAGCTATTCAACGATAACTTCGCCATTACGAAGATTTGTTGATATGATCAATCATTGGAGATTAGAACAAGAATTAATGAAAACGAGCCAATCGCAAGAAATTAAAGAATACCATTTGAAATTCATTGGTAATCATTTACAAATGAGAGAAATAATAAATAAGAAATTTGAAAAATTTCTGGATAAATTTTGGCAATCGATATTCTTACAAGAATATTTCAAATTAGGACAAGTAAGTAAACCGATTAGGTTTAAAATTTTGATAAAGAGTAATCCTAATTTTGGAGACGTCAGGGTTGAAATTGTGAAATTTGAGTCTTTAAGAGCTAAATTTGAAAGCAGCCCAAGTTTAATTAAAGATTACCAATTGGGTAAGATTAAAGTTGGTTCCATCATTGAACATGAATTGGAAATCAGCAAGCTTGATTTCATTGAAGATGAATTAGTCTTGAAATATGAACCTTGTAAATAAACATTCTACATAAACCTTATACATAAACCTTATACATAGAAACATATACATAGAAACATATACATAGAAACATATACATAGAAACATATACATAGAAATTCAAAATAATAGATAATTGCTGACGTGATTTACATGACGAAAATAATTTCAGACATACAGAAAGATATGAATTCCAATTCTATAAGGAATTCGTAATCGATTTCCTCATGTATCTTTGGCAATTTCAATCTAGCATGAACATGAAACAATAGAAGATGTAAACATATGGCATTTTCAATCTGTTTATAAAAAGAAAACAAGTAAATAACACGCTTATTGCGATCACAATTAGAGTGAAATTAGTCTCTCTAGTCTCCCGAATCAATATCGATTATTAAGTCATAATAAAACGTGGTTATTGAATTATAAGGTACCCGACTACAACAATAAAAAGTCCATTCGTTAATTGGATTGTTTATTGAACTATCTCAATAACTTCCTGATTTGTCTAGCAGCTACATCTAACTGACTAAGCTTGCTAGACCCTCGTACTCTCATATCCCAGTGAATCATTCTACACACATAAACCCTATTATGTCTGTTTACAACCCGATCTAGACCCTAGCGAGCGTTGGGATTCCGATTACATTTTTAGGGATGAGTTCCACCTGAATGAAGATTTCGTTAGTAGCCTTTATTAGGGTTTAGTAAATTTACATACACCGCGATCATAATTTCAATTCTCCGTTTTCACCAATTTACATCTTTCCGACCTGCTTGATCCCCCTTCATTTCAATTATTTATAGAATACTTCCACTCTAGTAGTCGGCATATCGTCGTGTCCCCCAATGAGCTCCCAAAACCCCGTAACCCCCCAATAACTAGAGGTAACCCAAAAAAACCTTTGATAACAGAAGGCGTGGACAAGGGGGCTGATTACACGTCCTAATAGCAGCTATTACATCAGTTGTATATAAACAAAAAGAGAGACTTTCTTTTTATGTTCTCCTGTAATTTCTCTTTTCCAAACACAATAGTTATTGTATTTGTGATTTAAACCTTAGGCGACTCTAAACAATCGAATAGATTCTATAGTTGTTCGGTACCGTTGATTAGTACAATAAGAATTTCATCTTATTTGTGTAAGACCGAAGCACTATTATTTGCACAAACCATGAGCCATCACCTCGTTGTACGAGCAGGTAATTCATCAGATGAGGACCAACTACTTTTAGAACCCCAATAACACCATGGTATTGCAATTCTGCTGGCTCTGATGCATAGCAACGGTGCTGGCGTGGACCAGCACCGCGATGGCAAGCCAGGACAGGGGGTGCGATCGGACGATCCTTGGAGGGCGGCCGCAGATTGTGTACAGGATATATGCATGCATCCCGAGCGGTAGCAAAAAATAGCACAGAAAATACTCCCGGTATCTGCTGCAGCGCACAAAAAATAATTCCGAAAAAGAAATGGCAATTGCAAAAAATGAAAATATATGCGACGTAAAAAATTTGAACAACTCCTTCTACTGCCAAATGGAATAGTGACTAATTAATGGTTATTCATGCTTAATTGCTAGCACCTCAGTTTAAACATTATATAAGCCTGGGATTCTCCCTACCCTTTGGTTCGTATTTTATTTTTTGTTTTTTCTCTACCAACCCTTATCCTCTCGCTCATATTTTACAATGGTTAGATTATCTACTGTTGCCTCTGGTGCTTTATTGGCCTCCGCTGCCGCTGCCCAAGACGTTGCTTGTCTTGTCAATGGTGACAACGTTGCTGTTGTTCCTTTAGACACTGGTGTCTGTTCCTTCCCAGTTCCAGCTAACTTACCAACCGCTTTCGACTTCAAGTCTACCGATGATTACAATGTTGAATTTTACTATTCTGTTGCCCAAAACAGCAAATACTTTACCGATATTGTTAACGCCGGTCGTGTTATCGAAATCCCAGCCCGTGCTTTATACGGTTCCGCTGGTGCTCCATTATACCAAGTTCACTTACAAGAATCTCCAGCTTCTAACTCTACCGCTGCTATCAGAAAGAGATTATTGGGTCAAACCCAATTGGTTGCTAGAGACGAAGCCTCTGACTTTGCTGAATCCGCTAAATCTCAAGATGGTACCTTAGTTGGTTCCAGCACTTTCCAAGTTGTTGATCTTTCTTCTGCTCCATCTGGTGCTGCTTCTTCTGGTGCCGCTTCCGCTACCGCTCCTGTTTCTTCTGGTGTTGAAACCGTCCCAGGTACCACCGATGCTCCAGCCTCTACCGTCACCAATGAAGCTACCACCATCATCACCATTACTTCTTGTTCTGATGATAAATGTTCTAAAACCACCGTCCCAGCTACTTTAGGTGAAACTACCGTCACTGCTAATGATGAAGTCACCTCTTACACTACCTGGTGTCCAGTTACCGATGCTGACTCTACTTCTACCGTTAAAGATATCCAAACTACCGTTGTTACCATTACTTCTTGTTCTGATAACAAATGTTCTGAAGCTCCAGTCACCACCGGTGTCACCACCGTTACTCAAGACAACACCGTTTACACTACTTACTGTCCATTAACTGGTGCTAAGACCGAAACTGCTGCCACCGCCGGTACTACCACCCCAGCTACTAAAGACGCTACTGCTACCTCTGTTGAAACCTCTTTCGTCACCATTACCTCTTGTTCTGACAACAAATGTAACCCATCTGTTGTTCCAGCCACTCAAGGTGAATCTACCGTCACTGTTAACGGTGTTCAAACCGTCACTACCACTTGGTGTCCAGTTACCAACTCTAAAGGTGAAACCGCTACTGCTCACCCAACCACCATCAAATCTACTTCTACTGGTGCTGAAGGTACTACCGTTGTTGAAAAAACCACTTACGCTAACACTGAAGCTACCCCAGCCACTCAAGGTACTAAAGGTACTGAAGCTGCTACCCCAGCTACTCAAGGTACTAAAGGTACTGAAGCTGCTACCCCAGCTACTCAAGGTACTAAAGGTACTGAAGCTGCTACTCCAGCCACTCAAGGTACTAAAGGTACCGAAGCTGCTACTCAAGGTACTAAAGGTACCGAAGCTGCTACTCCAGCTACCCAAGGTACTAAAGGTACCGAAGCTGCTACCCAAGGTACTAACGGTCCAACTGTTGCTGCTCAATCCACCTTATCTAGCTCCACTGCTGCTGGTACTCAAGGTTCAAGTGCTGCTGTTTCTACTTACGAAGCTTCCGCTAACAAATTAGCTGGTTCTTTAGCTTTGATTGCTTTACCATTAGCTTACTTATTGTAAGTTGGTTAACGCTCATGCATCCCATTTCTGTTTCATTTAATTCAAAGACATTTTTGAATTCATTTGATTTTAAAAAAAATCCGTTTTTTTACTTACTTTGATAATATCATTTTTGCATATAATCAAAATCTCAATTGTATTTTTATACCTACTCTTTTTTTCCAAGTCTTCTTTCAAAAAATAAGTTTGTGTTTTTCGGTTTAATCCAAGTTGAATATTGTATAATCTTTCAAACGTTTTTCATTTCTATCTTCTAATGGTTGTTTTTTCTCGGTTCCAAGTTTCGACAAACTATTAATAACTACTATTTTTCTTACGGTTTTTATATTAATTATTTCTCTCAGTCTTAATTTCACGGTTTTCTTCAGCTTTTTATACCCGTAGGCTGCCACCTTGAGCCCACACTTGAACTCTATTCCTCTACTTTTCAGACAACGATTGAACAAATTATAAATAAAAGGCTTTTTGCAGTTGCACAAAAAAAATGATTTCGCGACTGAGGAAACCGTGATGTTTCAGGGCTCGAGAAGGTCATAACTGAAGACTAGTTAACCAATTACTATTCATTCTTCTGCTTCTGTGCCTGTAACTGCCTGTACAACCATGTTCCGCTCATGGAATGAGCTTCTCCCCTTTAGGTTAAAGGGTATGCTTGTCATCCCTCGAGATCTCTTGTTGAAGTAATCAATCAAATTTTTCAGTTTGTTTTCGCAACTTCGTCTAATTGTAACATCCAAATATTGAAAATGCCTTAAATTACTTTAAGAAAAAAAAAAACTTTGTGAGTTGAGGTGGTTCACGTCAAACATGTTAGGGATGAATGGACCAAAGTCGGTTAGTTTTTTTTAGTGTTCTCAGTCGTGTTGCTATTGTCCAATCGTGTACTCTCTTATTGTTTAATGCTCAAATTGGTAATCTAAGTGAAGTCTTTGAAGATGGTTGCAAGAGTCGCTGTCAAGACCATTAGTTTGGAAGAGTCTGGAAGAGCTTGGAAAGGCCATCATTAAGGTTTGAGTTCGAGAGCTGCGTGGTTGGGTTGGTCAAATGTTTGTAATTGTCAAATGGAAAAGCTTTCTATTGGCAGCACCATGCTTTTGTATTTGAGAAAACCACTGACTGAGTGATAGCCCGATTAATGGTTAACGAATCGATGCCATTGTTTTAGAAGTTTGTGATACTCTTCGAGTTGACGAGGTAGCCTAATATCCATACAAACACCAAAATATAGTGAGGCAGGGTTATGTTCCATGTCTGGTAACGTTATGAATGTTGATTCAAAAGTTTATAGTTGAATTTATTCACTATTACAATTAATGGCAAAAAACATAATCATTTGGCAACTTCTGTTTACTAAACTTTGTCGATGATTCCGATATTCCTCTTGTTCCCTTGCTCAACAATTTGAAAATGTTTGGTATATATATCCAATTATAAATCCTACTTTTGGAAACTTCTTATCTTTTGGTTTTTCTTCTTTAGTCTGCAACTCTAAGTCTAACTCTTTATACATTCGCTAATTTTTTTTATTTCCCAACTACTTACTTTCTTTCAAAAATGGTTAGAGCTTTTACCCTTACTGCCTCCTTGTCTTTATTGACTGCTTTGGCTTCTGCTAAAGAATTAACTTCTACTCAAACTGAAGATGTTACTTCTATCCAAACTATCACTTCTTGTTCTGATCATAAATGTACTGCTGCTACTTCTGCCACCTCGGAAGCAGTTGTTACTACTACTGATGTTGATAGTGAAACTACTACTTTCTGTCCAGAAACCGCTGAAGAATCTTCTGCTGCTCCAACTACTACTCCAGAATCTGTTGCTCCAACTTCTTCTGCTCCAGCTCCACCACAAGACACCACTGTCACTGACAATGAAGTTGAAACTGATCATACTACTTACTGTCCAGAAACCGCTGAAGAATCTTCTGCTGCTCCAACTACTACTCCAGAATCTGTTGCTCCAACTTCTTCTGCTCCAGCTCCAAAAGCACCAACTTCTTCTGCTCCAGCTCCACCACAAGACACTACTGTCACTGACAACCAAACTGAAACTGGTCACACTACCACCTGTCCAGAAAGTGAAACTGCTCCAGCTCCAACTACCTCTGCTCCATCTCCAGAATCTGTTGCTCCAACTTCTTCTGCTCCAGCTCCACCACAAGACACCACTGTCACTGACAATGAAGTTGAAACTGGTCACACCACTTTCTGTCCAGAAACTGCTGAGCATTCATCTGTTGCTCCAACCACTACTACTCCAGAATCTGTTGCTCCAACTTCTTCTGCTCCAGCTCCAAAAGCACCAACTTCTTCTGCTCCAGCTCCACCACAAGACACTACTGTCACTGACAACCAAACTGAAACTGGTCACACTACCACCTGTCCAGAAAGTGAAACTGCTCCAGCTCCAACTACCTCTGCTCCATCTCCAGAATCTGTTGCTCCAACTTCTTCTGCTCCAGCTCCACCACAAGACACCACTGTCACTGACAACCAAACTGAAACTGGTCACACTACCACCTGTCCAGAAAGTGAAACTGCTCCAGCTCCAACCACCTCTGCTCCAACTCCAGAATCTGTTGCTCCAACTTCTTCTGCTCCAGCTCCAAAAGCTCCAGAATCCTCTGCTCCAGCTCCAAAAGGTACCACTGATACCGTTATCAATTCTTCTACCTTATTAGAAACCATCACCTCTTGTGCTGACCACAAATGTACCGTCAGTGTTGCTTCAGGTACCGAAACCCCAACTACTGTTACCGACGAAAACACTGTTACTGGTACTGAAACCACTTGTCCAGAATCTGATACCACTCCAACTGCTGTTGCTCCAACTTACTCATCTGGTTTCAACAATGGTACTACTCCAGCTGGTCCAACCACTTTAGCTTCAGTTCCAGCTTCTACTGCTCCAGGTACTACCCCAGCTGCTTCTGCTCCAGTTTCTGAAGATTCTACTTCATCTTTAACTGACACCTTATACTCCACCATTGGTTCAACTTCTGCTCCAGCTGCTTCTGGTAACACCACTGCTGGTGTTTCTACTTACGAAGCTGCTGCCGGTAACATTGGTGCTTCTGTCTTAGCTTTAGCTTTGATTCCATTAGCTTACTTCATCTAAGCTTGATACCCTTTCGATTTGTTTCTTGTTCTTTCCTCAAAGTTAGGCTGCTAAATCTTTTTTTTTTTACTTCGTTTTTTCTTAATGGGAATCTTCCTATTAAATTTACTTCTCTTTGTTTTTTAATTATAATTCTTCCAAATAAAAGTTTTTTTTAACCAGTTTTCGATGCAGAAAGGATACTCATATTAAAGAGTCTTTTTTTAATTAAAAATGATTAAAAAAATTCTTCAAATATTTATATCGGTTTTTTAATTTTCTAATTATTTGCAATTATTTACTTGCTGCTATTTAATTTTTCACGCATTTTCGCAACTACCAATAATGGTTGAGTTTTATTAAAGAGTTACATTTTGACTTCTTACTGATGCTTATTATTTTAGTCCATATGTTTATGGCATTCTTCTTTTAGAAAGCACATATTGATTTGCTTGTTGGTTATACAACAATAATTATACTAGTCCCTTTTATTTGTTCGTTTATCAATAATCAATTGATTGATGCCTTCAATTTCCTATATGTTATTTTCTTGCTTGCTTTCTTGTTCTTTGTTATACTAACAAATTATTTACTTCCGTTTTTCGCTTAATATGGGTTGTCTTTTCTATAGTGTTATATTATGTCGTATAATGTTTAGGTTGTCTTTTCTGTACGATTATCTTTACTTTTGTATAAACTAATAAACTTCTTACTTTTTTAAAATCTTATCTATTTTTTGGTACGTATATGCTGATTACTCTATGGTATTCTCTGTAACTCCTCTCTTCTCTTCTCTTCTCTTCTCTTCTTTTCTCTTTTCTCTCCTCTCCTCTCTCCTCTTTTACATAATAGAAGTAAAATAAATTGTTTTCGTTTTGTCAAAACCGTGCAACCACCCCTTTCGTTTAGAGTTTAGGCAGTAAATATCACGCCTTGAAGAGTAACTTCCTTCAAAATATTGAATTTTCTACCTACAAAGCCAGCAACTTCAAATATCTGGCAAATACATAAGAGATTTGCACACATTCTTATTAAGCACGCTACCTAACCCAAATTACAAATACATAGTTAACAGAACGCCAAAGTTGAAACGAATCACCCAAACTTTCGAAGATCACCAAAGAAAAGCAAGGCACCAAACAAAAACTCGGATAATGTTACTGTCAAGGCAGAAAATGGTACAAGACGTTGCAGCATGCACCTGCATTTAATTAGCCAGTTCGGAAAAAAACAGCCAATTGTCTAAACAAAAAATATTTGTTACATCAAAAAAATAACTTTGTACATACAAAATATGAAGATCTCATTAAAATATTTTTTACCGTCGTTGAGATCTTCGTAATTATTTTTACAGAAATGTTTTATTGGGCTCCCAGCAAGCACCAAAAGCTTCAATCTTGTAAATAGACCAGCAATTTTGTAGGGTATCCTTGCTTTAGATTAGCTGGTGTGCATTATCGCCTTCCTCAAAATCACGTATTTGGTACAGCAACACACAAATGGGCGATGCAGAACGTTCAATTGAATAATTACTACAAAAATAAATCAAAAATAATTATTGCAACCAATTTACGATTTACGTTTTATGGGGCTGGTCCCTACAGAGATCAGAAATCTTGGAGACAGAGATAATCAGTTAAAACTAAAAAATATACATCTATAAAAAAATGTGTACGGACAAAATCTAATAAACTTCTAAAATGTAACGTCCTTCTTCTTTCATGTCTTCAACAATTTTTTGAACGTCGCCTGGCTCTTTACCTTCCTTCTTGGCAGCATTAGCAACGATATCTTCTAAACAAGCAGTAATATCTGGCACTGGCCATGTAGGACCACACAAATAGAAAGAACCATTTTTGGTAACAATGGCACTGGTCAAGTCTTCAATTGAAGCTCTAATTTTATCTTGAATATAAATTTTTTCCGGTTGATCTCTGGAGAAGGCTGCACCAATATGGGTTAGAATACCAGCATCTTGGTATGCTTCCCATAATTCACCGTAAAGATATTCTTCCTTTTTGTGTCTTGAACCCATGTAAAGATAAATCTCACCAATAGTCATACCTTGTTGTTTTTGCCAAATCTTTTCTTCAATAAAAGCTTTGAATGGAGCCAAACCAGTACCCAAACCAGACATAACTATTGGTTGTTCTGGTAAAGGTGGTAATTTCATGACCGATGGCTTAACACTAACAACCAATTCATCGCCGATTGATAAATCAGATAAGTATTTAGAACAGTGTCCGAATCTGGTTCTACCTTTAGGATCAACCCAATCAACAACGACAATTAATAAATGAACTGCATTTGGATGAATTCTTTGTGATGAGGCAATGGAATATTCTCTTCTCTTCAATGGTGCAATAATCTTGACTAATTCAGCAAATGATGGCCTAGCAGATTTAAACTCTTCTAAAATATCAACGTAAGTAGAGAAATCAACATCTTGTCTCTTTTTCAATTCTTCAGCCCCTGCACCACTGGCCAATTTTTCTAAGTGTTCCCTTTCCTTATCGTCTTCAGCAAATTCAGCCAATGCTTCATAGAATCTTTTTGGTGGTTTACCAAGGAAATCAACAGTTTCAGTTAAAGCTTGTCTTGCTGATCTAATTTCTAAGATTTGCGCATTATCCTTATTAGAGATTTCAACCAAAGAGTTTTCATCAACTCCATAAAATTCTAAAAATTTATCAACTTCTTCATCCTTATTTCTACCATGGATACCCAATGCTTCACCAATATCATAAGTTAAGCCGGTTCCGGTGGTATCAAATTCAATATGGAAAATGTTTCTTGAATATTCGCTTGGTGTTAATCTCTTATTTTCTTGAACCTTGACAACGAAATTCTTAACGGGCAAGTCTGGTCTTAATTCCTTTTTGACTCCATAAGCTTCTGGGAAGACCAATTTGGTGGCTAAATCACGATAACCTCCATGGATAGTTTCCTCAACACCAGCATTATCTTTACGTGGATTAGGGAAGAAAGATGTTTCAGTTGGAAAGAAAGGTAATGGTTCAGATTCTTCAGCTTCAGCTTCTTCCTTAGATTCTTCCTTCTTTTCTTCGGCTTCTTTTTGTTCAACTGGGGTATCTTCCAAATCAACCCATTCAGGTAAAACGTTAACAGGTTTCAAACCTTTCAATTCATCGACTGTAGCAATGAATTTATCTAAAACAACAGCTAATAACTCAAAGCTGTTACCATTGGCTTGTAAAAGTTTATTAACAATAAACCCACCCAATTCTGGTAATGAAGCTCTCCAGAAACCTAATTGAACCAAAAAGTCATCTGAAAATCCCTTAGTAGCATCATTCAATTTATCTAACTCTTCTAAAATAGAGAAATCGATAACAGTCAATTTGTTATGATTTTTAGCTAAAGCACGTTTGAAATCAATTGGCAATTTGGCAACAACATCGTTTTCAAAAGAATCCTTAATTGGCTTGTTATTTACCAATAAAATAGTAGCACCAGGCTTAGCGGTAGCCAAAATATCAAAATAATTTAAAAGTGAAGAATCTTCAACCAAAACAACATCGGCAGAGTCAACATTGGTAACATCAGCTGGATTGGTTGCAGAAACAATCTGGGAGTGAAATGACCCCCCACCATTAACGTTATCATATTTGTTTCTAATACTGACAAATTTGGAATCATCTAATGATAATGATAAAGCCAATTTACGAGCGACTTTCAAAAAATCAGTATTATCTTTACCCCAAATCAAGTACTTACCTTCAGGACTGGTGTTAGCAGTAACATTAGAGACAGGTTGAAGATTTTGAGCACCCAAGACCAAAGCAGGATCCAAGTTTGGTAAAAATTCACTCAAAACTTTAGTAATAGTTACTGGAGACCAAACAAAGTTTAATGGATAAGTGAACTCATCAATGGTAAGGTTATGGTAGACACCTCCCAAAAATAAAGCAGCCGTGATGTCTGCTTTCAAAGAAGAAGAAGCATTAGTAAAAGAAGTGTCATTATTAACTTGACCCAAAATAACCAATTTACGAGTTGAAGAAGGAATACTTTGAATAAACTTGGATTGATTAAAAGGTAATGGAACCCTAACTTTGATTAAACCAACTTTAGTAGAGCCGGTAATCTTACTAATGACATCAGAGACTTGGGTGGATTCATTAGAACCGTAAACAACAAATACAGTTTCAGGGTTGGAGTGACCGATGTATTCAAATTGCTTGTAATTGGTACCAGCAAGTTTATTCAAATTATTGAAAGCAAAATCAATAGCCTGGTCAACGCCAGAAGGAGTTTCATTAGTGTTTGATAATAAATCTTGATATAATTGACCCAATTTTTCAACAGATAATAAGTTTGAAAACTTAGTGTAAGTCTTGGAAAATTCAGGACCGTCAAACAAGTTTAATGAAGGACTACCGGTTAAAAAGGCCAAATAATGATTTAATAAAGTCAAAAACTGTAATTCCAAACCGTCTTTGGAGTTAACAGGAGTAACAACAGAATAACCCAAAGAACGGGCAACATTCAATGGAGTGATATAGTTGGAGACCAAAGAACCCGAGCTTGAATCAAAATCAATAGCTGAAACGTTAAGAGATAATGGTAAGTTGGCAGATTTACCAGCCAAAGTAGGATGCATATAAGATAAAGCATTTGAACCTAAAACAGTTGCTAAAGGCTGACCAAAAGTACCGTTTTTACTGAAATAACCAAGAATAGCATTTGAGGCACCAGATCTAACTTGAAGTCTATGGAAAAATGGAACAACACCAAAAGAATTTTCTCTTTGGTGATGCTGGGACCAAAGTTGCAAATGGGCATCTAAAGAATTTTCAGCTCCTGGAGTTTCATAACTGAAGATTTTACTGGAAACAGAATAGATGGTTTGGTTGATCACAGTATTTGGACAAGTATAATAAGTACCTTGTAAAGATTGTGGACCAGTACTAGCTCCAAAAGGATTCAAGTTAACTGCTTTCAATGATTCACTGGAATCTCTGGCAAAATTAACGTCTTGAGAAGCGGTATCGCTACTAGTGTCAGGGGCAGCACCGTTCAAAGCACCAGTGGCACCATTGCTGACAGCGTGAGGAGCCATTATGGGGTGTTTTTATGTATAAAAAGATAAGTTAGCCTAACTTTAATGAAAAATTAAAATCAAACAGTGATAATGAAAATTTAGCTAATCAAAGTAATTTTAAGAGGTGAGTGCACGTGACATTCGGTAATGCAATTATGTAATCTTGCGACACCATCTCAGTTTTCAGACATAGTTTGCGTAAATGGACATGCGTTCCGCATTGGGTAACATTAGTGTGGCTCCAATTCGAATTATCACCATTATTCCGTTTGATTTGATGATTCGGAAGTAATCCGTGTATCGAGGTGTTGATTTCTAATACTCTATAAAATAGAAGAGAAGTATCTGCTTCTTGGTTATGAGAGGATAAGTTAACGATAGGTCCCAAGATGCTGTTATTGAGTAAATTTTCGAAAAGGATAATTCAACAGTACCCCACAAGAACTTATTGGTGTCTGACTGTTCGACCAGGAACCAGATTTCTATCTACTAATCAGCCTAGCACACTGCGTTTATCGCCTTCACCGGTGTCAAACAGTTTTTTGAAAGTCATAGTTGGAACCAGTTTGTTCACCGGGGGTATTTTGATCGGACAATATTACTCGCAAGATAAGCAACTCAGCAGCAAAGACCACGAATTACTTGATGCATCGACCACGCCAATAGATGTGGTGAAGCTGCCAATTTATGCCAATGATGAAGAATTTGCGGTTGCATTATCCAAATTCTCCGAGATTGTTGGTGAAGAAAATGTTACTTATGAAACTTCGATTATTGAAGCACATGCTGATAGTTTTTTCAGTACCCACCATCCACCCAAACCTGATGTTCAACGTCCCCATGCTGTGATCTATCCAGCGAATACTGAACAAGTATCGCGGATTTTGAAGGTTGCTCATGAGTATAGAGTTCCAGTGGTTGCTAATTCTGGTCTTACATCCTTAGAAGGTCAAAACATGCATACAAGAGGTCCCAACAGTGTCTCATTGGCTTTTGGGAACTTGAATAATATTCTTGAATTTCATCCAGATGACTTAGACGTGGTTGTTCAACCCGGTGTTGGCTGGCAAGACTTGGATGAGTTTTTAAAGAATCGTGAAGATGGCAAACATTTAATGTTTGGTCCGGACCCTGGAATGGGTGCTTCTATTGGTGGTATGGCCAGTACTTCTGCAAGTGGGACAAATGCTTACGCTTATGGTACTATGAAGGAAAACGTAGTTTCTTTGACGGTGGTCTTAGCGGATGGTACCGTTGTTAAGACCAGACAAAGACCAAGAAAGTCAAGTGCAGGGTATGATACTACTCGTTTATTCATTGGTTCAGAGGGGACTTTGGGTATTATAACTGAGATTACTGTCAAATTGCATGTTAAGCCAAAAAAGGAATTTGTCAATATATGGCTGTTCCCAACGATTAAAGACGCCGCAGCGACCGCTCTGGATATTATTTCAAAATCCGGTTTGAAGTTGAACGCTATTGAAATCATCGATCACACAATGGCTTCTTTTGTTAATCAAGCAAGTGGAGATGATGCTAAAAAGTTTTTAGAAACTCCCACGCTTATTTTCAAAGTTGGTGGTAATGATGAGAATGCAATCCATGAACAGGTTAAAATCATTGAAAAAATTGCTAAAAATCACAACTTAATAAGATACGAAGAGTCTCATAACGATGATGATAACCAAATCTTATGGGCTGCTCGTAGAAATGGGTTATGGTCAACTTTTGATTTTGGATCTAAAATTTTAGAAGATAAAAATGATGTGCAGATTTGGACTACTGATATCGCAATTCCAATTTCAAATTTGGCCACCGTCATCAGTGAAACCAATGATGACTTGAACAATCTGGGTTTCAAAAATAGATTTTCTGTTATGGGCCACATCGGTGATGGAAATTGTCATTTCTTAATCTTGTATAATAGTAAAGACTATGCTAAGGTTCAAACCTTAGTCGACAAAATGGTGGCTCGTGCTTTGAAATACGAAGGTACCTGCACGGGTGAACATGGTGTCGGTGTTGGTAAAAGAAAATACTTAGAAACTGAATTGGGGACTACTACAGTTGATCTAATGAGACATCTTAAGTTATCATTAGACCCAAGATTGATTTTAAACCCCGATAAAGTTTTCAAAACCGATCCCAACGAAAAACTAGAAAAACTCCTAGACGCCGGCCACTTACATGAGGGAGGTAAAGGCTGTTGCTAATTTGTAGATCATCTAATATAGAATTTCCACTTTTTTGCAATTTGAATTGGCAGTTTTTGCAATTTTGTAGTATCTCATTTTACTTTATTTCTGGAGAAAAATTGTTCCAAAAAGACAAACTTTGAACAGAAAAATCCACCAGTCAATACAACACCCTCCATCGAGTCTTCAAGCATGCCAGCTCAGTCAGAGACCCCTAAGCCGGAAGGGGTTGATATCCATCAGCTTTCGGACGTGAGCACGCGTTTCCATTCTTTCAAAAACAATCCTTATAGACCGAAAGCACCCAATCGTCGATATAAACCAGCCCGTCAATTAATTGGAGATGAAGTCAAGTACCTTCAAACCAAAGAAAATGTCAAATTCGATACTCCCACGTACACCTCAATAAGTGCACCACCTAGTCTTAAACCTCAAAAACATTATTGTGATATCACTGGATTACCAGGGAAATACAAAAATCCTTCGAACGGTCTTCGGTTTCACAACGTTGAAATTTACCAAGAAGTTATTAAAAATATGCAATCTGGGGTCGATCAAGATTACTTGAGTTTGAGAAACGCTAATGTTATATTAAAATAGCTTATATATTATGTACAATACAGTGTTATCAAAAGGTGTTCCAGCTTTGAACCAACTTATTGATATTTCTATCAAACGTGGGTGATTGTAGAACACTTTCGTTCTTTTCGGAGCCTACTTGTAGATTGGTAAAGGGATTGCAAATCGTTTTCAAGTAACTTTTGTGGATTTGTGAAAATAGTTCCTTCAATTTCATTGGTTTGGGATACGATGACCTGACCCGATCAGCACTTCCACCAGCAGCTTCCACATCTTTGTCTTGCTCTTTCTCGTCCTCGATATTGTTCCCTAGACCAACAACTATCTTCAATCCGTTGTTGGTTTCAAAACCGTAAACGGTTATATCGTCCTGTATGAATAATAGCAACACTCCACCATTATCATCAATGTTCTGATGCTGCTCTCTTAGACTCAATGATGCTGGAGATGCAAAAACATCGAGTGCCATATGGGATAGAAAATTGTATTTTAAGAACTTGTTGGCATTTTTAGTATTGGCTTCAGTATCTTGAGGATTTTCGTTGATTTCAGTATCAAATGATTGTATATATAAAGGTCTGTCGTCTCGCGATATCAATGCAACAAACGTGACTTGCTTATCCTCAACCAATTCGGACATTTCCACTCGAGTTTACCGCTTGGTCTCTAGTAGTTATCTTTACATTGATCAATTAATCCCCCAAAAATTTAATCTCCAAATATTACACCCGTACATCTTGTTTTTGTTTTGTTAGGCGAAATTAAATTGAAACATAAACATTAATGAACCGACTGAATAGTGTATATATAGTTGATTAGATACTCTCCGAAGCTTTCGATTTCAGTTATTAAGTCCATTGGCTGCTCTTCCAAGGAATAAAATTTCTGATATTCTCTTTTGCCTCAAAGTTTCGGCTCATTCGTCCCGTATACTGTCAAATAGCAAACCATGGTTGAAGTCTCTCCTTCAACCAAGAAAGTGGATGATTTCTTGTCTAGTTTATCCCAACTCTCCCAGGAACGGTTGAGGGAAGATCAAAGGAGACAGCGTGGATTACAAAGAAATATTGATGAACTTAGAGAAAGGCTGGGGAGCTCATCACCAATGAAATCATCGTCCATTGGGATCAATCGCTCTTCTTCTAGCTTGGGCCATTATCATGATGAAGTCCCCCAGTTGAGATTTAACAGAGATATGACATCTAGAGATAAGTTCTATCAAGACTTGAAAGATCTTGAAGCATCTGAGTCTCCTCCTCCCAAACCGAAAAGACCTTCAGGGTCAGTTTTTGATACGACTCATGATGATTCAGCACAAGAAGATCCTCCTTCTTTACCTACTCGCCCCGAATACCGCTTCTCGTCATCCAGGTCATCGTCGCCACCACCACCAGCATTGCCTAAGCGTCGTGACTTAGATAGCAAGCCGCATATTCAAATAGGTTTGGCAACTCCTGTGGCTAGATCGTCTTCTGGGTCATACAGGAAGCCACATCCACCTAAACCATCTCATTTAAGAAGTAACGGTAACAATGATAGCTTTGAAAGTGGAGATCACGATGTAACTACAGTCGTAACTCCAAGCACTAATAGGCACGGTACAAGTGATTATAATGAAGCCAAATCAGATATTCTGCAATCTTCTCCAAATGAAGCTTATCATAGATCAAACTCTGGTAAAGGAAAAGTGAATACCGTTATCGACCCTTCAACTGGAGCACCAAGAATTTCTTTTATAGATGCAAGAGAAAAGCCAAATTCAGAATCCCAACCCAAAACTCCAAAATCTTTCAATAAAACTTCAACACAAATTGCTACCCCAGGTAGATCTTCTTCTTCAGCCGAAAAACAACATAATTCATTCACCGAAATGGAAAATAATATTAGAGATGGGAAAGATGTCAATAACAGTGCAAGGAAGCTTTTCAATCAACAGTCTACTCCTTCTCCCGAGGCAGAGACAGAACGGAATAACAAATCGTATAAACCAATCAAACCATCAAAATCAAACTGGCTATCTTCCACTTTACAAAATTCCAATACAACTGAAGACGGTCTTCATATTCCTCGTCCCTCTTTCTACAATGCCATATCTGCATCTCAGGCGGCCAAAAGCTCGCCAGCATACATTAATAGAAGTCCATCTAAGCTGCTTGATGTACCAGATGATACGCATGACCATCAAAACACATTCACTAGATCACCATCTATTAGAGTGGGACAAACTCCTAGATCATGGATAGACAGTGTGGTAAGTCATGAAGATCATTTAGATCCTGATGACTACCTTGGGAAACCTAATTTCACTATCCCCCATAAGACTGATAATAGCCTCCTGTTTCATGAAGAAGAACATAGCATTCATGTACCAAAGAATTCTTCACCCAGTCGTGAGAAGAATCCACACTCTTGGATAGATAGTATGGCGAAAAGAGTTGGTTCCACCCTAGACGATAATTATGATAAGCCATCTTTTGTTATACCGAAAAAAGACAAGACTTCATTGGACTTGTACAAGCCGAAGGAAGAGCCAAAACAACCTGATTATTTATCGCATTTAGCTAAATTCAAAAAGGATGGTAAGAAGCCAGCTCCAATTCCACCCAAGCGAAAGGATAAAAGCTTGACTCCAGAAGAGGAAGAGCTATTGAAGTTACGTGAAGAAAAATTATCTGGCAAATCAGACAAACATCCTCCGGCTACACCTAAACCTAAACCGCCTCTGTTCAAGTATGATAAAGATCAAGATATATTGAAGAACCAGTTGGGCAGACTATCACCTACAAAATCACCGGGATTTTCTCAAAGAAAAGATTTTGAAAGTAAGGACCAAGAGCTATTAAGAAACCAATTGGGAAAACTCTCACCTACAAAATCACCTGGATTCAATCAAAAGAGGGATTATGAAAGCAAGGATCAAGAACTTTTGAAAAGTCAAATGAACAAACTTCACGCCAATAAGCCAAAAGAAACGCCGACTTTACATAAATACGAAGAGAAAGACTCAGAAGTATTGAGGTCCCAGTTGCAAAAATTAGGCGCAAAACATACAAGAACAGTATCTTGGGAAAAACCTAAAGAGGACCAGGGTCCAGAAGGGCTTAAGGCCTTAGCCAAATTGAAGCCAGCAAAAGCACCACCGCCGAAACCTGCAGATTTACCAGAAGCCTTGAAGCAATTAGAAGCATTGAAATCAGGCAAAAGGTCTGTTTCGCCGGTCAAGTCAGCACAACTCGAAGATCGCGATAAGATTGATACATCAGACCCACCAGACATGGAAAAAGAAGATGAGCCAACTACCAAAGCTCCCGTTGAGGAAACCTTGAACAAAGATCAGAATCTTGATGAACAAAAGGCCACCAAATCCGCACCATCGAAACCACCCAAGAAAAGGACCGAAGCAAAGACCGTTGAGGAAGAGAAAGATCAGAAACAAGAGAGTAAACCTGCTCCACCAAAACCAGCCCCTTTAAGAAAAGCAAGTACTGACATCGAACCATCGACACAAGACGAAAATGAAAGCAAGGCCGACTTAACCAAATCGTCGTTCCAGAATCAGTTATCTTCTATCTTACGGGCAAGCACTGCTCCTGTCTCGACTAACGGTTCTGGTTTGGGTGCAAAAACAACCCCTGGTCCATCAATTAAGACAGAAAAGAAGAAAGATTCTACAGGCCCCACCAAACTCACCCATCCCAATAAGGGCAGAGCCAAGGGCCCTAAACGAAGACTTCCCAGAAACATGCAATCTCTGGCTACAGACAAGAAGGACGGCCCATCAGAAAAGATACCTGACTTCAAAAACAAAAAGATCCCTCCCCGGATAAATAAAACAACCAAACCCAAGCCCGAAGACATCAAACCCAGCAGAGTCTTGAGTGGTGAAGTATTCATATAGTCCGTATACCCTTCTAAACCCTCTAAATAGATCATGATAATGAAATTCAAACGTAGGTTTGTTGCTAATTTCACAGCTTCCTCGTATTCCTTTTAAGTAGCAGTCATGTGCAGGATTTTGTAAGCTGTCTTCTTCTCACAGTTTTGTTTTTTTTTTTTTGTTGTGATTCGACAACCTTTGGAATTCAAAGGAATTGGGTTACTTTGGAATCATAAACGGCATTGAAGCTCAAAATGGATCAAGTCACTAGTCATTTCAACCAAATCAGAGATAAAATAGGTGCCAGTGTTCAGACATACGTGGATACTGACAAGTTGCCTAATAGTTTTCAAGAATTTCAACAAACTGCTGGACTGTATTTGAATAATTTGAAAGAAACCATTCCAGAAAACATTGAAAAATACTATACTGTACTTAAAAACACCAGCAAGGATGAGATATTGAACGACATCACTCAATTGAAAGTGACACCAGCTACGGTTACTTTGTCAATAACCACCATTGCTACTGTTTTACTTGTTAGTCGTTTATTAGCGCAGTCATCTGATGATGAAGGCAGTAAATCTAAGAAGAAGAACTCTAAAAAGAAGCAAAAGAAGAAGCTCTCCAGAGCCCAGAAGGCCAATAAAGAAATACAGCAAATTTTAGACTTTGTTGAAGAAAAATACGTACCTGAGATTGATGAATATTTGGAAAATTATAGTAAATTGGATAGCGAAAAGATTCAATATACTTATAACTACTTTCAGGAAATGTTATTGAAGGAATTGATGAAGTTAGATGGGGTTGATGTTTCGGGCAATGAAGTTTTAAGAGACAATAGAAAGAAGGTTATTAAGTTTATTCAAGATCATCAAGCAAGATTGGATAAATTTAAAAAAGAAGCTAAATTTTAAAGTAACTAATGAAACAGCATCATTTATGATTTATTAATTATATCTAATAACTGTAATTATAAACTTTTTTTTTTTGTAATTGTTTAATATAATATCACTTTATAAAAAGTTAAACAAACGTACAATAATCTTCAGTCAAACTTAGTTACCCAAGTATCGAAATCTTCGGGCTTGATATGTGCACCACCTTTAACCCCAAACTCAGCGATACCAGCCGGGGTTGGACTGAAAATATGGGTTTTCAACTCTAACCGTTTACCTAACCAAAGAGCAGCATTGGTATGATCTCTCAAATCATCACCAGTTTGAGGATGAATCAATACCGAAAGTGTCCCATGGTTCAACAGAAACCAACTAATCAATTTGGCAAAGATTTCAACCCTGGTAACGTCAACCTCCCAAAAGGGAGTATAATGCGGACCAATTGCTACGTCTTTCGGTAATTTTTTCACAATTATTAATCCTTCTTTGCCCTCTTGTTCAAAATCAATTAATAACTTTTCCCGTAACTTGTCAGACTCTTCTTTGGTATCTGATTCGTAATAAACGTGAAAATCCCAATATTTCACTGGATACGTATATCCCAACCCCGGGGTTTGTCTAATAGCTTTAGAAGGCTCCTTTCTATCAAGATGAGTAAGATAATCCATAGTAGATGTCAAGTTTAGATTCAATTTCGGGGAGCTTGTCTGTTCTTGTTCATGCCGTACATTTATAGGATTAAATCAAAGCGGAATTGCAAAAAAATTAAAGGAACCACAGTTTCCGCGGTTGTGAAAAATTAAAGCTTACAGTAGATTAGACTATGATGCTTATTTAGACATTCATGAAAAGATAATTAAATATGTAGATATATGGTGGAAGGTGCTTGAGTTCACACAAGATCCAAATCTTTCTGAACCATGGATCTACAAATTGGATGATACTTGGCCTGGTGAACCTTGAATATCTTTATGGCATAATCCTTATTCACTTTCTTCAATAGAATGTAACCTGGACGGACAAATTTCATTCTCCCTACGGTTCCAAGCCAGTCAGCGAATTTGGTCACAATGGGGTTTTCAGGAGCTAATTTCCCATGATCAATCACCAAGGCATTCCACGATGCTTTGATCTCTCCGTTGGTGACTTCAGCATAGAAAGGATATGTTTGTATGAAATTTGAAATGAAATCTGTGCTGATATTTTCGAGAGTGCTTAATTGATTATTCAAGGTGTCCAAGAATAAAGCGTGTTGATTGGGTTCGTAATGGCTAATATCAGAGCTTTCTAGTTCAGGCAGCTTGACCCCTGATTTTGCAAACTTGAACCATGATTCTGCTAATTGATAACATTCGTCAGCTAAAGTTGTATCAAATTGAGGAGTCACTGGTGGTAATCCTTCAGAGAAAAGCCATGCTTCCCAATTAATACTGTCAAGGATTTTATCTTTGTTTCTTTTACTGAAAAAATCATGAAGCGTATCAATGAACTGGTAAGAGTCTAATGATTGATACTTGAATTTTGCAAAATAGTATTTTATGAAATCATTAAAGTCTTCCAAACCTAAAGTTTTTTCCAAAAAGAATAGGAAATTAAACCCCTTTTCATAAGGGATTCTTGAAAAAGCATCATCAGGATCAATTTTATCCTTGAGGTTCCAGACTAAACTAGTAAATTCAGGTTTCAAAGTTTTAACAGTGTCAACTAAGCCACTCCATCCAATTATAGCTGCAAAATTACGAACTTGTTCTCCATACTTGGTAGCATTTTCTTGAGACATTCCTTTACTCAAAGCTTCTTTTGTGCTCAAGGCTCCTAGAATTCTTCTTTCTAAATAGACTGTCCAACCTTCATTAAGCCAAAAATGTTCCCAAGAACAATTGGTCACCAAATTACCCAGCCATGAATGGGCCAATTCATGAGCCATCACTTTCACTTGCAGTCTATCTTTACTGATCAAAGTGGGTGTAGCAAAAGTAATATTTGGGTTTTCCATACCTCCATACGGGAAACTTGGTGGTAAGACTAAAGCGTCGAACTTCAACCATTCGTAATTGAATATTAAGTCTTCGGCAATTTGAATAAACGTTTCCATGTCTTTTTCGAATTCCCATTGGCAGTCTTTGAGGTTGAATTTTTCAGAATAAACGTCTGAACGAGGTCCAATTGGTAACTTATCAATATCCCCGGAGGCTAGGGCCACAAGATAAGACGGGATTGGGATTGGCTGGCTGAAGCAGTAAACATCTTTATCATCAGCATACTTTTCTTGTGGTCTACCAGACATCAATGTAGGATATGGAGAGCTCACTTTCATATCAAAAGTAGACTTGATTGCTGGGGTATCAAAACAAGGATATAAACTACGAGCATGAATTGCTTGACACTGTGAGAATAAATATGGCCCAGTTGATGCTTCAATGAACTGTAATGCAGTGCATTTAGCGGTAGTACTATACTTGATTTGCAAATGGAGTTTCTTCGAGTCATTGGATTTTAGGGGAACCACTAACGCAGAACCCAAAGGCTCAACTCGAGCAACTAACTCATAGCTTACAGGAGTCTTATTCACAGACACCTCAAAGATCTCTAAGTACGATGTATCAAGAACGATACGGTCAGAACTGCTTAAATTTTCGAGTTCGAAATTGACAAACCCCAGAACTTTTTTTTCAGAGAACTCGATTTTCAAGTCAAGGCCGGTATTAACGACACGGAAGTTCGAGTAGTTCGACTGGGTGCTTGGATCCAATTCCGAAGAGCCCAAGCTGGGTCTCTTAGCTGTTTCCCACTTCATTTAAATTGTTGGTTATTGGAAAGAGACAAAATAAGTGGAGTGCTTTTTCCAAAAGCCATTCTTTTTTTTTGTCTTGAGTAATTGTAGAGTAGATTCAGAATATTTTGCAAAATCCGGCATTATATGGATTCTACGTTAACTATTAAAAAGGATATTAATCAAAATGTATTATATAAAAAAAAATATAGAATAAATAACAAAGAAGTAACTGTGGTAAAAAAAAGAATTTAGAAAAGAAGTATGTAAAAGAATTAGAGGAGATATGCGTAAATGAACATTAAATATGAAAGGATTAAGCGGAAGGAGCTTTAGCAGAATGATTTTTTGATTCTTCATTATCAGCAGGCTTCTTTTTCAGTCTCTTTTTAGAGGCTTGTGCAACCAATTCTTCAAAAACTCTAGCTTCTTCAGCCTCATCTTCGGTTCTTGTGGTTGAAGCAAAAACTTCACCTATCAATTTCAACCCATTTGCACGGGCCACTCTTTTCTCTATAGGGACATCTTTATCACTTAATATATTATCACACACACCACGGACGGTACCTTGAATTTCGAATTTTGAACCAGACCAAGCTGCTGCTAAAACCTTACCCATCAAATATTGTTCCATTTCTGCTAAATCTTCAGCAGTATGTTTTTCAGGAATTTTTTCCTTTTCCTTTGATTTAGAAGGATCAGCAGATTCTTGTTGTTGTCTTTTCAATTCTTCAATTTGTTCTTTCAATTGATCAACTTCACTAGCGTTCTTTTTCGCTTCAGTTTCAGCTTCCTTTTTAGCATGATATTCATTATCTTCTTGCATCTTGGTATATTCTTGCATGGTCAGCTGAGCATCAAGGGCAGAGGTAACAGTTTTGAAAGTATCTCTAATAACACCACCTTTCTCCTTCACCGACCACCAAAGACCACCAAAACCTAAGAAGGTTTGATTTTTTAAGAAAATTTTTGATTTGGTTTTATAGATACTTCCAATGGTGTGTAAAATTTCCAAACCAAAACTTTCCATCTTTAAAGATTCGGCTTCGTATCGTAATTTTTCCTTAAATGAATTAGCAACATCTTCTTTCATATCCGTTTCTGTATACAAAGATAATTTTTGAATCAATTTTTTCAGTAATTCTTCTCTCATTTCAATTTTTTTCAATCTACATTCTTCTTCGAATTTTTCCAATTCTTCTTTGCGTTTCAATTCTTCTTTTTCCTTTTCGGTCAATTCCTTCTTTGGTTCCTGAGTACTGACCTCTCCATTAGTTTGAGTATTTGAACTACCGGAGTGCTCCAAGTAAAGTTTCCCTGTTTTGTTACTCAAATCAGATATTTCTTCAGAATCTTGTGTCTTAGGTTCAGAATTGACCGTTTCGGTTCCTTCAGTCTTCTTTTCTTCTGGTTTCTCTTCATCAGATTTCGATGCTTCTTCCGCTTTTGCTTCATCAGTATATCCAGATAACTCGGCTGACTTTGACAACTCTTGGATCAAAGATAATTCACCAATCCAATCCTTGAATGCTTCACCCCCGAAAATTTGTGAAAAGAATTCCGAAGGATCTTCAAAACCTTCGGATGGAACTGATTCTTGCTTACCAAACTTGTCGTATTTAGCACGTAATTTCTCATCACTTAAAACTTGGTAAGCTTCACCAACTTCTTGAAACTTAGCTGCTGCATTAACGTCATTTGGATTCTTATCAGGATGTAATTTAATGGCTGCTTTTCTATAAGCTTTCTTGATTTCTAACGCAGTTGCTTCGGGTTTGATACCCAACAAATCATAGTATGTTGTATCGACTGCCATTCTCAGCTCTAAAACCGTAGTTTGAATACGCCAATGGGAAGAAATACTAAAATGGTTGGCAAATCTGGAGTTATTCACTAAAACTCGAAAAGAAAAAAAAAAAATAGCTGATGGAATGGTAGTGTGAGCGCAAGAATATCAGAGGCATATGCCGTTTTAAAGGTCCATCTACAACTACTTCTACAAAGATGTATGAATGAAAATGATTATATATTTACAGGAAGAAAGGGAGATTAAGCAGAATAATAGACTTTTCTTAAATCGAGGACTTTTTTACCTCTACCGGCAGCCAAATCTTCTAAAGATCTTTGTTTGGTGAGAGCTTCAACAAAACCTTTGACGGTATTCATTTTATTTCTTGACTTGAAAACTTTACCACCTAAATCTTTAATACCAGCAGCTTGACAAACTTCAAAGATATTTGGATTAACTCTTAAACCAAAACCAGCAGGGGCAGATCTCAAAGATAATTTAACTGCATGGAATTTATAATCGATATTACCAATAATGGTTCTATTTTCGTAACGAGGAATTGGAGTTAAATTTTTAATTGCATTCCAATGAGCTTTTCTAATAGCCACTCTCATACCGTCTCTTGATTTACCTTCACCCAAACCAATTAAACCATCTTTATTTCCAACTACAGTTAAACAATAGAAACTTGGAATTTTACCTTTTCTGGTTTGACAACTGACTCTTCTTAAATAGATTGCTCTTGAATATAAGTTACGGATTTTTTGTTTATCTAAACCAGTTAATTTTGCTATACCAGTTGCTTGTTCTTCAGCAACGTCTCTTAATGAAGGCCTGGCATCAGTTTTATTGGATTGGAAACGAATCTTTAAATGGGTGTTATCCGGAGCGGCAACATTTGGAATACTTGGATATGGTGTTTTCTTGTCTGGTTGATTTGGATATAATATTGGTTCTTGCCATTTTGCATCAGTTATTGAATAATCGAATGATTCATTGGTTGGGGCAACTTTAGATTTGGCATTTGGTCCTTTCTTGGATAATCCCAACACGGTCTCTGGATCCACCAATGATTCAGTGATCTTGATACTTTGTAATAAATCTTGATTGTAGTATTTTGATAAAAAATTTAAATGGCTGTCAATTTTTTTATTTGGTACGTCTCCACCGGTTGGTTTCTTTTGGAAACAGCGAGGACTGGTGGCCAATAAACGAAGTGTGGCCCTAGACACACTCGTTATATGGGATCTCCCTTGTAATGCAGTTCTAAACATGGATAATGTTAAACGGTTGGTGAAGGGGAATTTTCAACGAATGAAAATTTTAAGCTGAAAAAAAGAGAGAGAAAAAAGTCGTGCGCAAACTTACAATTTTTTACATCCGTACACCGGGTTTTTCAAATACAATAATAATGAAGTCTAATAAATAAGTAATATACAAATCAAGGTTTCTCTTCGTTGACATCAGAGAGTTCTAATGGTTTAATTGGGATATCGTCATTTTCCATATTTGGTTTATTGAAGGGGCTGTTATTGAAGAGCTTTTCGTTTTCCTGTTTCAAGAGCACAATTTCATTTTTCAAATTATTAACTTCTTTTTCAAATCTTTTACCAAAGACATCAATATAGTAGGTAGCCCCGTTATAAGAAGCCCAAACAAAGATGAAAGTGACGAAGAACCCACATGCATGTTTATATTTAAACCAAATTGGACAGAAGACCATGGTTAAGATTTGATAACCAAATTGAATTAAGGTAAAGGCAGTGATTTGCATCCAAGTATAAGGTAAAGAGTTGACGAATTTGCCCAAGGCTGATTTTGAGTTTTTCTTCTTCAAATAAGTGAAACTGGTCACGGTACCCTTTTCGATTTCCTCTTTACGTTTGATGGTGATGAAGTAATGATAAGTGACTTGCCAAATGGTATAGTAGATTGAAGTCCAAATGATTCCTCCAATGAAGTTCCAGTGATCCAAGGTGGCTACTGCAGGGAATCTTTCCGCCAAGTAGTCTTGGGGTAATTCGTGAACAATTACAAATAAAGTAATTGGAGGCATTATATGGATAAAAGAACTAGTTGTCTTTTCAATCAGATGCAATACTAAAGAGTTTCTCCAAGTGATAACTGCAAACGATAATGTACCCATAGCCAATGAAAATACGGATATGAACAAGGATTCACTATTGGGGAACCACCAGATGAAAAGCATTAACAATATGTTAACATAGTAGCAAAGATCGGCTAAATAAAACTTAAACCCAATTTTAAAATAGGTATAAAATCTAATTGGCATAAGCATAACAAATAAGCATAGGTGGAAAACATGGAAATAAGTAGGATACTTACCAATAATAAAACCTGCCATTGATATCGAAAAAACTGCCATTGCATAGAAAAATTTTTCTGTATTGGAAGATTGCAAATTCCTCGATACTCGTTTATCAAAATGGCTTAATTTACTTAAAAGTTTATCTTGTAATTCTAAATTCCTCTTTATATTAGAACTACTATTAATTGGTTTGAATTTCATACTATCATCTTTGAATTGTTTCAATCGTTGTTTGGTTTTGGATTTCATTTCATTAAATCTTTTCCTGGTAGAGTCTCCCACTTGCAGCCCAAAATCAAAATCTGGAAGTATTAACAACTTTGATAAATCAATGAAAGATGAACTGAACGAGTCACTTCTATTCAATGTATAGGTACTGCTTGAAATGGATGAGCTATCGTCATCTTCTTCAATTGCAGTATCCTGGTCCAATTCATTCTTTCTCACCAAATTGGACTCCAGAAGCGGCTCTTGTTCCAAATCACTCTGTGATCCCGGTTGATTCTTCTGTTCCAAGTTACTCATGACTGAAGCCACCGTACTTAAACTCTTAACCTTGTATGGATTAAGATGAGTGTTGTTAATGGTCATAATAAACGGTGAAACTGAAGCATGTGACAGCAATTGCTCTGGTGCACGGGTCTTTGGTGTGCTGCGAGCAAAAAAAAACGAGACCACGAAAGCCTTGAAAAGCACGATAAGATGTTTAAATACCGTGCTTTGGATTACACGTGGCAAGCCACGTTGGTGAAGAAAGTGTGGATCGAAAGCACTGGTTTAGTATTAGCAGGTAGTACGCTGGATGGTGGGGGAGATCAAGCGAGATAAGAAGATTAGATAACGGGCAAGAACGGTCACGTGACTGCAATTTGCAGCAATAACTAGTCTACTGCTAATACTACTACTTCTGCTGCTTCTACTACTGACAGACCTCTAAGTATTACGTTGGATAGTGAAGAGTGTATGGTTGCTTGCCATGGGCAATGTTTTGAAGGATACATGTTCAGCTTTCGGCAAAAGGTTTGGACAGTTTTCAAAGAAGCTTTATTGTCTATATTGGTATTGGCCGTTCTAATAACTATTCAGAACTGTTCAAATATCAACAGACATACCGTCAGCACAATACGTTTATAGTTATTGATGTACGTGGTGGATAATGTAGTCTGGTACCTTAGGTGAGTTGGAAAATCGTCTGTATCTAGTATGTCTAGCTTGTCACATCTATTCCATTACTTTGTAAAATCTGGGGATTTGTCAGCTTATTTGTCAGTCTTAGCTGCCTAATAACAATCTAATATCAGAAGTATTATTGTGAATATATAACACCGTTATAACTGTTGCACTCATCCGACGGTGCCTGGACTTCGCACCCGGACACCAGGCCCTGTTATAAGAAGAAAGTATCCCAAGCTAACGTTTGGGAACAACTACCCCCATAATCATGATCAACACCAACTATACGTTCAAAAACCTACTCGCATTCAACGTGAGTGGGTTTGCTTGTGTTGCGTTCATTGTTTTTCTAACTTCCACTCAGCCATTCTACCTAAATGAAGTGCTAGACATTAATCACAATTTAGGGAATATAATTGGTAATTTGGGTTTAATTGATGAAATACTATGCATATTATCAAGTCCATTGATCGGAACTTTGAATGATCGGATCAATACCAGTTCTTGGAGATTAAACGGGGCGAAAATCATTCAATTCATTGGATTTTCAATCATCTCTCTCAGTTTATTCAGTTACGCTAAATTGATTAATTCTTTGAATAAAATGTATTTTGTTAGAGGGGTTTTTGCAATTGGAGTAACTTCAATAATGAGTATGATTCCTGTTTTACTAAATGAATTATCAAATTCGGATTTTGAATTCAAAAAAATTGTCTTTTGGCGTCGCCGTCATCACCATCGAGAATCAAATGAAGTATCTAATAAAAATGGTAAATATTCAGCACTAATTGGTATTTCAACAGGATTAGGTGCTATTTTCTCGGTATCGATGTTTTTAACTCTACCAGTGAGATTAAATGATAACTATCCAAACTTATCTAATAAATCAAGCTTACAATTATCATACTTAATTCTTTCAATATTATCAATTATAGTAGCAATTTATCTATTGATTTTCCTATATAACTCCAACAAATCCAACAATCAAGTTGTCAATCCAGAATCACAACCTCTCTTACCGTCAACAAAACCAAATTACTTACAATTATTACACCATGGTATCAAAATATCTTCTAATAATTCTAAAATTCAACTAAGTTTTGTTGGTTCCTTTGTTGCTCGTTCCACGACAGTTTTAACTGCGGTCTTCATCCCCTTATGGGTCTATCATTTCTATCATGATTCTGGTAAATGCGATGCTCTCGACAAAAATAATTGCTACGATGGTTATATATTTGCAGCTATTCTAACCGGAGTGGCACAAACCATTGGATTAATTCTGTCCCCGATCTGGGGGATCCTCATTGATCATCGTAAAGTCGGCTCAACCCTTTGTCTTTTACTCTCTTCCATCCTAGGCTTGGTTGGCTGTTTTGGAATTTGTTTCAACTCGAATCTCGATCCAAGAAACTTCCATACTTTCTTCTTTGTCAGCCTCATCTCCTCGCTGCAAATCGGCTCGGTCATCACCTCCATGAGTCTCTTATCCAGCCTACAATCAGACACCTCCATAGGAAGTTTAAGTGGGCTCTACAGCTTATGCGGAGGCTTGGGGATCTTGATCCTCAATAAAGTCGGTGGACTCTGGAGTGATTCGTGGATCTTGGCTCCCTTCGCTCTCTTGGGTGCGTTCAACATCCTCCTCACCATAACCTCCTCCTACAATCTATATAAATAAGTATATGAATACAAGTATATGAATACAAGTACATGAATACAAGGAAAAGACGTTATTCTGTCAAAATCGAGATTTTTCAAAATATTTTGTGAGCATCTTCACTTTTTTTTTTTTCTCTTTTTTCGTTGAGTTTGTCAAAAGACATTTGTAATTTGTTCTTCTTTTCCAGATATTCTAGACAAACATGATTGAACTACTTCTAACGATAGTTCCTTCGGTATGTTGGTTGTTGTATCGATGTTACCAACTTCTTCAAACCCCGGTGGAGTCTTTAGTTGAAGATTTGAATATAGAAATACCTCACAGTCCAAATATTTGTATTGATTCAATACAAAAATCATCGGTTGTAATTCATTGGGATATTGAAATGAATAAAAGTGAAAACTTGTATTATGTGTTGTTGGTGAACAATAAGGAAGCTGCATGTTTAACACTCAATTCATGTAAGTTGAATAATTTGGTTGAAAATAAATTATATCAAATTCAAGTTATTGCCATTAATTCAATAACCAACTTCAGGTCCCAGTCAACCCCGGTATTCATTCAAACTTTACCTAAAAATAAAGACTTTATACCAAAGAGTTTTGGTACCAAGAATATAATGAACGAGGGAACTAAGATTAATTTGAATGAAGTTAGTAACGAGCAAATTAGAAAAATCGAGGATGTTAAAGTGTTGAATGATTATCTTTCAAAATATCAACAAGAATTATGTAAAGTCAATAACGAGTTGATCAATTTTGAAGATGGAATTAAAGAAGAGCATGGTAAGTTATTGGAAGAATTAATTTTTTATAAAAAAGAATTTGAAGAAGAGACCGATAATAAATTGAAAAAAGATAATAGTGTTAAAGATCTAGAAAAACAAAAGGAACAATTATTATACAAGAAGACTAAATTATTACAAGAGTTGAAAAAATTTGAAAATTTTAAAGATATTAATGATTCCAAACTTATTGATTATCAAATAAAAATTAAAAAATTGAACGAACGGAAAAATCATATAATTAAGAATGAAGAACAAGAAAAGGCCAAAATCACCAAACAAATCAGCGACATTAAAGCTGAAATTGAAAATTATAAACATACAAATGATAATTTGGAAGAACATTGTAAGAAATTATTAAGTGAACGTAAAGAATTGAATAATTTATTAAATCAATTAAAACCATTGATTGAAACTTATACTAATCCTAATCCTCCGTCACCAAATGCATCAAGCACCTCATTAATCAATCCAACGAATAATGAAGAATTATTACTTAAAATATTAAATTTAAAACCTGAATGGAGTGATGAAATTATCAAAGAAATTGAATTAGTTAACCAATTTGAAAATGATTGGAAAATTGCTTATAGAAATGAAATTAGAAAATACTTATCAATCAGAAACAGCTTGGAAATCAGTCGTATGAATCTTGACTCGAATTATCAGCCAACAATGTTAACTGAATATCAAGCAAGTATTGAAATTTGTGGATTTCATAATGCATTACCTAAAAACATAAATCCTAAAATTAAAAAATCTAATTGGTCCAACCCGCCATCAATTCAATTATCGGATGAATCTTTAAAACAACCAAATGTGTCTGTTTTAAATCAATCCTCTTCGTCACCTTCACCGGTTCCTTTAATTAATGAAGAATCAATCAATTATCCTCCAATGAGTAATTTGAATAATGACAATTGGTATAAATTTTATGGCCAAGTCTATTCAAACGACCAACAAGATTCTTTATTAACTCCATTGAACCAAACGGCTAGTTTAAATAGTTTAAATCTTGGTCCTGTCAATTCCAATCTTAATCCAAATCTAACCAATCTCAATCCACCAAAATTAAGATTTCCTTATGACGATCAAATTTATACCCAAAACTCTCCAATTGACGAAAGTCTCTATTCATATTCTTCTCCTCAAATTACCAAAAATACCTTAAGCACCATGTGGAGTGATCATCATAGTGGACCCGGAACTCCCAATAGTGTCCATAATAATTTGGCGGCTCCTACAAGTGCACCAGCAGCCCCTACAAATAATCCTTTATTCGGCCAATCCTTAAACCCTGGTGAATTAACCAATGATTACCCTTTGGATTATCTGTTATGGAATAACGGTAATAACAACGATATCAATTCCAGCTCTTTATGGAGAACAGAAAATTCCTTCAACGGAATGGGGTCTGGTGGTACGACATTGCTAGGTGCAAACAATAACCCTCCTACAATGAATAACGTCAACTTGAATGTTAACTTGAATAATTTGAATAATAATTTTTTAAATAACCAAAACCTCTTGGGTAACCAGTTTGGTCTTGGTGGTATTCAATTAAGTCCTAGTCTCAGCTACGGACAGCAACAAGAAGAGGAGCAAAACAACCCCAGACTCTTCTAGCATATATGATTTTCAATACATATTTAAATAGTTCATCTTCGTAGAAGGCATTTTATATACGGCATACTGAATAAAAAAAAAAAATCTGCTAACAAAACAAAAAAAAAAAAAGAAACCAAACTCATCTCGTTTTTTTTTTCCGGCAAGTGCAATGAGCGAAGGAAATTTCCCAATCCGAAGCAACAACTTATGACTAATCAGTTGGATAAAGTATAAATATAACAGAATATACTGGCCAGAAACTTTTCCTTGAGATAGGATATAGACAAGATGACTGTTATTAGTGAAGAAGAGTTCCCCACCACCCATAATGATTTCCGTAGTGATACATTTACGGTTCCAACCAAGAGTATGATTGAACAAATCACCCACCAGCTCAGTAGTGGAGAAATGGTGTTGGGAGATGCGGTTTACCAGGAGGATAGGGCCACCTATGAGTTGGAGGAGTTTATGACCGAGTTAACTGGGAAACAACTGGCTCTTTTCTGTTCCAGTGGTACGATGTCGAATCAAATTGGGATTAGATCTAATTTATACCAACCACCATATTCAATAATGTGTGATCATAGAAGTCATGTATTCTTGCACGAAGCCGGAGGGTTGGCCAGTTTATCGCAAGCCATGGTGCATCCCATCAAGCCCCTGAACGGAGATTATTTAACCTTTGAAGATATTTTAGAGAATTTTACTGAAGACGAAGGGGATATTCATGCAGCACCCACCAAAGTGATTAGTTTGGAGAACACATTACACGGGATCATAATACCTTTGGAAGAGATCAAGAAGATCAGCTATTTCTGTAATAAGAATAATGTTAAATTACATTTAGATGGAGCCAGAATTTGGAATGCCCATATTGAAACCGGAATTTCAATTAAAGAATACTGTTCGTATTTCGATAGTATCAGTTTATGTTTGAGTAAATCCTTGGGGGCCCCAATGGGGTCAATTTTAGTTGGAACCAGCCAATTCATTGAAAAAGCTAATCATTTTAAAAAACAATGCGGAGGGGGTATCAGACAAGGTGGTATCATGTGTAAGATGGCCGAAATTGCCATTAAAGAAAATATATCGAAATTGAAGAAATCCCATGATTATGCTAAACAAATTGGTAAATTTTGTTTAGACCATGATATCAAATTAGAGAGTCCCGTTGATACCAGTTTTGTTTTCATTGATTTGAAAAAAAATAAAATGGATCCTAGTTTATTAGTCGAAATTGGTAGCAAGTACAACGTTAAGTTGATGGGTGGTAGAGTAGCATGTCATTTCCAAATCAGTCAAGAATCGGTTGATAACTTAAAGTCGGCCATCTTAGAATGTTATAAAGAATCCTTGATTCATCCTTATGAGAAAAACTACGGTATTAAATTGTATAACTTCGATACCATCAAAATCAGACAAAAACAACATTATTAATGTATCTTCACTAATAGTAATTCGTTACATATTGTCCGATTCAACTCCGATACAACCATAACTACACAACAAATAACACAACAAATAACACAACAAATAACACACAAATAACACAACTAATAATAACCAAATAACACAACAAATATAAATAACTACATAATAACCAAATAAATAACTTCACGACTAGACCTCATAAACAACTAGACGACTGCTAAACAAAACGACGTAGCTTATCTATTTAATCAGTATCCGCGTCAATAAGATAATCCGTCAAATATCCGAGACCCTGCCGCAGGCACGTGACCGGCATCCCGGAAGCCGCCCTCGGAAATCAGCGGGAGCACCATCAATGTTGCGACCCGTGCACCTCGCCCGTACCGCACGCGCCGTTGTTCCAGGGGGTTCAGCCTCACGCGCCCCCCGGTTCCCGCTAAATACCCGTGGGTGTACGGGTCACATTGCACGGCTAACGGAAAAGCTGCGAAAAAAAAAAAAAAAAATATCTGAGAAAAGCCTTCAATTGATGCCAAAAACAACCAACAACTGATGTCAAATCACCCAATACTTGGTGCTGGAGCAGGGTCGTTTAGCCGTTGGCCAACAGAGTATGCGATCGATGAGCTTGAACGGTTGAGTAAGGTATAAATACTTCAAACGTTGCGATTTCTTACATTATTTTCTTTTTTTTTTCTTTTTTTTATTTTATTTTTCCTTGCTCCCGCTTCTCGGGTATTTGGTGTTCACCTTAGTTTATATATAAAGAAGCAGTTGTCCATTATATTTCCAATTCCTAGTATAGTATATTAAACTTGACAATAATCATGCCTCATTCTAATGAATCCCTTGGCTCTGCTGAGGATTTACACGCTTATGTTCCAAATGCCTATGAAGGTAATGCTAATGATAATACTGATGCACAATCAGAATTGAGTCCAGTAAACTCTGCATACTCTGCTGCTAACGATAACCAGCAGTTGAGTATCACCCGTACGGAAACGGCCAAGTCTTTACACGAGTTGGGGATCTCGTCTGATATCCCGCAACCCAATAGTTTGAATGCTCCTCCGGTGGAAAACCCCATTTTCCCAGAAGAATATACTTTGGAAACCACTACTGGGTTGGTTCCTGCCCAAACCTTACAGTCTTTGGGTAGAACCAAATCGATCCAGAGCCACCGTAAGTCGACGTCTTCTTTTCGTGGTGAAGACCACGAATCTTCTTCGTCGGATGAAAAAGACGATCATCCTTCGCCTGCGTCAGGTGATGAAGCTGCTAAAGAAGAACAAGAATTAGATCCCGAAATCGAGTTTGTCACTTTTCTTATTGACGACCCAGAAAATCCTCATAATTGGAACCCTTATATCAGATGGTTATACACGTTTGTCTACTCCTGTGCGGTGATTAGTGCTGCTTATGGTTCTTCTTCTCTTGCAGGTGGGTTGGGTACTATCGAAGAAAAATATCATGTTTCTGAAGAAGTCGCCACTCTTTCGGTTTCCCTTATGGTTTTAGGGTTCTGTATTGGTCCCTTGCTTTGGGCTCCGCTCTCGGAACAAATTGGTAGAAGACCAGTTTATTTCATCTCGTTTGGTTTATATACCATCTTTAATATCCCAGTTGCCTTATCGCCCAATATCGCTGGGGTTCTTGTTTGTCGTTTCCTTTGTGGGGTGTTCAGTTCTTCCGCTTTAACTAACGTTGGTGCCTCCTTGGTTGATTTACATAATGAAACTAGAGGGTTGGCTATTGCCTTTTTTAGTTTCTGTCCTTATTCTGGTCCGGTCTTTGGTGGAATTGTTAACGGGTTTATCTCGGTTGACACTGGTAGTTATGAATTAATGGTTTGGGTCAATTTGGCTTTTGCCGGTTTAATGTGGGTCCTTATGGCTTTCATCCCGGAAACTTATGCTCCAGTCATTTTAAAGAAAAGAGCTAAAAAATTAAGAGCTGAAACTGGTAATAGTAAAATCATGACTGAACAAGAAGCTTCTCCAATGTCCTTTTCTGAATTGGTTAATACTTGTTTATATAGACCTTTGAAATTTATCATTCAAGAACCAGTTTTGGTTTTGGTTTGTGGATTCGTGGCCTTGATCTATGCTTTACTTTATGCTTTCTTCTTTGCTTATCCCGTCATCTTCAACACTTTGTACGGTTACAAAGATGATAAAATTGGTCTTATGTACGTTCCAATCTTAATCGGGGCTGGTTTGGCTCTTTCAACTACTCCAATCTTGGAAAAAAAATATAATGAATTATGTAAAAGAAGAACTCCAAGACCTGAAGATAGATTAATCGGGGCCATGATTGGGTCTCCTTTCCCTTGTATCGCTTTATTCATCTTGGGTGCTACTTCTTATAAACACATCATTTGGGTTGGTCCTGCTTCTTCCGGTATTGCTTTTGGTTATGGTATGGTGCTTATTTATTATTCCTTAAATAATTATATCATTGATACTTATGCTAAATTCGCCGCTAGTGCCTTGGCTACTAAAGTCTTCTTAAGAAGTGCTGGTGGGGCTGCTTTCCCCCTTTTCGTTACTCAAATGTATCATAATTTGGGTTTACAATGGGCTTCTTGGTTATTAGCTTTTATCTCCTTGGCTATGATTTTAATTCCTTTTAGTTTCTATAAATTCGGTGAAAATTTAAGAGCTAAAATGTGTAAAGAAGATTATTCTATTCAACATTAATTGATTCTTTTTCACCTTTATAAATTATTTGCATTATAACATTATCTTTTTGCATCTTTATTTCTATTAATCTTTTACATTTTCATCATATAAATTTTTATCATATAATTCTACCAATTTAAGAGATAATCATTGGAAAAAGATCAAATCTATTCTTTATTCTTTTATATACTTAATCTATACATAGCATTTTTAAATTTATAAATAATATTTCATATTTTTCTAAAAAAAATTCAAAAAATTGTAATTTACTCTAAACAAATTCAAAAACTTGTTGTTTATGGAAACCATCTTGACTAAATTGCTGTACCCCTGGAGAATGTTTAGTATCTTTGATTAAACTACTAACTTCTTCCAAACTAACGCCAGTTAATGATTCCATAAAATGTCCAATTTCAATATTTTCGTGATTACCAAGTAATCCCCCTTCACGACTATATAATTTTTTATTGATCTCATCAGAATTAGAATACGCATAGATATTAACATCAACAGCAGTGTGTCCATGGGTCGACCATCCAGTTTGGGATCTTCTCAGAACTAAATCATTCAAATAGTTTTTCAAAGAATCTGAAGATTTGGAATATTTTTCAAGTAATTCAATTTCTTCGCTGGTATAGTCATTAATACCTAAATCGGCCTCAACAACTTCTTTAATGAGAAATTGCTTAAATTTATCTGATTTTAAACCTAATTCACTTTGTTTAAATTTAAGGATTTTTTGAGTTAAGTATCCTCCAGAATGAGTACTATTAAGCAATACTTCAGGGTACCATAAATAATCTGGATAATCTGGTGCAATTTGTCTAGCGGTAGCTAATCCTCCAGTTTCATGATCAGATGTAGATATAGCAACGGTTTCAACGTCACTTTCATCAATGAATTTAATAACCTCTTTAAAAGCATCGTCATAAGCTAAAACTTCTCTCACTTGAGCAGCTGGATCGTTATCATGACCAGCATGATCAATACGTGATCCCTCGATTAACAAAAAGAATCCTTCGTCAGAGTCTTTAGTAGCTTTAGACAATGAAGTTAATGCAACCTTGACTTGTTCAGCTAATGATGGATACTCTTTTGAATCACGATCAATAGCATAAGGAATATCAGTACTGGCTAACAATCCCAATAAAGGTAAAGTAACATTCTCACCCAATTTAAGTAAATCAAATTCTTCACGATTTCCAACATAACTCCAATCATTCGATTGTGCTTCTTCGATTAAGTTTCTTGAATCAGATCTACATCCATCTGGATAAGAATTAGGTAAGAAATGACATCTACCACCACCAAGAATTAAATCAACCAGTCTACCTAAGGGGTATTCACCTAATTGATGTTGAGCAATCAAGTCTTCTTGAGATCTGTAATCAACATGGGAGCTGAAACAGGCAGGAGTAGCATCAGTGATTCTGGTGGTAACAACAAGACCAGTCAAGTAACCTTGTAATTTCAAAGCTTCTAAGATTGTCCCACAAGGCTGTTTATCAGGGGTAACACCGATAGCACCATTGTAAGACTTTAATGCACAAGCAAATGCAGTGGCACCCGCAGCAGAGTCAGTAACTAAAGAGTTATTGGACCTAGTCCTTGAAGTCCCAATGAAATGCTTATCTAAGGTCAAAACATCATCTATTTCTAATTTATCTCTAAATTGTTTAAACCCACGAGTAAGGGCCAAAGAGGCTGGTCCCATACCATCAGTGACCATGAAAATAACATTCTTTTTGTTAGGATTGGATTGTAATGCGGCAGCACTAACTCCTCCAGGACCCCCTAAAGTTATCAATACAATTCCAACGGAAGTCAACCCAATTAAGATATCTAATAGAGTCTTTATGCTGAATGCATTGCGATTGTTGTTACCGAATTTCATCTTTTTTCTACTCAAATTCAATTCTAGCAAAGGTTATAGAAGACGTTTAAGCTGCTTTATTGCTATAGATCTTCACAGTAGTCGAAACTCTAGTTGAACCCTTGTTAATTCTATTTTTTGGTTTTTTCTGTGGTTTTGGGCATTTTTTCCAGCGTTTTTGTCTTGAAATTTTCAACTAATTTAAGTCTCATTAAAGAGATAGGGTTTACGGTGTAGATGCCACCAAACTACGTTATATGGGGTATAATTGACCGGGAAGTAAGATATATAAAGAAATGGCAGTACAAGTTTATATTGAATCTAAATCTACTTACTATTCATGAATGAAGATACCCATGACCACGAGGAATCGGCCGGAGTTGGTTCCAGCTTTAATGCTTTCAAGACATGGTCTTGTCTAATTTGGCGGAGTTCTTTTAGGATGTCGTGGGGTTGCAAGTCCTTATTCATCAGTTCAATGATGGACTCCATCCCATTCACTGATAAATAGAATTGAGATCTGGTTTTGGCATCCATGTTTTCAAGATTAAAAAGGATCGAATGCAAACGGTGCTTAACTGTAAACTTCTTTAAATCAATCAACAATGCAGAGTGGGAGCTATTATTTTGAATATCCTGTTCAATGATCGTTTGAACGGATTTATGATTGCATAATCGCCAAAACAATCTTTGTAATATATTGAACTTATCATGAAAATGATGAGAGATAAATGCTGATAATTGGTGATGTTTCGAAGTTGGAGACGTTTGCCAAATCATTAATGCATTCTTGTAGTCTAGCTTCTTGATAAAATACAATTCATCATGAGTTTCTTGTTTCAACTGGTCACGATACTGGAAGTACATTCTCCAGATTATTCTTTCGTAAAAAGGGCCCAAGGTCTTATTTTCAATCAGTGGTAAGTAATTCAATTTGAAGTTGGCTTCAAGATTTCTCAACATACCACTGGTTTCACCACAGTCACGTAGTTTTTTCATTAACACAATATTGAATTGAATATAGTTTATTCTTGACCATTTATTACGAATCATGAAATCATAGCCCAAAGACTCGACATTGACTGGTAATTCATTCAAATTTCTCAAATGCTTATTAAACATACACTCATTCAAGATCCCAACCAGTAATTTATCCTGATAATACAAAACTTTGATCAAATCAATAATTTGACTTTCTTTGGTCAAAAGCCGTATGTGTTTCTTAATTTCCAGAAGCGATAAATCAACAACATCATAATTACTTCTAGGCTTAACTCCATAAAGAACTCTCAAGTCCTCCATCAAATGGTTCATCTGATGATCAACTTTTGTCTTTTGCTTTTGAGTGGTTTCACGAGTGTATTGATCATACTGTTCCTGTGCAGACCCTTTCCTCAAATGATTAATAATCGAAGGCTTATAATTATAAGTATTCTTCACTTCACTCTTGGGAGCTATAAGGTTCAATGCATCTGCCAATAAAATATTACTATTCTTATCGGCTTCGTGATGCCCTAGCGCATCATTCTTATTTGTTTTATTAGACACCCCTCTAACGAACTGGAAAAATGGCCTGTTCACCACTTGCGTGTTCTTGAGTATCTGTAGCAATGCTGCTTCCGCTGGCTTGTTCGTCATATTCTATGAATCCAAAAAGAAGCTGTTAGTCAGTTGATACTTGTGTCCCAAAGTCTTTTATCATCCGTTTTTCGATGGTCGTGTTCCGCACAATATCATTGGGTCAGCATTAATGATACAACTACTACTGGATGGAAGAGGTATTGGGTTATAGATCCGGATGTCAGCCTGAGTTTGCTTGGTCTTCAAGTATTTGTAAGACTTAGGTGGGCCAATTTTTTTTTAAAAAAAACAGTCTACAATTGGTACGGTTAGTCCTAAAATAAATAAATACTAATTAAAATGTAATAAATAAGAGAATTAAAGACAAGGTAAATCAAGATAAAAGTAACAGGTATACAAATATTTGGTTGAGGGGCGTTTACCATTCTTGGGCCTTAACACCATATAAAGATTTTTTGGCACCTTTAATTGGTTTAATTAACTTAGAACCACCTTCTAAGAAGGAGAAACGGTCTTTTCTTTGGGCTTCGTATTTAGAAATGAAATCTTCTTTTTGTAAAGTTAATCCGATATCATCCAAACCATTAACTAAGCAATGTTTTCTAAATTCTTCGATTTCAAAATGATCAACTAAAACTTCACCAGATTCAGCATTTAAAATTTTTTGATTTGGTAAATCAACAGTGAGTTTTTTACCAGCAGTAGCAATTGGATGCAATTTAGAAACAATGATATCTTGAGGTACTCTGATTGGTAATAAACCATTTTTACAGGTGTTGTTATAAAAAATATCACCAAAAGAAGGAGCAATAATACATTTGATACCAAAATCTTTTAAAGCCCAAGGAGCGTGTTCTCTACTTGAACCACAACCAAAGTTATCACCAGTGACACATAAGATTTCAGAAGTACGATAAGGTTCAACATTTAAAACAAAATCGGTTTCAACGTCTTTACCAGTGGCTGGATCTTTAACAAATCTTAATTCATAGAATAAACCATTTTTCAAACCAGTACGTTTAATAGTTTTCAAAAATTGTTTTGGAATAATAGCATCAGTATCAACATTAGCTTTATCTAAAGGAGCAGCAATACTGGTTAAAGTAGTGAATTTATCCATACCACCAGCAGCAGAAGGAGCACCAGCAACTTTAGTCTTTTTTTGTTCTGGTTCTTTTGGAATATCATTTAATCTATCATCTTCTAAAGATGGATTAGATTCAATTGGTTGTTTTTCATGTTCGTATACAGCATCTTGTAATTCTTTATCTTCTTCAGCTTGAATAGCAATCGAAGGTTCATCAGTTAAATCATAATCATATTCACGAATATCAGTGAAATGACCCTTAATTGCAGCAGCTGCAGCCATTGCAGGAGACATTAAATGAGTTCTTGAAGCAGCCCCTTGACGACCTTCGAAATTTCTATTAGAAGTAGAAGCACATCTTTCTTCAGGATCCAAGATATCAGGATTCATACCTAAACACATTGAACAACCAGCTTCTCTCCAGGAAAATCCAGCATTTTCAAAAATTTTATCCAAACCTTCACGTTCAGCTTGTTGTTTAATTAATCCACTACCAGGAACAACTAAAACTAATTTAACATTATCAGCTTTTTTATGACCTTTAGCAACTTTTGCTGCTGCTCTTAAATCTTCAATACGAGCATTAGTACAAGAACCAATAAAAGCTTTATCGATTTTAATTTCTTTAAAAGGAGTATTTGGAGTTAAACCTTGATATTTCAAAGCTCTTTCCATCCCGGATTTTTTAATTGGATCACTAACATTTGAAGGATCTGGAACACTGGCAGTAATTGGTAAAGCATCTTGAGGAGAATTACCCCAAGTGATTGTTGGGACAATATCGGAAGCTTTAATTTTAATATCATAATCAAAATGAGCACCTTCATCAGAATGTAAAGATTTCCAATACTTGAGAGCTTTTTCCCATTCATCACCTTTTGGAGCTAAAGGTCTACCTTTAATATAATCAAAAGTAGTTTGATCTGGTTTAATCATACCAGCACGAGCACCGGCTTCAATGGCCATATTACAAATAGACATTCTTGCTTCCATCGACAAGTTTTCAATGGCTTTACCAGCAAATTCAATAACAGTACCGGTCCCACCAGCAGTACCAATAACTCCAATAACATGAAGAACCAAATCTTTTGAAGTGATCCCTTCCAGTAAGTCACCATCAATGGTGATTCTCATATTTTTGGACTTGGCTTGAATAATGGTTTGGGTAGCTAAAACATGCTCAACTTCTGAAGTACCAATACCAAAGGCTAATGCACCAAAGGCACCATGAGTTGAAGTATGAGAATCACCACAAACAACCGTGGTACCCGGTAATGTGAATCCTTGTTCCGGTCCAACAATATGAACAATCCCTTGTCTGCTATCACTCATCCCAAAGAAAGTAACATCAAAATCCTTAACATTTTGTTCCAATGTTTTAACTTGTAATCTGGAATCTTCTTGTTCAATAAAAGTATCAGTGTCCTTGAAATTAGCACGAGAAATCGTTGGAATATTATGATCAACGGTAGCCAAAGTACAGTCGGTTCTTCTAACTGGTCTACCGGCGTTCTTCAAGCCTTCAAACGCTTGTGGAGATGTAACTTCATGAACTAAATGTCTATCAATATATAATAAGTATGATCCCGATTCGTCCTTATGAACAACGTGATCGTCGAAAACTTTATCGTATAAAGTTCTTGGGTTAGTCATTTTGCCTTTGCTATTCTTGGCCTATACAGTTCTTATTTGAATTCAAATAGCGATTCTTTCTCTATATAAACTTTTTCAAATCCTCCGTCGTTGAAGCGGAGGTTTTGTCCAGCAAAGAGTCATCAAAGCGAAAAATTCTGTTCGCCTCCGGTCCGTTACCGGTCTCCGCTCCCAGCGATTTCTCCGGTTGCGGTGGGCGCGCCCGCTCAGCCAATCAAATGCGGTAAATTTGTAAACCCCCAAAACGGAAAACAAAAGACCCGTACATTATTACACGTGACACGTCACGTGTAATAATCTGCAAAAGTCTTCATTGTTTGCAGTTTGAAGGGAATCAATGGAAAAGTAAGCAGGGCCGGTAGGTGAAAGAAGCTGGTTTGGGGAAAGCAGCAGTAAACAGGCTTTTGAGAAGAATAGACAAAGTACAATGTTGCCTCCAGGCTCAAGAAGGTCCAAGATAAGACCACCAAGAAAGTCGCTCGTAGGATCGGTGGGTGGCAATGCTAATGGCGAGTCTGGTTCCGATGGAGCAGTTGATTTTGAAAAATCCTGGTCGGTACTTTCAAATGCTATAGTTCAAATCCAAAGAAAGAACGTGTCTAGTCTTTCGTACGAGCAGTTGTATCGAAAGGCGTATTTGTTGGTTTTGAGGAAGTTTGGGGCTAAATTGTATGATAGTGTTACTCAGCTCATAGCACAACATTTACTTGAGAGAAGATCTAAGGTTCTTGATATCTTCACCGCCACTTCTTCGTCGTCGGTGGGGGACTCGATCAATGAGGACTTCATGAAGGCGGTGCTACTGGAATGGGATGAACACTTACAATCAATGAAGTTTATTAGTGATGTTTTAATGTACTTGAATCGAGTTTATGTTAAAGAAAATAAAAAATTATTAATTTATGATTTAGGTATTCAATTATTCAAGAATAATTTTGTTAAATTTAATGATAATGAAATCGGGAAAAAACTTATTACCATCGTGATACTAGAAATAACCAAAAGTCGAAAAGGTGAAGTGATTACTTCTAAAATGTATATTGATAAAGTAATTAATATGGTGGAATTATTGGTGGAAACTGATAGTAAAAATAACCTTCAGTACGGTGAAAATTATTATCAAAGATACTTTGAAGATAAACTTCTTGAAAATTCTAAAAATTTCTTCTATAATTTATCAGAAGATTATATTATGAATTCCCTGGGGTCCAAATACTTACATGATATCTATCAATTCATCAAAGATGAGGAAAATCGTATTGCCTTTTACCTACCCGCCACTACTTATCCTAAACTTATTAATCTAATGAATAACATCTTGATTAAAGATAAAATCGATCGCGTTATTAATTTCCCTCTAGAACAGCATGGTTTATCATATTTACTAGAACCAATTCTCGTTAACATCTTCAATCAAGAATCAGATAGAGTAGAACTCTTCACTCCTCAGGAACCAAATAATTTCAAAAGACACCATATAACAGAATTAAAAATATTGTACGAATTGATTGGAAGAATAGATACTGATCATAACCTATTGAAAATCCGCTTGAAAGAATTGGTGATCAACCAAGGTTGTAGATTACCAACTTTGGTCATTGAAGCTCTTCAACAAACCCAATCAGAAACTTCTAACGCTCCAAACAAAAAACCTCAACAATTTGGAACTAATTCAACTTCTTTTGCTATAAAATGGGTCGATTCAGTGTTGGAATTCCAAAATCAATATTCTTTCATAGTAAGAGAATCCTTCGATAGAGATGTTTTCATTGAACAAACAATCTCAGTGGCAATGAGAGAGTTCATAAATGGGTCTTCTTCTAGTGCATTGAGAGCTTCAAGAAAGGCTTCCGATGCAACCAGTATCAATGGTCCAGAAATTCTTTCTGTTTATATGGATTATTTCATTAAACAGTTATCGAAATCTTCAACTTCTGGTGCTAAAAGAGTTACTAAAGATTCCTCAAGTAACGGAATTTCAGTCGATCAAACTGATGACCTCATAAATAAATCAATTTTGTTTTTAAAATTCATTAAAGATAAAGATGCATTCGAAGCTCACTATGCAAATCATTTTGCTAAAAGATTTTTACACTCAAAAGGGGTTCAACAACCAAAATTATCCACCAACACTAGATTGGGTAACGATTTAGAAGAATTGATTATCTCTAAATTGGGTGAAGAAATGGGGAGTGCCTCGTTAGAAAAAGTTATCAAGATGAATAAAGATATTAAACTGTCTCATGACTTGACAGTTGATTGGAAAAAATATGTTTCTTCCACTAACAAAAAATCAGTTATTGACTTGGATTTGAAAATATGTAATGTTTCCGATTGGCCTAAATCAATGACTAAAGACTATAAAAATTTTTCAAGAACTAATGATGTCGATGGCGAAGTTGGTTTTATTTGGTCATCTCAATTACGTCAAACAATTAAAGACTTTGAAGAGTTTTGGTTTACTAATAAGAAAAACGATAATAAATCTCTATTTTGGTGTCCAAAATTCGGTTCCATGGATTTGAGAATAACTTATCCAACCAAAACCTATGACATAAATATGTCTACTTATGCTGGTATAATTATGCTCTTATTTGCCCCTCAATCAACAGATGCAAATGGCGATCCTGTTCTGGCTTTTGAAGAGGCCAGATCGCTCAATTATCAAGAAATCAAAGAACTCACTAAAATCCCCGAAATGGACTTGAAAAGGCAATTGCAATCAATAGCTGTTGCTCCTAGACTGAGACTATTAACTAAAACTCCACTCACAAAAGAAATAAATGACGATGATGTCTTTAGATTAAATGACAAGTTCAAGTCACCTTCTCCTAAAGTAAAAGTCTTGACTGTTTCGGCTTCTTCAAGCTCTTCGAAAAATTCTTCGAAAAATCCTAAAAAGACCGAAAACGAAGAAGAATCAGAAGAAGTCCAAGCAAACATTACAGAAGGAAGAAAAATCGTGGTCAATGCAGCTATTGTCCGTATTATGAAATCCCGTCAAACCATTACCCATAACGACTTGGTTGCTGAACTAGTCAAACAACTTCATAACCGATTTCAACCTCTGACTATTCTAATCAAGCAAAGAATCGAAGATTTGATCGAAAAAGAGTATCTCAAAAGAGATGATGATCTCAGAAATACCTACCACTACGTTGCTTGAAGTCATAACTAGAATTTTGCATCTCTTTTATATACTTTTTATGATAAACGACTATAACATGTAAATCAACTGGTAAAACTGTAGATTTTATCTTTTTTTTTTTAGTGTTGATGTTGAGTGAGTGGAAAAAGATTGAAAAGAAAAAAATAAAATAAAATACATGATAAAACTAACAGTTTAAATAGCTTCAACGATGTCAGCGAATGATATATTGGACGTGTTGAATGTCCAGAGGGATGGTGTGAATCAGCCTGCGAAGAAGAAGCTGAAAAGTAATGACCAAGTGGCACACTCTCGTCAGACTGGGATGGCCAGGGAATTGTATAATTTACTTGGACCCAATACACCACCAATCAATTTATCTAATAATAACAATGCCAACTCGAGGGAGAAACTAGCTTTTAAGCCTTCGCCTTGGACCCGAATGCCATTCAAGGCAAATAGCAAGAATGCCCATGGCCCGCAACTATATCATTGGGTGAAAGGCTCTAAAGAATTCTTAGAGAGAGAATCAATGGAGAAGTCATATTTCTTCGATAAGTACAATGTCGGCGTTGACCTTCCTGAATTAGTGGATGAAGAATTGTTTGACAAATTCATGGATGAGATAAAAGAAGATAGAAAGGGGTCAGAACCAAAACAAGAACAACCTTCTGAGGAGAAGGAAGAACAAGGGGAGAACAAGTCAAGTGATGGAGAAAAAGATGGCCAGCAGGATGCAAATGGCGTTTCTAAAGATAAGAGTGAAACTGATGAAGGTGAGAAACAGCAGACCAGTTCAGAAAAGGACAATGAAGTAGATGACTGGACATACGAAGAGACAAAAGAGCTTTTCGAGTTATGTAAAGCTTTTGAACTCAAATGGCACCTTGTATTTGATAGGTTCAGATATGAGGGCCGTACTCTTGAAGATCTCAAAGATCATTTCTACAAGCTATGTGCTAAAATCTTAGAACATCAAGAAAATTCCAATCCTAGTTTAATAGAGTCATTGCAGTCATACTCCAAAACAAAAGAAACTGAAAGAAAGAAGTACCTTGAAAGTTTATTGAAGAGAACTCCGGCAGAAATCGCCGAGGAAGAATCACTTGTTATTGAAGCACGTAGGTTCGAACTTGCTGCTAAGAAAATGCTTGTTGAAAGGTCTCATTTGCTTACTTTACTCGATTCTCCCCAGTCTTCACAATCGGTTCAGCAATACCAAAGCTCTCAAGGTTTGGCTAACTTGTATAATAATTTGATGATTCTTGACAAACACCAAAAAAAACGCCAGCTTCAACAACAACAAAGATCAAATATCCCCACAAACCAAGATCCTGTTCCTCCTCCAATTCCAGTTGCAGCCTCTTCATCTTTCAAAAAGGACCGCACTTTCCAAACTCATTTACAACAATATTTATCCGGCTTGCTAAAACAACAACAAGCATCAGGTGTAAACTTGAAGCATGAATCAAGTGCCATTCAACAATTACTTGCAAAGCGTCTTACAGTAAAAGAAGAAGAGGCTTACGGTATTTATTATCATGCAAATGAAAAGTTGACCCCGGGTGTTATACTAAGATCAACTCAGAAGTTGCCTGGTTTGCAACAAAGGCAATCTGTTCTTAAATCGGTGAATAACGTTTTACAAGAACTAGACATTCCAACTGTAGGTGGTACAAATTGGAAACCTATAATGCCTACTCGTAAAACTATGACAAAATATGATGAACTCTTGAGATCAGTGGTTGCGTTATTGGACGTTAAAAGAGGTAAAGATAAATTAGAATCGGAAATTAAACTCATAAAGAGTCAAAGAGGCTTACAATAAGTCATTGTACTATAAAAATGTTGTATATTACAAAAGTATTTACTGTTATAGTTTAAATATATATCATGCTAATGCCATTAGTGTTTTTCTCGTAAGTCTTACTCTGTTCTCTCAGAGTAAATGCAAAATAAAATCATAACACGTCAAAGTCTAGGTCGAATAACAAGACCTCGTTTGAAGGTATCGAATATGTTTTTTCTTCGAGCCTCAGCAAGCTCTTCATTGCTTCTTCTTTGGCCAAAGCAACATCTTCATCAAGAAACTCTGTTTGTGGATGGTAAGTAACGCTATTCGGTGTGCAGATGTCATATAATGAATATGTGGTATATGGAAGGTCTATTTTAGGTTCGAATTCGCCCTTGAAAACTGAAACTGTTTCCTCGACTAAGTTCAAGATCCAAGATTTATCACGGTAACCATCAAAAATTAGGGTACAACTGTGTAGTATTTGAAAAGTGGACCTCATGACCTTCCATTGGTAAATCTCGTAGTTAGCATTGGATGCATTTTCCAATCTGATGTATGGTAGGATTACTAATTGTTGCAAAAATATTCTATGTGCATTATCTGTAACATTAATTTTCGTGCAACAATACATTTCTTGAATAAATTCCAAATAATAAGACATCAATGCCCATTGCTCTCCTTTTTGTGAATTGAGGGCCTTCAAATAAATAAAAAATAGTTGAAACATAACATGATTGAATTCGGGGGTTAGATATTGCTTGAGAATACACTTATAATCTTTTTTAAAATGCAATGATGTAAGGAATTCCCGATGAACTATCGCTAATTTCTCTAATGAGTTTGTAGACCTCCACTTAATTTCGTTAGAATTGTATGAGAATCCCAATTTCGAAGACAAATTCCAAAACTTATCCGTTTTATGTATAAACTGCTTGCAGTTCTTATAAATTGACTCCACAGTTTGCTTGCAAAATTCAACATATGATTCATCGAGAAAAAAATGAGTATATCCTTTATCAATAGAATCAACTAATTCCAGTAGATAGATGGCTTTCGCTTTTTGATTCGAGATTGCATCGTTCTTAATGTTCAAAATAATATTTGACATAATTTGGGTTTTGAATAATTGAATTTGTTTTGGCGTTAAACTCCAGGGAATATACATATTTTTCAAAGTAAAGACTCCATAATGATTCTTGTTCAACAGGGAGATCATCGGAAGAAGGTATGGTGATGACTCGTGACAAGCAAGGTCCTTCAAGACAATTACGGTTATTGTTTCAATATGTTCCCTGAGGTTAACAAAAGAAAGTAAATCATTGTACAAGTAAAGAATGAACCTCTCTCTTGAAAGTTGATTACCTAAATATGGAAACTTTTGTAACAATATTGTATTCCAATTTGATTCACGGGATAAAAACGTACTTCGATTCCAAACTTGGATACAACATTCTACCAATGTCACGACACGGGACTCTGTCAAATCATTTGGAATTGGAAATCTCCCCATTTGAAAATTAGCAAGAGATATAATTTTTTCTTCGATAACTTTTAAAGTTGTGAGATGTGACTTGGAAAGTACCTCCTTCGATTTTATTAAAAGGTTTAGAATCAGAAGGGAAGTTTTCACTGTAAATAAGGCGACTTCTTCAGGCATTTTTTTAAAATCAATATCCATTATGAAGGAGAAGAACTCGAATGTTAGGTCCAAGTTTTGGGTTTGGGCGAACTGAATTTCTAATCTTCGTGAAAACTTTCTCCAGAGTTTTTGAACTCCCATAACAGAATTATAATTCTTGAGGATGATGTTGAAAAATATTGAGTATCCCGTAGAGGGAAGTCTTGATGTCTTATTCAATGCTATATCACTATAGCTTAGTAAACCCTTTAGTGCTTGTTCGTAGATCTTTACATCACCTGAACTGGATACTTGTTCTAATAAATTGTCAAACTGGTTATTCAAATCAAGATCTGAAATCTGAGAGAGAAGTAATACAAGGTTCATTCTGTTGACGTACATAGCAAAGTGAGTTCTTCCTTCTTCATAATGATATTGGCTTGAAGTAATCAATTTACTAATAAGTCTCTTTTTGTTGAAATCTACTGGGAGACCGGATACATAAAAGTATAGGAATTGCATAAATCGGTCAAAGAAACAATTATCTGGAATGTCATCTCTAGTTCTAATTTGCCCGATAATTTCATAAGAATTTGGTTCATCCGAAAAGTTGGCAAATTTTCGCTTCGTGATCACAGAATAAATATTGGTAACTAGCTTCTCCTCTAATCCCCAACCTAGCCTTTGATTCAAAAGATAGATTATATCCAAAAAATCATTATGGTTATCTGATTCGTCAGTATCTTGAAATTTCAAATACCATCCTTGAAAACACTGCCAACCAACGTACTTATTTGGTATCATGGTTGCAAGTATATAAAAAATACTTAATAATTGACCATCTTGAGCTTTTAAAGATACGACTCGCCATAAGGCCTCATTAATTGAGGGCCACCAACAATTCGACTTTTCTTTCAGTAGCAAATAGATACAATAAAGGGATTCTAATAGATATAAATTGTTTCCCTCGCTGCCGGAATGAATAGCTTTCAAGTCATCCAAATCAAAAAACTGCAAAAAGTTACACCAGTAATCAATTCGATAAGTTTCCGTAGGTAAATCGGCCAATGCTTCGGACGTGGTGCTCTCATGTAGCTTTCTAAAAACATGGTAAATTAAAATCATATGAGGATGAAAAATCATCGACTTGATCACGGATCCTGATTGTTTAAATTTAGAATATTCGTTAAGGATATTTTGTAAGCATCTCCAAGACTTGTCACTCGGTCTTTCTTGTAAAATTAAAAGCCATTTCAACATTCCTTTGACAGATTGATATATTTCACGAGTTAAGTTTTCCAGGCCGTCAACTCGAGGATCAAATAAAACCTTACGAAGATGGTAGAAATACCTCTCACAGTTTTCGTTGGCAGATGTCTTGTTAACTAAAAGAAATGAGTACGAGTGTCCGAATAAGTCGAAAAACACCAGGTCTCCTAAAAAAGAAAAATCTTGCCCATAGGGTATTGCATTTACCTTTTCAATGTCGATTACTTGCAAAATGGAATCACTTGGAAATCTGTCACCATACTGTAAGTCCAAAAAATTCGAAGAATGTGGAAAACTGAGCTTTGACTTATCGAAATTAGGAAAATGTGATTTTACAAATTTGGGTTCTTTCTCTGCTTCGAAAACTGTTGTGAACATGGTGGGATCTCTTCTAAAGTAATAGCTATTCAGAAGCATCTCCATTGGATTTTTTGCAGTATTTTTTGGTTCAGGCATTATTTTTGGCTGTTTCTTTTGGTTGTGGTTAGCGATTACGCTTAAAGCTTTTCTTTTCAAAGGTTTCGTTATCCTCTTTTTTTGGAGATTACCAAAAGTGTCCAATGTTTTATGCTTTTTCTTTCTGTGTCCATTGGTCCTCGAACTGGTGGTTGTGTTACTACTTTTGGGCTGGTTTGTAATTGAAGTTTTGGTTAGATTTTCTTGATGAGTGTTTCTTCCGTTTTTATAAGTTTTAGGTTTAGATTTAAGTTTTGGTTTCGAGGCAGTATAAGCGAAAAGGGGGTCGATGTGGTCTTCTTCTATCAAGGAATTATCACTGTCAACTAAATCTTCAACTAGGAAGTTTGAGTGAGTTTCCTGGATATCTGATTCATAGTTTATATTTGTGGTCTCCGCAGATCTATTGAAGGTCTCTGAAAAAAGTCGTTCGGGTTCTGACTCTGAATCACTCAGATTACTAAATACCAAATTGTGGTTTCCATTTTCGGGGCCAAATTCTGATGAAGTTCGGTGGTAGATATCTGCAGAATTTTCAAAGGGTAATGTTGATTGATAAACTGATGTATCCACGTCATAATAGGTTTGGTCATCAACGAACGTCTTTAATTCTTGCTCTAATTCGTTATTTTGGTTCCTTGATGACCCATACTTTTTAACAGCTAAACCTTTCCGATGATCAGAAACTCTTAATGGAGACTTTCTTTTAGATTTAGATTTAGGTTTCCACATTTCGAGTCTTTTGGCAGATTCTGGTAATGCACCATGTAAAACACTCTTCAACTTACGATATCTACCTCCTACTCTTACCATTGCTTCTTCAACTGCCTGTGAACCTTCCCCAATATCGTTTTCATCACTATCAGTAGACGATTCATTCAAGTCGAGAATTGAGGGACGTTGACGGTCAGATCGCGGCTCATTGAACGCAAAGTCATCTTGGTTGCTTTGACTTTTTAGCGGAGATGGGTGCTTTGGAAGAGGTAGTAAGTCATCATTTGAGAGATCTGAATCGGAAGATAAATAGTTATTATCATCGGCCGATAGAGCTGGGTCGTCATAAGAAGCAATGGCGTTTTGTGATTGCGATTGCGATTGTGATTGCGATTGTGAATCCTCTCGATTTTGCGTTGGTATCGCTTGGGAGCTATCTTGCTTATTTCTTCTTGAGCCTTTCCCCAAAAATGAGTAAAAATTTTTGGCTTTAAATCTATATTCGTGGGGGTTTTGCTTCTTTCGTTGTAAATATGCACTATTGAGGTACTTTACAATCTTTTCTATATCTGGTGTTTCTTCATATAGGTTGTTCAATTGTTGAGGTTTGCATAACCCTAAATATTGGGCCTGGTCAGTTAAGTATGGATGAGTGCTGGCGAAATTTCGTTTTCGTAGTCCCCTCCTCGAAGTATTGATGAATTGATTTGCTTCTAAAAAAGTCTGTAGGTTTTCAGCGTCTTCGGCTTCTTGGGCTAATTCTCGATTCCTAATCTCAGGCTCATGGGCAATGGAATCGTTGGGCACATGCTGGTCTCTATTATTTGATTTTTTTGAAAAAGCAAGCGACTGGGGCCCATTTTTGATCAAACTTGGAATATCTATAAGATCAATGTTGGATTCTTGTGAGGAACTGACGATTTCTGAGTCTGACTCAGCCTTGGCCTCTGGCGGTTTATATAAATGAGAATACTTGGAAACACCAATTTGGTTGATTATACTCTGCCGTATATTATCTGGTAAAAGGGATATGTTTTGTGCCAATCTTCGAGTGTTGATTGACTCTTCAGAGATGACACCAATACCTTCGTCTTCGGAATCAGGAACGCATTGCAGCATCTTAGACTTCGAGTAGGTGCCCGACTAATACTGCGATCTTCAAAATTACTTTATTTTGATAAGACGCGTCGAGTCCTCAGCTTTAAATTGAATTATCTCCACAACTATCGGGTAGTCCACCTTCGATTGTTAATGTGTCGACGTAAATGACCTTCTGGTTTGACTTTAGACCCATATAAACTTAAGCGCCCGGGCGATTCTTAGGGCGGCAACAATTTTATCTATGTTGATGTGTAGCTGATTCGATTTGTTGATACTGATCTTTTTTTCAAAGTGATGGGGTTTTTCTTTATGTGCAGTATTTCGATTTTTTGCTCGCGCGTCACGTGACCGCCTTTAATTTTTGTTTTTTCAAGTTTTTTTGGTTTTTTTCATCATCGAAACTTGTTTCAAGTGCTTCATCACTGAGATCACGACTAATCAAGACCAGCAGGATCCAATATGGATAATAGAAGGGTGTTTAAATCATCGTATAGAGAAAAGGCGCGTGAGAACTCGACTCCGTACTCCAGAAAGAATGGGGGAGGGTTATTTTCCAAGGTTAAGCTGTTCTTTGCTCCCAGCATGTGGAATAATACTGAAAACAGCACTGAAGCATCTAATACAGTTTCTCCAGCGCAGTCACTTAAGCCATTTACCTTTCCAGAGCCGGACACATCGTTGTTTCAGACACCATCGAAAGTTGAAGGGAATAATCAATTGAAACTTCAACCAGCTCTCGAGACACCCAATAAGGTTTTATCTAGTTTTTTCCAAGAGAAAGGTGATAAACCATTAACTGAAGTTGAATATGAAGGAGTGGTATCGTTGCTATCTAAAGTTCGTTCTGAAAATAATACTCCTAATACTAGTGTGATATATCGTAGTAAGGATAAACCATTTGAACCAGCATCTGAATCAACTAATCATAATCAAACAAATGAATCAGTTCTCAAAAGTGAACCGCATAATTTCGCCATCACTCCATATAATCAAACAACTCTTAAAAGTACTGATGGTCACGACGTATCGGGGATTCTCTCTACTCCTGAGTATAAACCAGTTTATCATTCAGTTAATGATAGTCTTACCATCAAGGATGTTCCTTCAGTGAAAAGAGTGTACCAGTTTTCCGGGTTACCATCCCCATATAGAACTAGAATCAAGGCGCCATCATTTTCCAAGCCTAAAAGACCACTTAGAATCCTGCCAAATAGTACCACCAATTCGTCATTCCTTAATCCTAATAATAATAGCAAAAACTTAAGTAATACTGCCAATACTTTATTGAATATATTAGATGGTAACGTCAGTGAAGTGAGTGAGAATAGTGAAGTGGACAATTCAATGAAGAAGTTTTCAAATCCTTATTCTGGTCATCTGTCTATAAGAAAACGTAAAAATCAAGAAGATCGTTCAGAATTTTCTCAAAATATTAGTTCTACTCCTACTAAAAAGAGAGCTAATGGTGACACTACTAAAATCAATGACTCTATCAACGATACTAATACTAATGTGATGACAGCTGATGACATTAGTAAAACCGTTTCTTTTAATAAAGCTGAGGAATTGCCCACTAAAAATGATGCAAAAGACGAAAAACCAGACTCCAAATCATCTGAATTCAATTTATTTGCATCAAAACCTACCACTAAAGATAAAAACCCAACAGCATCTGCATCTAACGAACCCAAATTCAAATTCGCCCCTCCATCAAATGGGAAAACCACCGAAAGTAACCCTAAACCACAACCCGTCTTCAATTTCGGTAATTTCACCAAACCTACGGAAACCAACAAGTCTACAGAAACCAACAAGTCTGCGGAAACCAACAAGTCTACAGAAACCAACAAGTCTACAGAAAGCAACAAACCTACAGAAACCAACGAACCTACAGAGGCCAACGAACCTACAGAAATCAGCAAGCCCAATGGAATTGTGCACTCTAATGGCAATGAAACCGAATCTAAATTCAAAATTAATGATAACGAATCTACAACACCATTTGGTAAAGTATCCACCAATGGTTCTGCAAATGGCCCAAGCAAGCCTGTATTAAATGGAACCAGTGCTGAACATTTTGAATTTCCTGAAATTGAAACAGTCCCCGTTAGCTTGGATATCGAACAAGTGGAAAAGTACAAAAATTCATTTGAATTTTAACCTCTTCCATATATATATATATATATATATAATGTAATATTAGTCTCATACTCAATTGTATACGAAGCGAGAAAAAACTAAACGAGCTGCGAACAAACGTGAAAAATTAAAAACTTTCCATCAAAGGATCACCTAACCATATATCTTTTCAATAAGAAAGTATCTAGTTGAAGAAAAGATGAGCGGTGAAGATCCATTAAGATCAGTTCTTTTGATCGGGGGTGCTGGTTTTTTGGGATTACATTTAATCCAACAATTTTATCATCATAAACCAAATACCAAGATCCACGTATTTGATATTCGTCCATTACCAGAAAAACTTTCAAAGTATTTTACATTTGATAGGGAACAAGTAGAGTTTCATCAAGGGGATCTTACTAAAGAGGAAGATATTTTGAAAGCGATCGAAAGATCTAAATGTGATGTTATTATTCATTCTGCTTCACCAATTCATGGGATGGGACAAGCGATTTATGAGAAAGTTAATGTTGTGGGTACTAAGACTTTAATTAAAGTTGCCAAACAAGCACAAGTGAAAGCATTGGTGTATACTTCATCGGCCGGGGTTATATTTAACGGACAAGACGTTATGAATGGGAATGAGACCTGGCCATATCCCGAAGTACATATGGATGGATATAATGAAACCAAGGCTATTGCAGAAACTGCGGTTATGGAAAGTAATTCTAGTGATTTCAAAACTGTTTGTTTAAGACCAGCAGGAATCTTTGGGCCTGGAGATCGACAATTGGTTCCAGGTTTAAGGGCAGCAGCCAAATTAGGACAATCCAAATTTCAAGTTGGTGATAATAATAATTTATTTGATTGGACTTACGTTGGAAATGTAGCTGATTCCCATATTTTGGCAGCAGATAAGATTTTAGATGCCAAAACATCTTCAGAAGTTGAAGGGCAGACTTTTTTCATTACAAATGATTGTCCTACATATTTTTGGACCTTGGCTCGTACCGTATGGAAAGCCGATGGCCATATTGTTGACAGAAACATTGTCTTATCCAGGCCGGTTGCTTTAGTAGCTGGATACTTATCGCAATTTTTTTCTAATTTATTAAATAAAGAAGCTGGATTAACTCCATTTAGAGTTCGGGTTACTTGTGCATACCGTTACCACGATATTACTAGGGCCAAAGAGATATTAGGGTACGAACCTGCGGTTGATTTAGAAACTGGTATTAAACATACATTAGATTGGATTTATGAAACTCACGAAGATTAGTTTAGTAGTATAGCAATATAAAATAAATGAATAAAAATCGTGTATTAGAATTGAAAAAGAAAAGAGAATGCAAAAAACGAAAAACGAAAAAAAAAAAAAAAAAATCGTGTTTGAGAAGTATAAGGCTCATATGCATAGAAGTATTAGACACCCTATTGACGAAATGACTAAACAATCAAACACACGATGACAAACAACGGGATAAACCAAGGTATCAAATGGTTAGCAGAGGATTGAGCTATTTTAAAAATTAGTAGGCGAAAGCAAAGGGATAAAGGGATGAGAATACGTACAATACCCAGAAACGGTTGTTTGATTAGAAACGTTTGATATATTAGAAACGTTTATAACGTTTGTTGAATTGGAAAAGGTGATGTTTTTAATTGCAGAGTGTTCAACTTCATTATCGGTATACTCGAATAAGTCTATTTTTATCTCATCAGTTGAATCGGTGAATTTTTTCAATTTGGATTTTATAGTGAATTGATTGGATAATTGATCATAGGAGCCAGCTCTTGCTTTTGATTTGGGCATTTCCGTCTCACCCACCATAAAAAAATCGTCTTTATTGAACGGTAAATTACAAGCATTTACATCATTCAATGAAGCACAATCATTCAACAACACCGTTAAAAAGTTATTGGACGGATTGTTAGGACACACTTTAAAGCAGGACGAGTCCAATTTCTGTAGGGCACAGCATTCGCAAGCCAAATCGTTTGACTTACATAAATCCAACTTGGTTAAGATATCATTGCAACAACTGGATAACTTGATCAAATCCTGCGAATTACACTGCTCGTAAGGTCTGGGATTGGGATTCACATACGAGTCGTAATGCTCCGACATCACTAGTCCAATCACGTAGAGTAAGAAAACCAACATCTTTGTATAACTAAACCTCCACTGCAACTACTGGAGCTACAAGTTTTATTTGCAATCAATTGTCGCAAAAAATGGTGCTGCCTTCCACAAACAGACATCCCCATACTTAAGCCTACCAAAGAATCTGGCTGCACCAACCACCCCATCTAGCGTTCCATCCCCAATCTCCTTGGGCTCTGCGCAGTCTACTGAACTGCCACTGGAAAGCAACTAGACGACTACTGATTCATTATAATGAAATTCCCCATCAAATGTTCACAACCCTTGAAATTTTCGCGTTTGACTGGAACTCCAGAGCCAACTCCCTTCGCAGCTGCTCTCGCTACGTCTCGCCAGTGTCTGACACCCACCCCGGCCTCGTCGCCCCGTCTGGGTGCCAGTCAAGCAGCTACTCCTGCTCTTCTTCCTGGGCAGATCGTCCGGTGACTGTCTTGAAGGCTTTCGACGTCAAAGTGGCGAAGCCCCCGGGGAACCTGTACACAAAGGAGAACAAAGGAATCTGGTTCCTGGTTTCGATCCTTTGCAGCATCTTTTGTTTTTTTTTTGTTGATTTTTTTTTTTTTTTGCAGTAACAAATCCAGGGAAGGTTACAATTGGAGTTTCCTTTCAAAATTTTCAACCTTTTTGGGCTCACAATAAGCTGGTGACAGTTTACTGTAATGCCCCAATAGGATTTGTAGTGAATGGTGAATCTAATAGCCTCGTTAGCTGGAGTCTATTTTTATGTTGTTTTTTTTTTTTTTTTNTTTTTTTTTTTTTGTTTTATAATGTAGTTTGACCATATCTATTCGTGTTTCGTGTTAATTGTGGTTCTACCCTTATATAATTGAGTAGGTATCCTGATTTTTCTAAATTCTTGTTGGTCTTGTTCTTCTTGTCCTTAGACTTGTTCTCTTTTTTCATTAAGCACACTAAATTTCTTTTCTTAGCTAATCCGATCACTTTGATCTATTCTATCGCTTTGGACTTCCCTCTTACGTTCGCTTAATCAAAAATACAAGAAAAGGAAACATAATAATGAAGTTTAGTTTATTAGTTTCTAGTTTGATTTTTTCATTCTGTTCAATTGCCTTGGCTGGTGATTCTCCAACTCCCGAAGTTGAAGTTGTTGGTAATAAATTTTTCTTTAAGAATAATGGTTCTCAATTTTTAATGAGAGGTATTGCTTATCAACAAAATGTTGCTAACCAAACCGATACTACTTCTTTTGAAGATCCTTTGGCTGATGCTGATGCTTGTAAAAGAGATGTTGAATACTTGCAAAAATTAAACACCAACACTTTAAGAATTTATGCTGTTAATACTACTAAAAATCATGATGAATGTATGAAAACTTTTGCTGATGCTGGTATTTATATCATTGCTGATTTATCTGAACCAAGTGAATCTATTAACAGAAACTCTCCTGAATGGAACTTGGATTTATATAAAAGATATACTGATGTTGTTGATATGTTTTCTAAATATGATAATATCTTAGGTTTCTTTGCTGGTAATGAAGTTACCAATAATAAATCAAATACTGATGCTTCTGCTTTTGTTAAGGCTGCCATTAGAGATACTAAGAAATATATTAAAGATGAAAAAAAGAAATCCATCCCAGTCGGTTACTCTTCAAATGATGATGAAGACACTAGAATTGCCATTGCTGATTACTTCTCTTGTGGTGAAATTGAAGAACGTGCTGATTTCTTTGGTATTAACATGTATGAATGGTGTGGTAACTCTAACTTCAAATCTTCTGGTTATGCTGATAGAACTGAACAATATAAAAATTTAACCATCCCAGTCTTCTTTTCTGAATACGGTTGTAACGCTGATAGACCAAGAAAATTCACCGAAGTTGGTACTTTATTCAGTGATAAAATGACTGATGTCTGGTCTGGTGGTATTGTTTACATGTACTTTGAAGAAGAAAATGAATATGGTTTGGTTTCTGCTTCTGGTAAAAATGTTAAAACTTTAGATGATTTCAAATATTACTCTAGTGAAATTAATAAAATCTCTCCTTCTTATGCTAAATCTTCTCAAGTTAAATCTGCTTCTTCCACTTTAAAATGTCCAAAATCTGCTTCTACTTGGAAAGCTTCTGAAACTTTACCTCCAACCCCTGATAAAGATGCTTGTGATTGTATGGCTAAATCTTTATCTTGTGTTGTCGCTGATGATGTCGATGACTCTGATTATGGTGACTTATATGGTTACATCTGTTCTAAGATTGACTGTTCCGATATCACTTCTGATGGTGCTAAAGGTAAATACGGTGGTTTCTCCTACTGTGCTGATAAAGATAAGTTATCTTACATTTTGAATAAATACTACGAAAAGAATGGTAAATCTAAATCTGCTTGTTCTTTCAAAGGTTCTGCTTCTTTGAATAAGAGTGCTTCCACCGCTAAATCTTGTTCTTCTAAGATTGCTCAAGCTACTAAAGGTGGTTCTAAATCTGGCTCCTCTGGTTCTTCCTCTTCTGGTGACTCTAGTTCTGGTTCTTCCTCTGGTGGTTCTGGTTCTTCTTCTACCTCTAGTGGTAAATCATCCGGTGCCGCTCATTTCAAACCTGCCTCTAAAGGTGAATTATTCGCCGTTGCCTCTATGGTTACCTGTTTTGTTGGTGGTGTTTCCTTCATTTTCGCTTAAGGAAGCTTTTAAACAAACAGAAATACTTTTTAAAAAAAAAAATTAGTTTTTTATAACTTAATTCTTTCAAATGTTTTATATTTTTTATTCTTTATCCCTTTTGTAAAGGTCTTTTCTTATATATATACTTGATTTGTGGTTCAATTCTCTTAGAACTCACTAATAAACAAGTTTTTTTTTTTGATTTTAATACATATACTAGTTAAATTATAAAATCTTGGAGTGTAGTGAATTTTATAGATACAACTGTATTTAACAATATTTTTATTATTCTAGATGCAATTTATATAGTGTACATTTGTTTAATTGGCAACCATGAAGATCTCATTAAGGGCTTTGGCATCCATAACAGATGCTCTTTTTTGTTTGATCCATTTTGCTCGTGCTGATAATCTTGTGGCTACTTCTCTTGAAGGTTGACTCTTTGGTTTTAACATTTCTTCACGAGTAATTTCCTCCTTCTTTGCCTTCTTGTCTTCTTTATCCTTCTTTTCTTTCTTCTCTTTCTTGCCTTTCTTTTCTTTCTTTTCCTTCTTGTCCTTCTTGTCCTTCTTGTCCTTCTTTTCCTTCTTTTCCTTCTTTTCCTTCTTTTCCTTCTTTTCTTTCTTTTCTGTTTTATCTTTCTTTTCCTTTTTTTCCTTCTTTTCAGATTTTTGTTTTATTTTCTCTGAATCTTCCTTTTTGCTTCTCTTTTTAGGGATTTCTTGATCATCAAAACTTCCTCTCCTCTTCTTAGTGTTAGTCTCTTTACCCAGGTCTTGAGACGCTATCAACTTCTTTGCATCGGCATCCCATGTACTTCTTAAAACATCACCTCTTACAAAATGTATTCCCCATTTCCCATTTATTATGTTATCCTTTCTTTGTCTCTCTAATTCGCTATTGATTTGATCTTCTTTACCATTTAATCTTCCCAATATCCTTTGGAAAACATCCAAACCGGCACACTCACCACTATCAAATTCGTCTTTCTTTTGCTTTTTGGCTAATTTTGCGCCTAGCCCAAGATTGTCATCCTTAATTGTGACTTTGACATGGGAAGTCATTGCATGTTGAACTAAACCAAGCCCTTTACCTGGTTCCCATCCTAATTTTTCTAAATATTGATGGCCAAATTTGTTGGTATCATTAGACCAATTTGTATTTCTAGGATCTAGCCCAAATCTTTGTTTCACTTTAGTACCCGCTAAACCCATGACTATCCTTGAAATCGTTTAAAACGTAGAAGTACGTAAATGAGTATAAAGAATAAGTTTAGAATATGAAAATGAATAATATGAAAACCATATACGAAGAGC